TCATGTCAGTGACACTAGAGGTCTGACCATAATCTAGCTAGATTTTCAATTTTATCTTTTTGTATTTTGGTGTGGGGAGACCATACTTCGGAACCATATTTAAGCTGGGGTTTGACTGACGTCTGCAGGGCTTTTTTTCTTCTAAAACAGGGGCCCCTTCACAATTGAAAATTACACTTTTTTTCACAAAGCAATGGAAAAAATTCAGAATTTCTAAAGAGATTTCACAAAATATTGGGACTTTGTCTCCAAACTACATTGTTTACCTTCCGGTAAAGCTTGATTTATGCCAATTGCAGTAACACAGAGATAGTTTAAATCAAGTCAAATGGTTTTTTTGCATGTTAACAGGGTTAGAATAACAACTTGAAGCAGATTTTACACAGGTCAGAAATTATAATCAAGCATTCATAGCAAACTGTTTCCAGTTGCTGTAATTCGGTATGACAAACTGATAGTGAATGATTCTGTATACAAATACGATGACACTACACAGTCAATTGTGTCAATTGGTGCTCGCCGAAGGAATACACGCCACTGTTTTACCAGTGCCAGGCAAGCATTTTTTTTATAACACGTAAACGCAGCAATTGGATGTACGAAACCACGTGAACAGTGCTGACGTAGATCCGATCAACCAGCGCTGTGTAAACGACCAAATTAGGAAACGATAAACAGGGTTTGTCGATGAAGCTTCCGACTCATTCTAATATAGAATAGGGATACGGTCAAGGCCAAATAAACAATGATTACTCATGTATAAACATTGTAAGTTGGAATAATTGCGGGATTAAGTAAACATGTTGACAATTGCTGAACTTAAACATTTTTTTCTTCTTTTGATATCATTCATCTGTGTGAATCATGGGGAAAGTGTGTTGGTGAATTTAGCTCCTTTTTTAGAATCTTATATCTGTTATGAACATGTTTAGAGCACAACGTTCTAATAGCATACGTAATAACGGTGGTATTGCCGTTTTATAAAAGCAGTTAATATAAACTGAATATTATTAACACGTATAAAGAACACTTTTGAGGATTGTGTTGTATTATATTGTAATTTTTTCGAAAGTTTTCAAGTGTAAAAATGTTATTATGTACTTTGTTTATGTATCGCCTGAAGGGTCGTCTATTTACGATTCCAGGGAGGAAAGAAATGGCATTTTTTATTTACAATCAAATTTAGAAGAATATCTTTAGAATTTCCTAATGATTTAATATTTCTTGCAGGGGATTCTAAATTCTAGAACGAAAGATTATTTAGACTTTATTCCCACATGATAACTTAGAATTTTGTTTTTTGGGGAAGTTGAGTATGAAGGTAGTTATTTTGAACTGCTTCGAAATAGTAAAGATGTTCTACGGGGAAATAATTTTGGGAATCACTAGTACAGTTGTGCTGTGTTTTAGATGTACATTTCTTAAATGAAAAGAAATTAATGGGGCATTTAGAGGGAAATTTTTACGTGCGTTTCTAACAACGGAGCGTCCGTTGTCGACTATATGATAACCTCGTCAGAGTTGTTTGAAAATATATGTAAACTTTAGTGTACTTGATCGAACTGAATCGGACCATTTTCCATTGCATTGTTGTTTAAAATTTTATAAATTTAAATGATAGAAATCTTAATACAAATGTTGTAAATAATAGCATTATCGGAACTTAAAAATGTAACAAATGGCGGGATCATCATGGTGACCATTTTCGTGAGCAAATAAATGCTCTACTTTCAGAGAATGACCAACTAATTACAAGTCTTGTAAATGTTGATATTGACCGAGCTATTGAAACTATTCAGTCTTTATTATTATAATGCTGGACGTTATATGTTAGCTTCTAATTCATCAAAACACGTTGCAACCTGCCTTGGTGGGATGAACGTTGTGAAATACTTAAAAGACAGAAATACTCATTCTTAAGACGGTTTCGAACATCAAACCTTGCATCTGATTTAAGAATTTATAAAAGATAAAAGGAAATGATTTAAAAATTATTGTAAGAATAAATTTTATCAGTACCAGTCTCAAAATCGACAAAAGCTTATTAATAATAGAAACGATCCATGTTTTATGTGGAAACAACTTAAACAAGCAAAACAAAAACAATTTATAGATTCAAGTATCGGAGCCGATGATTGGTATACATATTTTCGTGGTTTATTGTTTGATAATGATATATCACCTTTAGAATATAATAATGATAATGATGACGGTCATCGTTGATCAATATACATGATATATCAAACTTAAAACGAACCATTTATATTAACGGAGGTCGAGTTAGCTATTCGGAAGTTAGCAAACGGAAAAAAGCTGCGGCTTGGATGGAATACCATCTGAATTTTATAAGAATAGTTTAAACAGTATTGCACCTTATTTAGTATTAATTTTTAATCGAATATTTGAAACAGGTGAATTCCCTCAATCTTGGGGTCTTAGCATAATATGTCCTATACATAAGGCTGGATCAACCTGTGACCCGAGTAATTATCGAGGAATTTCTCTTATTAATACACTATATAAAATATTTTCAAGCATCGTTAATAAGCGTTTGTATGAATTTGCTGAAAATAACAATAAGTTTGACGAATCTCAGGCAGGTTTTCGAGCTGGGTATTCGGCAATTGATAATGTTTTCTGTCTTCAAGCTATGGTGCAAAATATCTTTCCAAAAAGGGGGTAGATTTTATTGCTTGTACATTGATTTCCGTAAGGCCTTTGATAAGATTAACCATAAGATACTTTTTCAAAGCTTTACAAAAGAAAAGGAATAAACGGAAGATTTTGTTTTTATTAATGAAAAATGTATAATTCGCTCTATTCATGTGTAAAGGTTCGAAAATCTTTCTGTTGTGATTTAGATACACAAAATAGTTCCAGAAATAGGCCTATGATAACTGAATTTTTCAAATGTAACATAGGAACCCGACAGGGGGACAAATCCAGTTCCACAATTTTTGCTCTCTTTATTGATGAATTAGCACATATGCTTCGTGATAAATGTAACTCTGGGATTTTTATTACACAAGAAATTCACGATATTATTTGCCTCATGTTTTGCGACTGATGATGTTGCAAGTTGTGCTGAAACGGCAGTTAAGATTACAACAACAATTAAATGTTGTCGATGAATTTTGTGTAAAAATACTGGGATGGAAGTAAAATTTAAATAAAAACTGAAATTATGGTATTTAGAAATGGGGGACCGCTTAGACAATATGAAAATTGGCATTTTCGGGGTAGTATCTTAAAGTTACTTCCGTTACACAAATATATGGGACTTTTATTTACAACCAGGTTTATCATGGAGTGCAGCACAAGATAAATTATGTGCACAAGCACAACGTGGCAATACTTTCTATTTATAGTTTATAAAAACCATATGGTTATTTTCCAACAAAACGAACTTTTCATTCTGTTTGATAGTATGGTTAAACCTATTTTAATGCTATGGGTCACAGATATGGGAGATACGAACTTGTTGACTCTATCGAGGCAGTTCAAAATAAATTTTGTAAAAAGCATTTAAGTGTAAAAAGGACAACAAATACATGTATAGTTTAGGAGAATGTGGACGTTTGCCATTGTGTATAACTTTTAATATTTTGTTAATTGTATAAAATACTGGTGTAAATTGTTGACTATGCCAGATCATAGATATCCCAGACAATGTTATAAAAATGTTGAAGTCCCTAGATGAGAGTGGTCGAAATTGTTGGGCATCAAAAGTAAAATCACTACTTATACTTATGGTTTTGGATATGTATGGGCTTGCACAAGATATTGGAAATATAGACATATTTATTTTAACTTTTCGTCAACGGCTGAAAGATTGTTTTGAAACAAAAATGGCATAATGATATAAATATTTGCGTCCCGTTGTTACCATTATAAATTTTTAAGAGTCAATTAAATCCTGAACGTTATCTTTACTGTGATATTCCAAGAAAAATATATGGTTGCTCTTGCAAGGTTTCGATGTTCCTGTCACAAATTTAACGATTTGAAATGGGAAGACAAAATAATATACCACTTCATGAAGAAAGATATTGTTTATTTTGTTTTAACCAAAATAATGGTAACTGTTATTGGATTGTGAATTTCATGCCTTTTTCAATGTTCTAAGTATAATGACGTCCGAAATAATTATCTCTATAATTGGTATTCAAATGGTACTACAATTAACGATTTTTATTCGCTGATGAGTACACAAAATGAAGAAATATTTATAACTATCTCTGTTGTATATCAACTTGTTTGAAAAGTACCACTCTTGACTTATTTTATTCCTAATTTTATATGTTATGCAACTACATTCAATACATGTATACACTATAATATTTATACTGTTGTGTATTTTGGGCCGGAGGCCTTTATTTACTTAAATAAAATTGAGTTGAGTTGAGTTGAGTTGAGTTTCAAAAGCGGCAGAATGTCAAATAATTTGTCTTTTTTTCCCCACAATTTTATGATATATCGCGCTTTTTTTACACAAAATGAACAGGCCTAGGCCCCTTCACAATTTTGACAAAAAATGCCCTGGTCTGGTAAGGGATGGACTTAATGAATTTGGATTTAACCTTTATGACTCTCTGCATAGGAATCCTAAGGTTTTGTTTGCTTTCTTGGATGTCCTGTTAACATTGGCATTTCTGATATATCCATTCCAAGGTTGTTACTATTTTAGTTGAGGTAACCGATTCTAATTTGAAAGAGAATTCAGTTTTCATCATTTTGGATATTCTGTTTTATATATTTTCTTCATATTATGAATTCATCATGACATCTTGGCATTTCAGTCACACAATCTTTTGCCATCTGCCAAAAAGACGGATGAATGAATGAAAAATGACGGTGTAGTTTCTCCATCGAGACATAGAATCTAAAATCCTAAATCAGTGGGAACCAGAAAGTGGCAAATCTGGTCCTGAAGTTATCTTATGAGGAACTGCGTTAGAATCACATGAGCTGTTTGTTTGATGTGAAATGTTGATCTGAAAGAGAAATTTCGAAGGAAAGGAAAATCACCAGCATGTCTGGAAACTGTGGTACAGGAAATGATCAGGTTTGTAGCTTTCCAAAGTTTTTTGTATTTCTCATACAGCCAATCTTATACAGCCGAACTTGATTTATTTTTATGGCTCAATATTTCTGACCAAATTTGAAATATTTCAAGAAATCAAACTTGAGATAATTGCACTAAGATTTTAAGAAAAATAAAAAGATTAATAATTTACATGCTTCTGTGCAATAAGAGACTGATTTTGCTGTTTATTACCATATTTCTTAGACTGATTTTGCAGTTTTTATTACCTTATTTCTACTGCATCTTGTCATGAAAGTATAAAGTTACGTGATTGATTTAGTTTCATTGAATTTAGAAAAGTAGCAGCATGTATAAAAGCTGAATTTCACTAAAAAATATTAGTTATGATGATCTTCATTGGTAATCACTTAAAATGAAATGAGCCGCGTCACGACAAAACCAACATAGTGCGTTTGCAACCAGCATGGATCCAGACCAGCCTGCGCATCTGCGCAGTCTGATCAGGATCCATGCTGTTCGCTTACCAATTCTATTACACGTAGAGAAACTGATAGCAAACAGCATGGATCCTGATCAGACTGCGCGGATGCGCAGGCTGGTCTGGATCCATGCTGGTCGCAAACCCATTATGTTAGTTTTGTCGTGACACGGCTCAAATGTCTTGATTAAAGTTTTTGAGTTACTTCTATATAAATCAACAAATTTCTGAAAATGCTATTTCTGCATTTGGGCTGTTATTGTCTAAGTTATAAATTATTTAGGTATTGATTTTGTTTTTAATATTATTTTAGCAAAGGGCAGTTAAAAAGTCTCTCAGAAATTGAAAGCACAAACTCGGAGGGTTGGTTGTCATGGGGATACAGTAAACTTGTGAAGAAGCCTATTGGTTGGAGTATGAAATGGTTGTCTGGGCAACAAGAGAACAATGTCAAGGACTCATTTGTTGTCATGGAAGTTATCAAGGTATTGAATATACATGTATATTGTGTATAAATAATCACTTATGCAAAGTGAATCTTAATTGTTGTTAAGATGGGTCATTTGCTTTTATCTGCGCAAAATGGTTATTTCCCATAAAATGGTCATGACTATTGTTGTTTTACTTTTTATCCATCCAAGCAATGGCACTATTTGAAAAAAGGCACCATTTGATTTGAATGCTGTTGTATCACTGCTGAAGAATCCAGACAAAATAACGTAGTATTAACATAGATTGTTCTGTTGTAGGATAAGGCAAGACAGCTGTTAGAGGTAAGGAATAGGTTAGCTCAGACAGAGTCTGTGAATATCACAGACTACAATCTTCTTCATGATCAACATCGGGAATTATGTCCCTCAGACACAGTGTTCTCACTGGTAATGAGAGAGCTGGTTGGTAATAAAGAAGTGGTAATTCAACAGGCAGAGGGGGACAGTAAGGTAAGTGTCAAACTTTATGTAACACATGTACATCCAACAAAAAGTTGTGAAAATCAACAAAGTTTCAACACGTTTATATAAGAGCAGGAGCTATTCATGTGAGGTGGAGGTGATCATCTCACATAATTGACTGGTTCCGTTTTGGCTATAATAAAAGGATACCTACCAGGATTATTGTTCAATCTTGATGAAGAAATGAAATTGGAGAAAAAAGGCTTAATGGTCAGTGTGTCTGGCACCCTATCCAGGGATAATGGGTTTGATCCTGGTTGTGATCACAATCATGTTCATACATGCATGACATCAGCAGTGGTATATTTATAGATAGCAGACTCCATCTACAAGCTCCCTTTTCAGATGAGTTTTAATAAACCAGTTTGAACTAAATAAAATTAAAATACCTTATTGAAACATGCTAAAAAACTTAGCAAGGGGAATAATTATGAATTATTGCCATTAGAATACCAAATCTAAGCATATACAACAGAATTGTAGGATACCTAATCATTTGTTTTAAAAACAATCAAAGCATTTGCTATTATTTAAATGATAGTAAAAAGATAAACGCTTTATTAGAATTTTAGCGAAGTGTTTGCTAATTTATTGGTTTATTTTTCAAGCTTGTGAAGTTCATACAGAAAGATAAAAAAGAAAAGAAAGAAGAAAAGATAAATGAACAAGATGTGCATATACATAGGTGAGTTATTATAACATTCTTGGGATTCATGGCCAGGTGGTTAAGGACATTGATTTCAAATCATTTAGATGGATTGTTAGTAAAAATCCACCAGGGACTTTGGAATTTTTTTCATGTGGGGAAAGCTTTTATACAGCTTGCTTATAAACAGTCTGTAGTTTTGATCAGAATCTCAGACATATCAGAAGTTATGCATATCGTCACATTAGTGCAGTAACTGGTTAACTTAGATTTAAAAGGAGTTAACCCATTACTGCACCCATAACTGCACTAAGGTGAAGATATGAAGGGCATCTGAAGAATTCTTCCGACACTAAAGCTAGAAAATTGCTGTAAATCATTATAAATGTGACTTTAAACTCAAGGGGGTTAGAGGGGGAGTGCATTCAAGCTAGTATGATAATTTAATACATGGACTTAAGTCTTGGGTATAATTTTGCAGAAAGCCTAAGACTTAATCCTAATACAGTCTATATGATATATTACTGTTCTTAAGTAAACATTTTCATGTAAATTTATTACATGCACCAATATGACAGGTAATGTTTCCCAAGAAATGTATAATACATAATCTGTTCTATAATATTAAATTGAAATGTTTGTATGTAATATCTGACAAAATATTTTAATTTACCTTTTGATGTTTTTTTCATTCCTTCAGAATACAGAAAGCACACACTGAGGTAAAAAGACAAATAGAAGTATTATCAACGGAAGTACATAGGTATGTTTTTCATAATTAAGGCCCGGATTTTCAGATTTAGTAAAGAATTCCTTGGAAAGATAGAGACCAGTCTAACCAAATCATTGCTGGTTCAATAATTCACTGAAATAATTTCATATACTGGTGATTTCTGTAATGTATATTGAAAGATTTAATGTTTATCTTCAGATAATTAGAGTTTGAGTCTGAAATATTGACAAGTATATATTTTACATGAAAAATAATTATATATGAATAAAGATTGCAATAAATGATAGAATTGTATTTGTACGTTTTGCTGTATAGCACTTTCTTCCATTTGACACAGCTCCTCCTAGCAGCTTTATTTAGAGGCCAAATCCTTAGGCTTATCTCCTACATTTTTTTGTGGGTACGTCCCTTGGATGAACATTAGTTTATACTAATTTATTTTAGTTTGATTGCATTGGAAGCTATGAGCTTATTAAAACACTCGAATCCGTTCCTTGAACCAAATAGTTCAAAACAATGAGTGTAAAGTTTCTTGCTGCTCTTAGAAACAACAGCTTGCCCCCTCCCCCCCTGCCTTGTTGAGGTTTGAACCAACATGGCCAGCAATCCTCATATTACTAGTCTTGTGTATTAACCTCTTGGCCACGTTGCCAATCTAATGATGAATATTCACCCTTTTTATGGAACTTCAGATCAGTGAGGGTAAACATGAATGTCACTGGGGCTAGAATTCAATCTTTTATCTTTTCCGCATTGGGTAATATTGGTACAGAATTTAGAAACGTGTCAGAAGTTCATGTAATTTGCATGTGACTTACATTAATACATACTTGAAATTGAATCATAACTGTAATAAGGGACATAGGATAGAAGTTCGTTATAATCACAAGCATCTAAAAGAGAGTTGAAATTTTATTTTCAGATTAGCATCAGAAGCTGTATCATATAAACAGAAAGGCATGACAAAATTGGTAAGCCTATAGTGCTGCAAAGTTATAATTTACAGAAAAATACACAGAAATTACCATTTGGTTAAACAAATTATGACCTTGAGCAGAAGATATTGTGTTATTTAGCGGTGCCAAGAAAAGGATCTTTTTTATCCTGCCTTGGGTTGGCTGGAGAGTGGTCACACTTTTTTGTATTACTTGTGTTATATTGAATGTTTTAACTCAAAAAAAAAAAAATGTAACGGAATCTGTTATGTGCATGGACAAATGATAGGCTTTTATTGTTAATTATCAAATACATTTTAAACAGCTGTTTATTTTACAAGATCAAAAGTGACTTATTTGTGTTTATTTGTTTGTAGGCAATGAGCTGTATGAGGAAGAGAAAGTTGGCACAGATAAGAATCGATAAACTAACAGGTTCTATGGAAACTTTAGAGGAAATTTTATACAGAATCAAACAAGCTGAGTCCAATGAAATGGTAATATTATGTAACTTAAAATAAAAAAACAAAACTGATCACATGAAATGCATATAAAATATTTTAAATGGAATGTTAGCTAAATAATATTAGTATCAACATGATTTATAATATGATTAATTGTGAAAAGAGTTTTAAGCTTATTTAAATCACTCTAGGATATGATTACTGATTCCTTATACTGGTGTAAATATGATTAAGCATGGGTCATGATGTTATGATTTTAAATGCAAATAACATTATTTGCAAAGAAACAAGTCTGAATGAATTTTTGTGGCCCTTGTACATCTACGTCTGTCCTTCTGTTCTCATGTTGTGTTGCACATAGCTCAAAAAGTATTTGAGCTAGTCATGAAACTTACAGGAATGTTAGTCAGCATGTGTAGTTGCGCACCTGGATATTTGCATGTGGATTTATATCAGTATTTGTAGTTATTGCCCTTGACTTAGTATAAATTTGCAATTTTCAGCTTGTACAGCACAGCTCAAAAAGTAGAGTCATGAAACTACAGGAATGTTGCTCAGCATGTGAAGTTGTGCACTTGGGGATTCGCTTGTGGCTTTCTTCTGTTTTGTCAGGGTTTTTGCCCTTGACTAAAATAAAAATTTGCAATTTTCAACATGTGTCGCACATAGCTCAAAAGTATTTGACAAAGAGTCATGAAACTATACAGGAATGTGCTCAGCATGTGAAGTTGTGCACCTGGGGTTACGCTTGTGGATTTATTTCGTTTTGTCAGAGTAATTGCCCTTGAATTAGTGAAAATTTGCCATTTTCAACTTGGGTCATGTGTGGCTCAGAAAGTTTTTGACCTAAAGTCATGAAACCTTCAGAAATGTTGGTTGGCATGTGCACAATGTGTGTCGCTTGAGGATTTATCCAGTATTTCTAAAGTTATTGCCCTTGACTTAGTAAAATACGTTCCATTTTTTATGTTTTTATGTTGTGTTATGTATTCCTTTAGTGCTTGAGTTGGAATCAACCAGCTTAACAGAAATAATGATCAACATCACTGTGAAGCTGTGCACTTGGGGTTTTGCATGTGCATTTTTTACAGTTTTGTTAAGAGTTATTGCTCTTGACATGGTATAGATTTGCAATTTTCAAGCTCAAAAAAGTATTTGACCTGTAGGCGTGAAAGTTTACAAGAATGTTGGTCAGCATGTGTACTTATGCACCTTGGGTTTGCTTTTGGATTTATTCAGTATTCCCTTGACTTAGTAAGAGATTTTTAGTTTTCAACTTGTGTCATAAGATTGACAAAACAGTGGAGTTTGGAGGCACCATGTCCTATAGACACATTTCTAGTTATTTTCTGATATCAGAGAATTATGTCTGAATGGTATCTTATATCTTACATATAGATTCTTTATAGGAAAAGCATAAAGATTTGTCAATATCGTATGCCTTAGTCTTGTCTTACAGATATAGAGAGAACAAATACAGAATTGCGATCACTACAATTGCGTTAAAGTTTGTCTCTGCAAAAACGCCATCCTTATGAAAAACGCAAAAATATTGTTTCTGTGAAAGTTTCTAGGAATACAGTAATGCATAGAGGCGCACCAGAGGTCTTCCTTCACCAGTGAAGTTTAAAATCTAAAATGATAAAGTGCCTTTTGCATTTGTAATTGCATCAAATAATATAGTTTAATGTAGGTCATTTTCATATTTGTGTTTATAGATTGTAAAAGCAATAGAAGGAGGAACAAATGTGCTACGTGACCTCACCAGTAAAACTTCAGCTGATGATGTTAATACAGTCATGGACAACCTAGCTGATGTAAGCATTTATAGTGATATATTCTCTATCTGTTTATTATTGTAAACTTAATATGACATGATAGCATCCCTGCATTACTGTATGTTAAAAACCAAGAAATGGCCTTGCCAATCGAAAAGAACTTTTTAATTGTTTAATGACATATCAGAAGAGTTTTTAATTTTTTTGACAGTTTATTTGGTCATTTAAAATCTTATATTCGAATTAGTTTTTCAGCTGTACTGTGTAAAAATGAAGTGATAATAAATACATCCTAATATTTTATCGTAAAATGTGAAGAAAAACAAGAGCATAGCATGTAGTGTTAACACTTGTTTGTTTAAAGTTCTAAGTTAAATCAAAGGGCTGCAAGCTCTGTGGTATTTTCTGATCTTTGCAATCTAAATTATACTGACTATCTTTATGTATTTTCCTGTATAAGTTTGTTTTTAGATACTATTATTCATTTTACGCAGGGACTGCGTTTAGATTTTTTTCTATAACAGTTTGAGATTGATACATATGGAATTTTGCATGACTAGAGTTGCATCAAAAAATCATTTTTAATTTTTAGCTCACCTGTCACAAAGTGACAGGGTGAGCTTTTGTGATCGCTTTTCGTCCCGCGTCCGTCCGTCGTCCGTCTGTCGTCCGTCGTCCGTCCGTAAACTTTTACTTTAAATGACATCTCCTCATAAACCACTAAGCCAATTTCATCCAAACTTCACAGGAATGTTCCTTTGGTGGTCACCTTTAAAAATTGTTCAAAGAATTTAATTCCATGCAGAACTCTGGTTGCCATGGCAACCAAAAGAAAAAACTTAAAATATCTTCTTTTAAAAAACCCAAACAGCTAGAGCTTAGATATTTGGCATGAAACATCTTCTAGTGAGTGTCTACCAAGTTTGTTCAAATAAAAGCCCTGTGGTCAAAATTGGCCCCGCCCCAGGGGGTCATTGATTTTCCCTATATGCATATAGTAAAAACTTAAAAAATCTTCTTTAAAAGAACCCATAGAGCTAGAGCTAAGATATTTAGCATGAAACATCTTCTAATGGGTGTCTACCAAGTTTGTTCAAATAAAAGCCCTGGGGTCAAAATTGGCCCCGCCCCAGGGGGTCATTGATTTTCCCTATATGCATATAGTAAAAACTTAAAAAATCTTCTTTTAACCCAAAGAGCTAGAACTAAGATATTTAGCATGAAACATGTTCTAATGGGTGTCTACAAAGTTTGTTCAAATAAAAGCACTGGGGTCAAAATTGGCCCCGCCCCGAGGGTCATTGATTTTCCTAACATGTGTATAGCAAAAACTTAAAAAATCTTCTTTGAAAAAACCCATATAGCTTGAGCTTAGATATTAAGCATGAAACATCTTCTAGTGAGTGTCTACAAAGTTTGTTCAAATAAAAGTCCTGGGGTCAAAATTGGCCCCGCCCCAGGGGGTCATTGATTTTCCCTATATGCATATAGTAAAAACTTAAAAAATCTTCTTTGAAAGAACCCAAAGAGCTAGAGCTAAGATATTTAGCATGAAACATGTTCTAATGGGTGTCTACAAAGTTTGTTCAAATAAAAGCCCTGGGGTCAAAATTGGCCCCGCCCGGGGGTCATTGATTTTCCTTATATGTGTATGGCAAAAACCCAAATAGCTAGAGTTTAGATATTAAGAATGAAACATCTTCTAGTAAGTGTCTACAAAGTTTGTTCAAATAAAAGCCCTGGGGTTAAAACTGGCCCCACCCAGAGGTGACATTGTTTTTAACTATATGTGTATAGTAAAAACTTAAAAAATCTTCTTTTAAAAAACCCATGAGCTAGAGGTTAGATTTTAAGCAGGAAACATCTTTTTGTTGGTGTCTACCAAGTTTGTCCAAATAAAAGCCCTTGGGTTTAAATTGGCCCTGCCAAAGGGGGGGGGTGGGCGGAGGTCATTGTTTTTCATTATATGTGTGTAGTAAAAACTTAACATCATGAAACATCTTCTAATGGGTGTCTTCCAAGTTTGCTCAAATAAAAGCCCTGGGGTTTAAACTGGCCCCGCTCCGGGGGCCTATATACAGGTGAGCGACCTCAGGGCCATCATGGCCCTCTTGTTAATGAGAGCCACACTTTATCCTTGCATATCGTGGCTACTTCCTTAAAAAAGACACTTCAAAAAAAAAAGTTGCCTCGACTAAGATTTGAACCTTAGGCCTCTCACACCCTAAACGAGCGCGCTACCTCTGCACCACGGTGAAGTAATACGTATGTAGCTTGAATAAAAACAAATACATTGTAATTCTAAATTGAGAATTTCCATTTCGAGGTATTTTGTTCACGATAAACCTGTTGTTTAACACTGATGAAAATAATTTAGCGAAAATCTTCTTGCCAAAACAGTCCGACATGTATATATTCCACTACTCGACAGTCAGATTTATTTGTGTACTACGCTCTGGAGTATTCGGTGATCGACATAGCTAAAAATAGCATTTTCATTGATTAAGCTTTACAGAAATAGCCGAACATTTTTCATTGGGTAAAAAAGATATTCATCCGCAAAATTTGTGATTGTAATCTCATATTTCTATTGACTAATCTAAACTTTTAATGCACTGTTATTCGTTAAATGCTTACATTAAAAATTATTCTTTCTTTTAAACTGATCTTGTGATCAGAAAATAAAAAAACACCAGAAATGTTGCTTAATAATGTCTAACAACTGCCCTTTTGTCATGATAAGAAAGTATTCCATGTTTAATGTTGATAACTTTTAATATGTAAGAATAATGGATTACATGAAAGTTTTTACAAAAAACAACCATTATGATGGCGCTGTAGCTATCATATTACATGTAGCATACTTTTTTTTTTAATAGACAAGCTAATGATATTACACATATAATTATAAATTGCTTATTCCAAATGAAATTATCTGACAATTAGGTAACACAGACACAGGAAGATATAATGAATGAGTTGGGAATACCAAGTTTTATAGAGGAACCATCACAGTCAGAACTGGAGGAGGAACTGTCAATCATTCTGAATGAGGACACGCCTCCTAGGAAAACTTACAGGACAGGTGCTGACTCTGATGTGGAGAGAGAATTAGATGAGATTTTAAATGAAACTGATGATACAAAGAAGACAAAGGATTCTAGCAGGGAACTTGAAGACATGCTAGATGGTAAGCTGTTATATTTTCCTGGTCCTTCAGGATCATTGATTCAAACATATTTTTAATTACTGCTCAAGCCAGTGCTAGGGGCCATGGGGGATGTTGCACTTTTTCATTATCCCTCTTGTACAGACTCAATTAAACAGGGTCTGCAATTTTCATGTAATTTTGTAGTGATGAAAGGGATCCTGAAAAATGGTATGTAATAATTTTCTTGAGTTATTTTGCTCCTTTGTTAGAAAATAGAAACAACCTTGATGTGCACTTATTGCACTTGTTAAGTGTATCCCCCCCCCACACATGCCCCTATCTGTTTGGGATTTCCACTTTTGGATTATAAAAGTACATTACAGATAGTTTTGTTTATCAGTGATTTTCATCTACAAAGAAGTTTGAACTATATAGAAATGTAGTGTATAAAACTTACAATGAATAAAATGCTAAGGGTGTCGAGTCAAGGTCACCCAAGGAGGGTATATAGAATACATTGATGGTAGGCTAAGAGAGTATTTAAGAGTTTTTATAATACTGCACGTTTGTAACGTCGCTTTTCATTGGATAATCATGACGTTTATATAGTTTTATATACACGGCTGTTGTCGATTCATGAAGAAATCTTACTTTTTACTCTAATTAATGATGTTTGCTGTATTATAAATTCGTTATAAAGATTGTTGACAGGTTATATGGCTGTATATAAACGGCTGTTTGCAATATAACCCGAGCCGCTAGGCTTGGGTTATATTTACAAACAGCCATTTATATAGGGTCATATAACCTGTCAACAATCTTTATAACTAATAATATACAGCCAATATGTTCTTACTTAATTTTCAGATCTACAGTTACCTGATGTACCTACTACGTCACCATCAAAACCAAGACAAGATAGGAAACAACTTGCTTTGTGACGCAACATGTGTATTTGATGTGAGATGATTGAATGATTGACTGTAGAAAAGATATTAAATATTTATTAACATGAAATTATTGTCAATAAAATATAACTTTTGTGATACTGGAAAAGTGAAATCAAGGGTATAAATATTATGAATATATGCGTACATGTAAATAATTTTAGTTTTTGAAAGGAAAAAGGTTGCCTGAGATTCTATTTGGTAAACTATTTTATTTTTCATGTAATTGCAAAGGACTTAAGCAATGTCAAGGTGCTTTTCAAGTTAATGCTTCTGTATAAAAAAGAAATGTTTTGCTTATGTGATCAAATACAGATGCATACCAAAATATACACTGAAAATATTTGACTTTTTTGTAGCGTTTTATGCTAAAGATTAATAATATCTGTCATATGTTGCGGTTTGGGCCGGAATATCCGTCCCGAGGGGACCCGCCCCTTGGGCGGTAACAAGGCTTGCCGAGTTACCGCCCATGGGCGGGTTCCCGAGGGACGGATATTCAGATCCGAACCGCAAACATATGAAAGATATTTTTTCTTGCATATTCTGCCATATTATTTCATATTTAAAATGGTTTACCTCAATATGATATATGTTCATGGAAATTAAAGTCATTTCATCCATAACTATTTTCTTACAATAGCGTATGAACTTACAACTTCAATAACAACGGCGAAATGACGTCATCCTAAGACATATTTCCCTTCTAAAATGACGTCATTTTAACGCGGTTCATTCATAAAGTGCGCTAAAATGACGTTGTTGTTTGGCAGGCGACTCATCTGGCACCCCCATGCCAGATGAAATTTCCGGCATGGGTAAAACTCACAGAAACGCCAGTCTGCTATGCAAGAAAAATAAAACATGTATGTTATGTTTACAAGTGAAAAATTTGAGACAATTATTTGTTTACATGTATATTGTTTGTATATTTGTCAATTAAAATGTTTATATTTTTTATGATATTGAGAGATGGTTAGACCTAGTTGTCATGCATATAGGATTTAAATATTTCAGAGTGAAAGTTTCTCTCATGAAGTAATTCTAAAATCAAGAATATAATTTTTTATGTTTTCATGTGAGGAGGCTATCCAGCCAGCTCACAGAATATCAGTAGTTCTTATCTGGGTGCCTGTTGGTGACAGAAATAATGCAAACAAGGGGGGAGGGGCACCCCAAGGTCTTCCTCCGCTAGAAAAGCTGGAAAGTTGCAGTATGACCTATACTATGTTGGTGTGACGCAAGACCAATCCAGTATGTTCTTCTGTTCTACCTTTTATTGTCATAGATACCATTTCTCATAGCTTTTTAACTGTCTGATATCATAGATATTTGGTGAGTGGTACTTTCCATAAATCTTTACCAATAAGGTTTGGTTTCATATCATTTGGTCAATAAATGTAGGGCCAAAATAAAGATTCTTCTCATTTTAAGGCAATGTTTTTTTAAACCATTTTTTCTGAATATCTATAAGCTAACCAATTCTTATAATTGGTTTATATAATTAAAGGGACTCCACTTAAGTTTAAAAGTCTAAAAACATAACATTTGAATTTCTTACATAAATGAGCTGGGGCACTTTAAACAGTAATATATGCAAAGATAGTTAAGATATATACGTTGAAATAAATTTAAAATCGTACTTTTATGCTTTCCTTAACCTAATTTGAGTGAAAAGGGTTTAAACGCTTTTCAGTTTGGGTCAGTTTTTTACAATTTGAATAACTATTCTGGAAAAACGGTGTGCGCGAATGATCTGAAATTTTGCACAAAGATTAGTGGTCTAAACCTACATCAAATGGTACAAATATCTGGATAAAAATACTGTTGATGGGTGAGACTATAAATGAGGTCAACATTTTACCCAAAAATTGATCTTGATGGTGTTAAATTTACTAAAACGAGTGCCTGTTTTCAAAGTTTCTCTAAATTTTCTCAAATTAAAGTATATTGGTTGATCTTGTAAAATATTAAATATTTTTACTGTCTAGTTTTGATTTTATTGCACTTTGAAAATATCAGGTTTATTAAAAATAGATTTAGCATTATTTAGCCAATATTGCCCAATAATTACCTATATTTATTCAATGAATAAAATTAAACACTTTTTTTTCTTCCCAAAAGGGATATAAGAGATACATAATTATGTTAAAAGTAAGAAAAAAAAGTTGACCCTTCTAGGGTTGGAACCCACAGCTCTAAGCTTCAATGTATTTAACAGTAGTTCTAGCCTATTTGAATACTCTTCAAAGCGTAGGTAATAAATAAGGATGGTCATACCTTCAGATTGAATTTTACCTTTTTACGTATATTAAAGAAAACCTTTGTGCTTCTAATCAGAAAACTTTTTTTCAAATCTTATATTAATTCAAAAATACTGTGTTATGAAATATTTGCTGTAGTTCCTGCAAGTTATAAATTAGCCATATAAAGATTGATTTTAAAGTGCAATTTTTAAATGTAGATTTTATATAATATAAAGTGAAATAAAGTTAACAAATTAATAAAGTTTGTTGTTTAGTTATATCCCTACCACATAATGTAAGGATGCTGTACTAGAATCACCTTTAAAGGTCAGTATTCCATCTATTCATCTCCATTCTATAACTCCTTTACCCCTTACAGGATTTTTTTTTTTTTAATTTACCTCAAATGTTCACCTCTACAAGTAGATTTGCAGAACCTATGTTGTTGCTGTGAATGCTTGAGGTCAAATGTCAGGCACTTGTGTGTCTGCTCCTTAACTCTTGTACCCTTTGTAGTGTTTTTATCAAACCATCTCAAAATGTTCACCTAAACAAGGTGATGTGCAGAACCCATGCTGCTGTTGTACCAATTCAAGGTCACTGTTAACCGTCATACATGTATGTTGGCAATTGTACTTTTTTTTAAAAATGCTGTACCCCTTGAAAAAATTTCTTCGTATTTCACTTGTGTGGACCTCAAACTATTAATGTGTAGAATCCATGCCACCCTTGTGCTGGCTCAAGGTCACACTGGACAAATGTCTAAATCCATGCCACCCTTGTGCTGGCTCAGGGTCACACTGGACAAATGTCTAAATCCATGCCACCCTTGTGCTGGCTCAGGGTCACACTGGACAAATGTCTAAATCCATGCCACCCTTGTGCTGGCTCAGGGTCACACTGGACAAATGTCTAAATCCATGCCACCCTTGTGCTGGCTCAAGGTCACACTGGACAAATGTCTAAATCCATGCCACCCTTGTGCTTGCTCAAGGTCACACTGGACAAATGTCTAAATCCATGCCACCCTTGTGCTGGCTCAAGGTCACACTGGACAAATGTCTAAATCCATGCCACCCTTGTGCTGGCTCAAGGTCACACTGGACAAATGTCTAAATCCATGCCACCCTTGTGCTGGCTCAAGGTCACACTGGACAAATGTCTAAATCCATGCCACCCTTGTGCTGGCTCAAGGTCACACTGGACAAATGTCTAAATCCATGCCACCCTTGTGCTGGCTCAAGGTCACACTGGACAAATGTCTAAATCCATGCCACCCTTGTGCTGGCTCAGGGTCACACTGGACAAATGTCTAAATCCATGCCACCCTTGTGCTGGCTCAAGGTCACACTGGACAAATGTCTAAATCCATGCCACCCTTGTGCTGGCTCAAGGTCACACTGGACAAATGTCTAAATCCATGCCACCCTTGTGCTGGCTCAAGGTCACACTGGACAAATGTCTAAATCCATGCCACCCTTGTGCTGGCTCAAGGTCACACTGGACAAATGTCTAAATCCATGCCACCCTTGTGCTGGCTCAGGGTCACACTGGACAAATGTCTAAATCCATGCCACCCTTGTGCTGGCTCAAGGTCACACTGGACAAATGTCTAAATCCATGCCACCCTTGTGCTTGCTCAAGGTCACACTGGACAAATGTCTAAATCCATGCCACCCTTGTGCTGGCTCAAGGTCACACTGGACAAATATCTAAATCCATGCCACCCTTGTGCTGGCTCAGGGTCACACTGGACAAATGTCTAAATCCATGCCACCCTTGTGCTGGCTCAAGGTCACACTGGACAAATGTCTAAATCCATGCCACCCTTGTGCTGGCTCAAGGTCACACTGGACAAATGTCTAAATCCATGCCACCCTTGTGCTTGCTCAAGGTCACACTGGACAAATGTCTAAATCCATGCCACCCTTGTGCTGGCTCAAGGTCACACTGGACAAATGTCTAAATCCATGCCACCCTTGTGCTGGCTCAGGGTCACACTGGACAAATGTCTAAATCCATGCCACCCTTGTGCTGGCTCAAGGTCACACTGGACAAATGTCTAAATCCATGCCACCCTTGTGCTTGCTCAAGGTCACACTGGACAAATGTCTAAATCCATGCCACCCTTGTGCTGGCTCAAGGTCACACTGGACAAATGTCTAAAGCCATGCCACCCTTGTGCTGGCTCAAGGTCACACTGGACAAATGTCTAAATCCATGCCACCCTTGTGCTTGCTCAAGGTCACACTGGACAAATGTCTAAATCCATGCCACCCTTGTGCTGGCTCAAGGTCACACTGGACAAATGTCTAAAGCCATGCCACCCTTGTGCTGGCTCAAGGTCACACTGGACAAATGTCTAAATCCATGCCACCCTTGTGCTTGCTCAAGGTCACACTGGACAAATGTCTAAATCCATGCCACCCTTGTGCTGGCTCAAGGTCACACTGGACAAATGTCTAAAGCCATGCCACCCTTGTGCTGGCTCAAGGTCACACTGGACAAATGTCTAAATCCATGCCACCCTTGTGCTGGCTCAAGGTCACACTGGACAAATGTCTAAATCCATGCCACCCTTGTGCTGGCTCAGGGTCACACTGGACAAATATCTAAATCCATGCCACCCTTGTGCTGGCTCAGGGTCACACTGGACAAATGTCTAAATCCATGCCACCCTTGTGCTGGCTCAGGGTCACACTGGACAAATGTCTAAATCCATGCCACCCTTGTGCTGGCTCAAGGTCACACTGGACAAATGTCTAAGTTCTAGACCTCTTGAAGGACTTAATTCAAACTTCACTTAGTTCTACAAAGGGTAAATTGAAATATTCACATTGATTATTTTTCCCTATACTAGTGGTAAATACACCTTATCACTTTTAGTTTTAGCAGAGTAAAGGTTGATATACTGATTTAATTTGATTGACAACATTTGATACAGGGGCCCCCATGGTGGAGTGTCAAGGTCGCTGACTTCCTATCATTTCTCTTCAATGCTAATGTGAATCGGAATCCAGTCAGTGACTCTGGATTCTTTCATGTAGAAAAACTATCCAGCAAAGTTTTGGAAGGCTTGATGTTCTACTCCGGCACTCATTCATTCCTTAAAGAGTGGTACTGTTTGTCTTCTTTCACCAATATAGTGTAAAAGTGATCACATGTTAACTGTGGGTGTAACCCAAAAGCCAACAAAAACAGAAAAAAATAGACAATTGATATGTAAGTACTTTACATTTGATGTAGTGAGAGGTAGATAGGGTCATGGCTATATGAACTCCCTTTGGGGAGCATAAAAATTAGTGGTCTGAAGCCATATTCAAACTTGACCAATATTTTATGATGATCTGTGTACAAAAAATTTAAAAAAATCAATTGCCTTTAATTACTATAAAGTGGACTAACCATGGACTGACAAGCTCACTCCTATATATATCCCTTCTGTAAACTTCATTTGTTGGGGGTATAACTATAAGATGTAGACCTACAATGAAATGCCCTTATAATTTTAAACTAGAAATGTGTCGTCACGCAACGGGTGCCCCTGCATGCAGCCAAAATTTCAGATGTTACAATATTTAGGTCCAAATCTTTTAGCACAAACTATTTTTTTCATTTTAAGTTCACAGCCCTTAAAACTATTCAATGTAAACACAAACCATTTTTATACAAAGTTCAAGGTACTGAAACTATTCAGTGTTAACCTTTTGTAAATTGCATATTTGTAGCCAAAATAATGACTACATACATTTCTACAAAAGTAGGAGTGCTGAAACTAAATATTCAAAATTTTTCCAACATTCAAGAGAGATAACTTTGTCCAAAATCATTGAACCACGACCAAATTCAAACTTGAACTGCTTATTCCTAAGATGTATGTATATGTCAAATTTGAGTTGGATGTAAAAACCATTGGGGAGATAATGAACTAAATATTTCTGATTTTTTTTTTCAAAGTTCAAGAGGGATACCTCTGTCAGCTATCATCAAACAATGACCAAATTCAAACTTGACCAGTGTATCCATATGACATATCAATATATTAAATTTGAGTTGAATATGTACAACTGTTGAGGAGATAATGAACAGAAACTGAAAGTTTCTTTGACATATCCATATGTCAAATTTAAGTTGTTTCACTTTACGCCTTTTCCCAACAGTATTTCAGTCATATAGGCGGTAGTTTCCTGACCATTGTTCCTGGAGAGTTACACCAGTACTAGACTACCTTCCTCCACAGGGGCGTCCGTGGCCGAGTGGTTAAGGTCGTTGACTTCAAACCACTTGCCCCTCACCGCTGTGGGTTCGAATCCTGACAGGGATTCTTACATGTGAGGAAGCTATCCAGCTAGCTTACAGAACGTCGGTGGTTCTACTCAGGTGCCCGGTCGTGCCTGAAATAATGCAGGGAAGGGCACCTGAGGTCTTCTTCCACCAGTAAAGCTGGAACATGGCGATATGACCTATACTGTGTCGATGTGACGTAAAACCCAAAACAAAAAAAAAACCTTCCTCCTTGGTAAAGTACCAAAGCATCTCTCGGAGATCCAACCCACGCCAGAGAAGTAACTGGATTAGAAGTCATCAACTCTAACCCCTCGACCACGGAGGAGGTAAATCTGAGTTGAATATGTAATACCGTTGGAGACATAATGAATGGAAACTGAAAATTTCATATTATTTTCAAAGTGAAAAGAGCATAACTCTGCCAAAAATCATCGAACCATGACCAAATTCAAACTTGACCTGTGCATTTCTTTGACGTATCCATATGTCAAATTTGAGATGAATGTGTAATACTGTTGGAGAGATAATTAAACGAAAACTTAAAATTTCATGTTATTTTCAAAGTAAAAGGGGCATAAGTCTGCAACCAAAAAAATCATCAAACCATGACCAAATTCAAACTTGACCTGTATTTTCTCATGATATATCCATATATTAAATTATTACTTGAGTTGAATGTGTGCAACCATTACTAAGATAATGAATGGAAACTAATGATGACGGAATGACAGAATGACCGAACAGGGTAACACTATATGCCCCAGCCATATGGCGGGGGCATAAAAATAATTATATGCACACAAACTCAAAATAACAAGAAATGTAACAAAAATAGCTGTTACAAGCACTTTATTCCTTGTTTCATTATAAAATGGAATGAAAAAAGTATTTTCCATAAAAAAAGTAAATATTTTTTATGGGAACACACACAATTATCCTGTTTATTTTACATGGTATATAAGTTATTATTGCACTAAATATGAAACATATGATCCCAATGTTATCATTTGCAAGCTATAAAATCGAATGTCATCTGCACCAGTTCATTTAAGCTGACCAACTTCTCTCTTTAAGATGTATACGGACTAGCTTGGCTCGGCATCTGGCTTTAACGTTTTTGTCTTTAATGATAAAACTGCCATCAAAGGTAGGTGGTCGGATGCTGCATTGTAACTATAAGAAATTACAATATACATGTAATATTTGAAACAATGTTAAAGTTGTACATTAACAAAAGCAACAAAAAACATAATCGTTGACAAAAAAGGGCAGACATAGCAGAGTGGTTAAGATGTCTGCCTTTCAAATGAGGAATCACTTATATATCACGCCTACAAGGGAAATTTTCCCTCTTGTAGAATTATGTCACATGATGACATCATCAGCTGAAATCACAGTCTGCATGAAATTATCATATTCAATTTATTCAGTTTTCTGCCAAGTTTTTCAAATTGATAATATATGATTTCATAGAAAGTTGAAATCACAGCAATTTTTGTTACTATTTATGGTGACACATTTGGTAATTCTTACATTGCTGAAACCAGTGTAAGGTAAGGCCAGTCTGCACATATTTGTGGTAGCACCATCCAGTAAGCTCAAAAGGTAGAGCTTCAGACAGTTAATCGGGCGATCATGGTTCAATTCCCAGATGGTGCAGGTTGACTAATGTTAAATTCTAATCTTGATATCCCTAAAATTGATGATAATAGACAGTCTGAAAAAAATGAAAACTGGGAAAGTCCATTTAAGAATCTAAGCAAGTTAAAAGTTACAATACCTTCTACCACCATCATCTGGAATGTAACAGTCTTCTATTTCACAACACTGATCATCACCACGATAGAATATGTAGTCAATCTAAAACAAGAAATTAACAAGAGATGTTTGTAAAACATGCATGTGCCCCTCGCCAGCATGTCAAAAATTGCATGCCATGTTGCCAAGACTTCATTTTGAAATTCAAGGTCAATGTGACCGTGATCTTTAACCTCTCAACCGAAAAAGGGTCATCTACTGCAAAAGACCAATGTTTCTAGGAAGTTTGTGTGCCTGGAAGGGCCAATTGGTTGTTAAGATATTAGTTGGAAACATTTTTGCCATACAAGGTCAATGTGACCTTGAACTTTGAACCGGAACCCTAGAATAAATTGGGGTCATTTACTGGCAAATAATAATCCACCTGTGGGGTTTGAGGGCCCATGGGATGTTAAGTAATTAGTTCAAAAATGTTTTGAATTGTACACTAATTTCTAGCAACTTAACAGTATAATGGTATTTCCAAAAGCTAGGTGGATAGCTTCCTCCTATGATAGAATCAAACAAAAGTCAAACACACAGCAGTGAGGGGCAAATGATTCAAGAAGACCTTAATCTCTCAACCACAGAAGTTCCAATCTCTGCATTTTAAATTTATTTGATGTAAAGGTATTGTACAGTGTGAAGCCATAGGTACAAGCAAAAAAGTAGATACTGATTAATGTTTAAGTTAGAGATGTGTAAATATTGGCAAATTTCGCGAAATTGACGAAAATCCCTAAAATTTCCTCTAGCGTAAATATTAACCAACATGTCATTAGATTCTACCCTGGCATGATTCGCTAATATTTCCTCACACGAAATGTCTGGTATTTAAAATTCAATTACTTTTGAACATGGGGATATATCCACTTAATATACAGTAATATTTGATTTGCTGAAATAGGTCAACTCTATGGCCATACAGGCAGATGTTGTATAGACATTCAATATATTTGACACATTGATCGTAATATTTTACTCAAGGGATTGTAACCTACCCTTTTAGTGAGATTCTTCTCAAGTGTGTTAAATGTAAACCCTTTATCATTTGGGTGTTTTTTTGACCACACATCAATCAGTCCTGATCTCTCCGTTCCTGGAAACTCAGCTTTTCCCCTTAAATATCTGAATAAAAAAGTAAAGGTAAATTTCATAATAAACACAAGACATAATTGTCATGTTATTCGAAATAAGTTCATTTATCACATAAACCATGGTGCAGGAGTATAATAAAGCCATTTAATAAAAACGATATTACACTAGTGTAATAACACTTTGACGTGACCTCATTTGCGCTATATGTAAACATAGCGTTAAAGCGCGCTAATGTTAGCGTTACACTACAGGTGAGTCAATGAAAAATTACAGTTTATTGTTCTTATTTTATATATGTGATAAATAAAATATTATATTCATGCAGATTCAATACTAAATTAATTGAACTCTTTGAATAGAACAATATTATGTTTTCCAGAGGCTTGCATAATATGATTTCATTCAACTGGTTCAATAAATTTAGTATTAAACCTACACTCATTCAAAATCCTCTATACATTACTACTGAAAGAAGAACTTGGAAAATCAGTCAGGATACAATTATCAGTATACATTTAATGTAAACTTCAATATCAACAAAATATACAAATGTATGTATTCATGTGATAATTTGCGATATTTCAATGTCGTAACAAAAGTATTTAGTTGTTCCAAAGTTTGGACCTGGTCATCTTCTGGTCATACTGTACACTCTAACTTTGACCTATTTAGGCCAAAAAAGGTCTGTATATCTGACACATACATGTTTAGTTCTTCCATACAAGTTTAAAAAAGTATACTTACTGCATGGCAGGCTCATGTGGTTCTGCATTTAGATTATGCATCAAAATCATTTAAAGATATGACAATTTGAGGAGATTCACATTGATGGAGAATACGTATTATGGGAAGAAATTTTTCCATACATACATGTTTAGTTCTTCCATACAAGTTTACAAGTTTCATAAAGTATACTTACTGCATGGCAGGCTCATGTGGTTCTGCATTTAGATCCCCAAAAACTATTGCTGGTCCTTTCACTTGATTGACACGATTCCATATCTGTACTACAGATTTCTCCCTAGCCTCGTGACTCAATGACAAATGGGTGTTGAAAATATGAACCTTAAAAAAAGAAATAAAAGCTGGCTCCTGACTGGATCCTTCGGAAAACTGTTAACAAGAGCTGGCTCCTGGCTGAATCCTTAAGAAAACTATTAACAAGAGCTGGCTTCTGGCTGAATCATTAGGAAAACTATTAACAAGAGCTGGCTCCTGGCTGAATCATTAGGAAAACTATTAACAAGAGCTGGCTCCTGGCTGAATAATTAGGAAAACTATTAACAAGAGCTGGCTCCTGGCTGAATCATTAGGAAAACTATTAACAAGAGCTGGCTGCTGGCTGAATCATTAGGAAAACTATTAACAAGAGCTGGCTGCTGGCTGAATAATTAGGAAAACTATTAACAAGAGCTGGCTCCTGGCTGAATCATTAGGAAAACTATTAACAAGAGCTGGCTCCTGGCTGAATAATTAAGAAAACTATTAACAAGAGCTGGCTCCTGGCTGAATCATTAGGAAAACTATTAACAAAAGCTGGCTCCTGGCTGAATCATTAAGTACAAACTGGTAATAAGTCAGAGTAGAACTTTAATTTGCCATCCCAAACATTCATGAGACTTAAACTGAAGCAAATAATCTTCTGTACGAAGACTCTCATCATATACATGTAATTAAATTCAATTCTAATTTTCTTCTTAATTACAATACATGTATTTACAAAATGCAATATATTAATAGCATAACACTAAATGAAACATTTCCATAGAAAAAAGCATTGTTGTTTCTTACCATTCCTACAGATGGGACAAAAATATCCGCTTGTAATAAAACCCTTTGATGTGTGTCAGCACTATTACTGCGATTTCTGTAAGATAAAAAATTGAAATTACCTTGGCAACAGGTTTTTGTTAACAACAAATTGAAAGCAATGACTACTTTGGCAACAGGCATAGAAGTTTATCAACTACAATTACCTAGCTTGGCCACAGTGTTGCATTGAAGAAAAAAGTACTACCATTTCCTTGACAACAGTATTGTATGGAAGAGGAATTAACTACAATTTCCTTGGTTACAGTATTGCACAGCTAGAAGAACAAGAGCTGTAGGTAGGACAGCGTGCTCGAATATTCTCAGATCTTGATAGTAAACAAGATCCTTGATAACATAGAATTTTACATAGGACCATAATTATGTTAAAATCCATGTAAGAGTTGTAAACTTTAAATAGTGACCTCCTACTTTGCTCTTAAATAAGACTTACTGAGTCTTAGTTTCAATCCATTCCCTTCAGTAGTTAAGAAGATACCATCTTACATGCAAAATAAGATTTTATAAGTTGAAAAAGGGACATAATATGCAAAGCAAATCAGAGTTATAAGACTTGCGCTTATCATGTTAGATAATCACTAAAACAAGCATGTGAATTTTCAATCCATTCCTTTCAGTTTTTATGGAGATACCAGCTTGTACAAAAAAACTTAACTAAATCTATACAAGAATCAGGATGACGGGGACAAAATTACGGGAATTTTTTAAAATCAGGCTGGGATGTCACATGTATGCATTCAGTATAATCATTTTAATATAAATATGTTATGTGTTACTTTCTCTAGTGTCACTTTCAAAACTGAAAAAAAAAACTTTGATAAAACTAATACAAAATTGACTTACATAAATAACATGAGACTGTCGTGTGACAAGATTGGATATTTTGACATAATAGCTACACCCTCTTCTGTTCTTCCCTCGTATGGAGTGTTTAATTGCATTTGAGCCGGTTGGAACACATACTGTAACAATAAATGGAAAACTTTAAAACTTTAAAAATTAAAACTGTAAACAATCATGTTACACTGTGATACATATTCAAAATTAAACCCTACTTTTGATCAGAAAGTTCACAGCCCACAATTACAATCAAAGCACTTATAGTCCAGTCAATATAACTATTAGGGTGAACTAATTGCAAAAGCTTTTAAATTCACACTAAACCTTAAGAGTATGACGATAGTATAACTGTTTTGAGGACTGTATAACTGTTCACAGGAAAATCGTCTGAGCCTCCTGACCGTTGTACACTGTTACCTTTAAGATAGTTTTTCAGTTCTGTACCGGCAGTCGGTGAAACATTCTTATAACCCGACATTTTGGCAACTACTCTGTCACAACATATGATTCAATACCGGACAGTGGTTTTTACTCGGGACAATATATTATTCATTACCTAATATCGTTATAATCACTCTATCACAAAATACTCTTCATTACCTGATATTGTGGTAGCCACTCAGACAACATATGTATTTGACACGGACCAAGGTTCTCTCCTTTTACCTCTTCATATCGTACCTCCTGTAACGCAATCACGTCTGCATCTGCTTTTAATATTGCCTAAAAATACAGTTAGGAATCCTTTATATTATAATTGTATTATAACATGTTGATTAACTAAAGTGAATGGTTTATTCAAGATATAATATTATCTTTCTAGCATTTTGGGCCTCTGTAGTCCAGCAGTTTAGGTCGCTGACTTCAAATCATTTGCCGCTCACCGCTGTGGTTTCAAATCCTGTCAGCAATTTTAAATACTTTCAAGTTAGAAAGCTATCTGGCTAGTTTAAGGAAGGCTGTGGTTTTACTCAGATTCACACTCATGCCTGGAATAAAGGACGGGAAGTTGGGAACCTGATGTCTTTCCCCACCAGTTAAACTGGAAAGACCCCATAAAGTCCATCAAAACAAGAATTTGTAACAGAGTTACCAACGTCCTCCTCCTCAGGGAAGTTTTATATGAAGCATAAAATTGTGCTACTTCAAAAGATTGAGGTATGGATCTTAGGACTTTCAGTGCAAAATTATAATCAATGCTAGATCTGCAAATGCTACAATAAATTTATTAAAGAAATAAAATGAAACATGGAATTTAATACCCCCACAAGACTGCTTCGGAAATGAGGATGTTACTAGTAACAGAATACCTTGTAAAAGAATTGAAATATAGAGTTATGGTTGTGGGCAATTAAAGATAGTTGTGGTTCTTATATGTAGCATTTCCTTTCAATGTGGTTGGCCATTGATGAAGTTTAATTGAATTACTCTGTAATAAGTCCAGAAAGACAAAGAAAAGGAACAAAGGGCAATAACTCTATAAATACTGAAGATAGAGTTATAGTTCTTGTGCACCTGCACTTCCTCTTATTGTGCTTGACCATTGTATGAAGTTGTTTTGAATTCCAACCAGTAAGTTTTAAGTTATGCTCCTGTCAAAGGGCAGTAACTCTGTATTTTGTCAAAATGGAGTTATTGCTCTTGTGCACTGCACTTCCTTTTAATGTCCTTGACAACTGTATGAAGTTGTATTGAATTCCAAACAGTAGTTTTTAAGTTATGCTCTGGACAAGGAAAAGTTACAAAGGGCAATAACTCTGTAATTAGTCAAGATGGAGTTATGGTTCTTGTGCACTGCACTTTCTCTCAATGTGCTTGACCATTGTATGAAGTTATATTGAATTCCAACCATAAGTCTTCAATTATGGTCCGGACAAAAAAGGCAATGGAAAAGTAACAAAGGGCAATAACTCTGTAATTACTTTAGATAGAGTTATGGTTCTTGTGCACTGCACTTCCCCTTATTGTGTTTGACAATTGTATGAAGTTGTTTTGAATTCCAACCAGTAGTTTTCAAGTTATGCCCCGGACAAGGAAAAGTAACAAAGGGCAATAACTCTGTAATTAGTCAAGATAGAGTTATGGTTCTTATGCTCAATGTGCTTGACCATTGTATATAGTTATATTGAATTCCAACCATTAGTCTTCAAGTTATGGTCCGGACAAAAAAATAAATGGAAAAGTAACAAAGGGCAATAACTCTGTAATTACTTTAGATAGAGTTATGGTTCTTGTGCACTGCACTACCCCTTATTGTGTTTGACAATTGTATGAAGTTGTTTTGAATTCCAATCAGTTGTTTTCAAGTTATGCCCCAGACAAGGAAAAGTAACAAAGGGCAATAACTCTGTAATTAGTCAAGATAGAGTTATGGTTCTTATGCACTGCACTTTCTCTCAATGTGCTCGACCATTGTATGTAGTTTTATTGAATTCAAACTATTAGTCTTCAAGTTATGGTCCGGACAAAAAAAAAGCAATGGAAAAGTAACAAAGGGCAATAACTCTGTAATTACTTTAGATAGAGTTATGGTTCTTGTGCACTGCACTTCCCCTTATTGTGTTTGACAATTGTATGAAATTGTTTTGAATTCCAACCAGTAGTTTTCAAGTTATGCTCCGGACAAGGAAAAGTAACAAAGGGCAATAACTCTGTAATTAGTCAAGATAGAGTTATGGTTCTTGTGCACTGCACTTCCTCCCAATGTGCTTGACCATTGTATTTAGTAATACTGAATTCAAACTATTAGTCTTCAAGTTATGGTCCGGACAAAAAAAAAGCAATGGAAAAGCAACAAAGGGCAATAACTCTGTAATTACTTTAGATAGTTATGGTTCTTGTGCACTGCACTTCCCCTTATTGTGTTTGACAATTGTATGAAGTTGTTTTGAATTCCAACCAGTAGTTTTCCAAGTTATGCCCCGGACAAGGAAAAGTTACAAAGGGCAATAACTCTTTAATTAGTCAAGATAGAGTTATGGTTCTTGTACACTGCACTTCCTCTCAATGTGCTTGACCATTGTATGTAGTTATATTGAATTCCAACCATTAGTCTTCAAGTTATGCTCCGGACAAGGAAAATGCAACGGACGTCTGGACCGACCGACCGCCCGACCGACCACCGGGTGACTCCTATATACCCCCCAAACTTTGTTTTTGGGGGTATAAAAATCTATCATGTTTGACTTTGACCTCTAAGTGTGACCTTGACCTTGGAGGTAGGGGTGCAAGTGTTGTGCATGAAATACATGTATCAAGTTATTATTGAAACTTTTTTGAAACTTCTATGAAGAAGTTATATTTCAGACACAAAATATACCCATAACAGACTATTTTAATCTTTGACCTCTAAGTGTGACCTTGGAGGTAGGGACCCATGTTTTGCGCCTGACATATTGTCTTATTATTGTGGTTATTTGTGCAAAGTATTTCTAAAATCCCTTGATCTATGAAAAAAATATGGACTGGACACAAAATATACCCTACAACAGACTATGTTGTCTTTGACCTCTAAGTGTGAACTTGACCTTGGCGATAGGGACACAGGTGTTAGGCATTACATATCATCTTATTATTGTGAACAATTGTGGCAAGTATTTACAAAATCCCTTCAAAGATAAGAAAATTATGGACTGGACACGACATATCAGGTGAGCTAAAAAGAATTCCTGGCCTGTCCAGTACATGTATATCAATCAACAAATCAGAAAGAGTTCTCCATGAAACATTTGTTGCCAAAGCATTACCTAAAACAAAATTTCTATATGTTCAAGCTCAAGACCATTGTTTAGGAAATAGATATCAATTCTGAGTGCATTGTTGTAGAATAATGCACGGTTTGAGTTCAAATGCGTAGTAACATAATCACGAAGGCCAATAGGCCGGAGTGATTAATTACAAAGCATTTGAAATAACAAGAACTGTCGGAGGACAGTAACGCTGGACTATTCGAAAATTTGTCACAAGGGTGTTTCATTGAGTATAAAAATGCTTACCTATATGAATACATAAAATTGTCCGAAAAGGTACAAACCCTTCAAGTTTCAATACATTCCCTTCAGTAGTTATGGAGATACAAGCTTACATACAAAAACTTACCCAAGAATTTATGAATCGAAAAAGGGGCATAATTATGCGAAAAAGTAAATCAGAGTTATGGGACTTGTGCCAATCATCTTAGATAATCACAGAGACCAAGTGTGTGAAGTTTCAATCCATTCCCTTCAGTAGTTATGGAGATACCAGCTTACATACAAAAACTTAACCAAGAATTTCTAAGTCGAAAAAGGGGCATAATTATGTAAAAAAGCAAATCAGAGTTATGGGACTTGTGCCAATCATCTTAGATAATCACAGAGAACAAGTATGTGAAGTTTCAATCCATTCCCTTCAGTAGTTATGGAGATACCAGCTTACATACAAAAACTTAACCAAGAATTTCTAAGTCGAAAAAGGGGCATAATTATGTAAAAAAGCAAATCAGAGTTATGGGACTTGTGCCAATCATCTTAGATAATCACAGAGAACAAGTGTATGAAGTTTCAATCCATTCCCTTCAGTAGCTATGGAGATACCAGCTTACATACAGAAACATAACCAAGAATTTCTAAGTCGAAAAAGGGGCATAATTATGTAAAAAAGCAAATCAGAGTTATGGGACTTGTGCCAATCATCTTAGATAATCACAGAGAACAAGTGTGTGAAGTTTCAATCCATTCCCTTCAGTAGTTATGGAGATACCAGCTTACATACAAAAACTTAACCAAGAATTTCTAAGTCGAAAAAGGGGCATAATTATGTAAAAAAGCAAATCAGAGTTATGGGACTTGTGCCAATCATCTTAGATAATCACAGAGAACAAGTGTGTGAAGTTTCAATCCATTCCCTTCAGTAGTTATGGAGATACCAGCTTACATACAAAAACTTAACCACAGGGACGCCGAAGCCGACAAATGGGTGACTGCATTAGCTTGATTATTCTGCGAATAGTCGAGCTAAAAACCGTGCATTACTATACAATAATGCACAAAGAATTAATATCTATTTCCATTCCAACACGTCAAGAAAAAATATAACAATTATTATATAGTTGGACTTTATGTTTGGTGGTTAAATTTGATTTCACCTAAGAGTTTCCAATAGAAACATTCTTTAAAGGCTGTTCCAGTGGGTTGAAAAACACTGTCGTTACATCTACTGTGTGTAGAAACATTTTTAGAATAACTAATTTTGAAAACGTTGATAAAAGTTTGTTTGTTTATTTTATTTCACTCTATATTTTTCAAGCGTAATACAAAGAAAAAAAAGTGAAATAAATGGGAAATTTAACTCGTTTTTGAAATTAAAATAGTGTTCTTGAATTGATTGTTTTGAACATGCTGTTTGGCGCTACATTGTGATGTCACGCTTAAAACGTCTGTACAGCGTTAACGACTGAATTAAAGATATTCAGGTTTTCAGATTCATTTTCTTAGTTAGACCATTTTCTTTCATTCTAGATAGTTTTCACAACGAAATTCAACAAAACATTGTTTTTTATTTATTATGTTTTTCAAAGAAAATGCGCCGTCAATGTGAAAATACACAGGGAGATAATAAGAACGGCAAGTGCATTGTTGTAGAATAATGCACGCTTCCGGCCTTCTTTGTCTATATAGAAAAAAATCTGATAGTGCTAGAATTTTAAATATAGCATTTATATGAAACTTCAATTAAGAATAAAGAATATGACCATGGCTTAAATTTGTACAAGCCAAGGGTAAAATTAAAAATTCCTTAAAAATCAAGTTACCAGTAATTGCTTGTTTTATATTGACAAAAAAGTACATACAAAAACAAATTGTCTTCAGTAATTTTATTTTCATAATAAAAAAGGCAAATGTCAGCATTACACAATTAAGAACAATAAACTTCATAATTATCTTACAAAGAACATAAAGACAGATTTATAGGACTGCTTTGTTTTGATTTACATGCCATATGACATGCAATATGAACAAAAAACAACTTTCAAATTGGAAACCTGAACCTTGGAAACTATTATGACAACGTTATGTTAAACAATTATTAACAAAATTGGGAAAGTTCATAAATTTGTTTGAATTGCTTCATTTGAAGTCAACATTAAACCTTCATTAATTTTACCTACTTCACATCACATTTTAACATATGATTCTTGCGACTAATATTATGAGTGAAAGTTTTCTCGCAGAAGTCACACTTGAATGGTTTTTCTCCTGTATGTTGTCTCATATGTGCTTTCAAGTTATTATTCTGTACGAAAGTTTTTTCACAAATGTTGCAATGAAACTTTTTCACATTTTGATGAATATTTTCATGTCTTTTCAACATTGTCTTTAACTTGAACTTCTTGCCACACTTTTCACAGGGAAAATTCCTATCTTCAGAATGTATACGGAGATGAGTTCTCATGTAAAACCTGTTCTTTAAATATTTACCACAAATATGACACATATATTTACGCTCAGTTTCATGCATGGCTTCGATATGATAACGTAAAGTTGTTTTAGTGAACGCTTTGTATGGACATTCAGAGCAAAAGAAATTTCTGTTCCGATTTCTACATTTTTTCAAATGATAATCTAACTTTATCTTTGCAGTATAAGTCTTTCCACAGCAATCACAGACCATACAAGACTTTTTATCTTCCTCTGTCGGGTGTCTTACCTTCATATGATTAGAAAGTTTCGACTTGTACGCAAAAACTTTCTGACATAGCTCGCATGCATGACCTTTCTTACCCGTATTATGAATTTCAATCATGTGACACTTCAATGACATTGACAGGCTAAATTTAGCATTACAATATTCACACGTAAACTGTTTACCAGAATGTTTTGCCTCATTGTGAAAATATAGTCCACTTTCAGTTTTGTATGCTTTGCCACAAGGCTCGCATTTCCAAGATTTCTCTGTCTGAAGTCTACTCTTCATTTTTTCAACTCTTATCTTTTTCATTTTTCTATCTACTCTAACAACATCATGGACTTGGTTCTTCTGGGTCTTGTGCTTTAGACTGGTGTGTGCATCAAGTTGGCAACTTACTTTAAATGACAGGTCACACTTATCATATGTTAGCTCATCTTGCTGGTGTGCCTCAAGGAGATGTATTCTTAGACTGTTTTTTAATCTAAAAACACGGTCACAATATTGACATTTCAATTTGGACAAACCATGTGTATGTTCTGATTCCTGTTTTGTTATATTAATTCTATTGGGTCCAACAGAAGATGTGGTTTCATTTTCGTTAGCTTCTTGATCTTTCTGAATCTTCTTTCTCCCTTGTCGCCTTACTCTTGACTGTCTTATTATTTCAGTCCAATTTTTTTCAGTACCTTTGTCTTTATTGTCTTCATTGCTTTCTTCAGAATCACAATCATGTTCAAAATGAGATTCATTTTTATCTGACAATGTATCAAAACCAATTTGATTAACTCCAGTAGCAATAGAGCTACATAAATCTGCTTTCAGTTGTTCACCATTATCATTATCACCACTTACTGGCTTACAAATACTTATATTTGCCCCAATGACATCACTGTCTATATCATTACTATCTTTCTGTTTCTCTTGAAAAGCTTTTTCTATAAAATTACTATAATCATCTTCAACATCACTGAAAACTTCACTTTCTGTATGAATTTTTTTCTCATTTCCACTTTCATAGTAATTACCTTGAATGATATTTTCTCCTTTTGTTTCCAGCAATGTTATAGGTACATTGTTTCTTTTAATAAAATGTAAAGTGCTTTCTTCTTCCTCTTGTTCGTCTTCAGTAAAAATGTCCACTTCATCTTCATTTACATGCATTTTATCATCATGATGGCCTCGTGCAGATATATAACAATCTTCCGTCCCATTGCTTACCTTTTTCTTATCAACAGATGAGTCATAAAAGTTTATTTGTTCTTTTTCAGCACCAGACAGTACAGATATGGTACATGCATATACTGTTTGTGTGTATTTACACACAGCGTCAAACTTGGGAAATGCTGTCTGCACTATGTGGTTGTAGTAGTAAGAACCTCCTTCCGTGTGTGATTTTATATGAAGGTGGAGAGTACAAACTGAATCAAACTTTGATTGGCATCCGCCACATCTGTATACAACATTTTTTTGAGACAGTTCTGCTGCACTTCCATCAGTAATTGGGTCTCTTTGTAGACTTAATCCACAGATGTGTGCCATCATATACTTATCTGAAAAAGAAACAATAATCTTGTAGAGATAACATAGATTTGAATCTATTAACCAAAAGTAAATTTAGAAAATTACAAATTAAAAAGGAATTGTTGGTAGGACATTGAGCTTGACTATTCTCTGTGCTTGATATTGTAGAATTTTTTAAGTTCAAAAGGGCCATAATTCTGTCAAAATCCATGTTAGAGTTATGAGCCATGAACAGTGACCTCCTTTTATGCTCTAAAACACAAGTGTGTGAAGTTTCAACCCATTCCCTTTAGAAGATACCAACTTGGACGCAAAAGCTTAACAAGATTGTGATGCCAATTCTTGTGTCTTCAATTAGCTCTCCCTATTTGAAAAGTCAATTTCTGAAAAATCAAAGTTTATGTGTATTGCGACAAGTTCGATATGGGGAAACAGAAATTTCATAATATTAAAACTGCAGAAATATTATATGTACTTATAATAATAAAGTTATATGGTACACAGTCCATTACTGAGAATAATGGAGCATGCTGTGTGAGGATAGTTCTTGGTATATTTTTCCACATATATCAAACTTGTGGCAATACACAATTAACCAGGCTCTTTCCCATTTTTCAAGGTCTTGAAGATCCCTTTGTAGAGATATACGCTTGTTCATTGTTTTCTTTTGGTTGGGTTTTTGTCTCACCAACACAGTATACTGGTCATTTGGCGACTTTCCAGCTTTACTGGTGCAGAAAGACCTCAGGTGCCCCTCTGTACATTATTACAAGTCCAACTAATTAGACTTGTCAAAGAGACATCAAGATATTTTGGATGTGCAATGTCTTTTTCCAAAAAAAAGTTTGTAAAATGGGTCAAACTGTTCACGCTGAATTAATTAGGCTACATTATTACAGGCACAAATATGCAGCAGAGTAGAATCACCAATCATAAACTAGATGGATGTTGCTCAAACCTACAGCAATGAGAGACAAGTAGTTTGAAGTTAATGACCTTAAACACTCAGCCACAGATGCCACTCCCATTTGAGTGGTCAGTCATGTAACAAATACACTAAGTAATAATAGTTTATCAGCTAACAATATTTTTGTTTTTTCATTAGTCACGGCCCAAAAGTTAATTAATATATGAAAGTAAGGGGCAAAGTCCAAGGACGGACATGTCACGGTCCAATTTGTTTTAGTTATGAATGTAGTTATTCTTACTTTTAATGTTTATCCGAATTCAAAGATATCCAAAATTCACTACATTTTTTGTGTGCTCAGATCCTAACAGCAATAACGATGTTGATTATTGCTAATTTTACACTTTTTGGTTTTGTATAGTTTAAAATCAATATAAATCTACTCAATAACATCCTTCCAATAATGAAAATGAATATAAACTAATCAATATTGAAATCGTTTCTATCAGTTACAAATGGCGTTGTACATATAAGGGGAAGTAACTATTCGAAACATGTAAAAGTATCAGCTGCCCACATTGTTAATTTGAGCAGGTACGGTTAAAATCTTTTCAAAATGTAGTTGTGAACAGAAGAAAGTTTATCTGCTCATTTGTCTATATGTCTTAGGGGCCAAGGTGTCAATTTAAAATGTCACAGAGTCATTTCATTGTATCGCTATCATTATGGCTTATCATACTGTGCAGCTGCCAAGAAGGCCTTTTTATTTCACTGGCCATAGATATCTAGAACTTATATGGGATAACAAACATATCTCAGTACTATAATGGATAAAGGACTGTTTAAATATTACCTTGATGCAGCAACAAAGTCATTTCTCACAAATGTTCTTTCCATAATGTAAACTGGAGCTGTACGGTCTACTCTTCGTAGCATCAGTTCTTATTCTGGCATATCACCGAAAGAAAAGAAGTTATCTCTGCAGTGACACTTCTTTATTTCTTGATATCTCCATACAGTTGAAAGTTACTTGAGTAACATTAATGTTCATCTTTGACTTGACATTTTGGGCAAAATTTTAAATATTATTTATAGCACCTGTTAATGATTCTGTTCCAAAAAAAGCTTAATTCTATCTGTAGATATCCAAATTTCGCCAAAGGCTACCCTGACACAAAATGTTGAAAAATCTGCAGGAAACAATATCATCTGTAGATTGGAAAAATGTGAACCTTGTTGAAGAGATAAATTACAGCTTACAGAAGCATCAACTTATGGTACCATTGATATATTGCATGGAGGCTTCCTATTTAAAAGCCTTCTGTAAATCATTGAAGGTCTTTAGCAAAGAACAGACATGTTTTTTTTGTTTTCAATAGATTTTGATAAATAGATGACAATAAACACGATAAAAGTGTTATAAGATCTCCTTATATGAAGAAAAAACATGATTAAGAAGGTCATATTTTTTTTTCGTAACACAATAGATAATTTCCACCGCCCTTTAAACTGAAGATATAGGAATATCCCTATCTAATTTTGTTGACTTATAAGTCAGTTATATTCGTGTATAAATACTAATAACTTCTTTAAAACAAATGACATAATTTATAATATCCTGTTAACAAGAGTGGCAGCAGCTTAGGAGCTGAATACATGTACAATCATACCTGTTTTAGCCTGGCCATTCTCTCAGTGTAGCCACCGACTCTTGTAGATTTTGAGCTCATATGCCATATATTATATGACATCACTTTTAGATGTTTAAAAGAACCATCCTTGCCTACAGAAATTGTCTTCTCTTCCAACACTTCTGGCCCAGCTCCTGACGTTTTGGAGAATGTTTCTTGGAACTTTTCTTCCGGCATTTTTAAATGTGAAAATTCTTGGGAGAAGGAATATTGTCCAGAGTGTTCGCTGTTTGCAAAGTATTTAAAATAGCTGCTCCCTACTTTCGGAAAAAGGTAATGTTCTAAACCTGAGTTTGGATTTGAGTTATTGAGACTACGTAGATAAAATGTATGGACATATATATTGATTTGATCTTTCTGGCTTACTGACAATGTAAAGCTGTGACAAAACTTTATCATGTTCTCTTTCCAGGTCAGACTGAAATCATAGATTTTTCCGAGGGTGATGAATCTTGTGATACCGTACATGGCACCAGATCTGTCTGTGACTTCATCATCATAATACAATGGTGCTCTATTGTCATGTGAATATATAAGTAACTGTAAAAAGAAAGGCAAAATAATGAAATACAGAGTGTTGGATGATGTCTGGTGTCAGAGACAATGTCTGATGAGTGATCAGTGATGACATTTAGTACTATAATGAGTAATAATGATAAGCAGTTCACGTCTAGGTCATATTTTACCCTCAGCTAGCTAAAGTTGTGCAATGGATTTGCTCTGCTTTGAATTAGGAACATTCCATTCAAAGTATTTAAGGGATTTCCAGACAGAAATGCTATTATTTTCATTTCTCAAAAAATTCTATTTTTGATTTCCAAGAAGTCACTTATTGGCCACATAGATAAAATACCTTTTGCTTCCTTTGCTCTTCAGAAATCAGCCGGTAAATTGTATAATGATAAATCATACTGATTTTGTATAGAAGTCAAAATACTCCATAACGTTTTCATTTTTCTACCATTATGTGACATTCTTATATGTTGAGCGCTACTTTCGTTAAATGTTTTAAACATCAAACATGCTCTAAATCCGTTACAAAAACATTATTTAACACATTTTTTACCTTTAATCTAAAAAATATTGGTTTCTGAGGCATAATGTGCCTTTAAAACCATCAAATTTAAACAAGATATACATAGGGACCATGTAAGTTAGGATGTGACCTACCTTTTTATTGAGATTTGTAATCTCTGGATCAATTTTCTCATTTGGTATACTCCAAGGATATCGCTTTCTGGTATACTGTTGAGCATACTGTGAAATATAGTAAGAAAACAAAATAAGATATTATTTGGCCAAAGTATCTCAACATCATTAATTTGATATAACTGTAACCTTAACACCCTATATGAAGGCCACAAAGGTAACCAGACAAAAGCAACTCAATGATATTTAGAAAAATAACAAAAATCCTCTCAAAAAACTGATAAAAGCCCATAAATAAAATACAATGTACATCTATGTGAAAAACTTGCAATGTGAATAATGATAATTATGTTATTTGGGTTAACAAAATAAACTTTCTTGGAGAACATACTAGGTGTAATATAAAGCTTCAGATATGAACTATTTTATTGTGTTGTGTCTGATAAGTGAGCCCCACCGGAGTGCGCAGTTTTGATGAGCTTTTAGGAGCAGTAGTCGTTGAAGAAGGACACAATTAAGTGTCCTAAATACCACATAGTTTTTGTATCAGAATTTTTTAACGACAAGTAAGTATATAGTGTTCAGGAAATGAAAAAATGAGAGGGCCAATTTGATACATAAATGATGGGGATTTACTAGTTATTACATGGTTGAAAACCCTTAGACAATACTACATGTAAGTATATAGTAATGCATATACCAGGTATCTAATGTCTTGGAAAATTTTGAAAAATATCTTAACTACTTAGGCCAATCTTTTGTAGAAGACCATAATTATGAGCATAATTCCTGTGATGTGTCCCATGTGTCCCATGAGGTGGAAAATGGTAAAAGTATAGTTGCCATGTGTTTTGAGAGGTGGTAGTATCTATTACTATCTAAATAATTGTTGAAAATGGACAACTACAGATATGTTGCTAAGCACTAAATTTAGCTAATCTTTAAGATTTTTATGCCCATGTGCACAAGTAAATCTTCAACAACAATACCATACCTTTATTACTTCATCTACATCAGAATCTGTTGGTGACACTGACTTAACATCCTGTCGTAAAACATTTCCAAAATCTTCTCGTAAAAATCCTTTAACAAAAGAAAAGTTTTGTCATAACATGATTACTGTTGCACTTAACTCTTAATTGTTTGTTTAATTTAAAAAATTAATAACAAAAAAAAACAAAAACAAAAAAAAAACAGGAAAAAAAAACAACAACTAAACATTTTCTTAAGCATAAAAGCCATTGCATTTCTGAAAACCATATAATTATGTGGCAATAGAAAACATTCAAAATGTTATAAAAACATATAATGATGTAGTTCATCAACAAATCAAAGTACTTTCTGTTTTCATCTCATTGAAGAACAAGTCCAACTAGAACTGCCACTGTCATCACGTTAATACCCCCACATACCACTTTGTCAGAAGCTTTTTTTAAATCAAGGCCCCCGTGACCTTGAACTTTGACCCAGTGACCTCAAAATCAATAGGGGTCATCTACTAATCAGGACTAACCTCCATGCCAAATATGAAGAATGTGGGTCAAAGGAATCTCAAGTTATTGGGCGGACAAGCTGTTTTTTAGTCAAGGCCCCTGTGACCTTGACCTTTGACCCAGTGACCTCATAATCAATAGGGGTCATCTACTTATCAGGACTAACCTCCATGCTATATATGAAGACTGTGGGTCAAAGGAATCTCAAGTAATTGGGCGGACAAGCTGTTTTTTAGTCAAGGCCCCTGTGACCTTGACCTTTGACCTCAAAATCAATAGGAGTCATCTACTTATCATGACTAACCTCCATGCCAAATATGAAGACTGTAGGTCAAAGGAATCTCAAGTTATTAGGTGGACAAGCTATTTAAAGTCAAGGCCCTTGTGACCTTGACCTTTGAGCCAGTGAGCCCAAAATCAATAGGGGTCATCTACTAATCATGACTAACCTCCATGCCAAATATGAAGACTGTGGGTCAAAGGAATCTCAAGTAATTGGGCGGACAAGGTTTTTTTAGTCAAGGCCTCTGTGACCTTGACCTTTGACCCAGTGACCTCAAAATCAATTGGGGTCATCTACTAATCATGACTAACCTCCATGCCAAATATGAAGACTGTGGGCCAAAGGAATCTCAAGTTATTGGGCGGACAAGCTTTTTAAAGTCAAGGCCCCTGTGACCTTGACCTTTGACACTTGGACCCCAAAATCAATAGGGGTCATCTACTAATCATGACTAACCTCCATGCCAAATATGAAGACTGTGGGTCAAAGGAATCTCAAGTTATTGGGTGGACAAGCTTTTTAAAGTCAAGGCCCTTGTGACCTTGACCTTTGACCCAGTGACCCCAAAATCAATAGGGGTCATCTACTAATAAGGACTAACCTCCATGCCAAATATGAAGACTGTGGGTCAAAGGAATCTCAAGTTATTGGGCTGACAAGGTTTTTTTAGCCAAGGCCCCTGTGACTTTGACCTTTGACCACAAAATCAATAGGGGTCATCTACTAATTATGACTAACCTCCATGCCAAATATGAAGACTGTGGGCCAAAGGAAGCTCAAGTTATTGGGCGGACAAGGAAAAACCGACGGACGGTTCTTAAATTCGTGGATTTTCATTTACTTGTTAAAATAAAAATAAAAAATAACCTAATGCGAAGTAATTTTACACTTAATCGCCTTTTTACTTACCGCATGTCACACAGCGCCTGTCAATACATTTAATCCTTGCCTCTGGGCATAACTCAAATATAGCTAAGTTACTGCCTATAATTGACAGCAATTAACACATTTATGTGACATGACGTAATTACACACTGCCCCTGCAATTTGCGCATAATTTATCACCTGACACGTTTTGGCCAGCGAGTTAAAAAAGTTTAAACCCTGAATCGGTCTTACCATATTTGACAGTAACTACACGCAACGTCACAGCGACTGTGTAAATTTACATGGATTAATCTGAGTAAATAACACGAGTATGTGTGGATCTAGTAAAATGTCTGTTTACTTTGTTGGAGTCGCACAAATACAGATTAAATTTTTCATTGAAACTGGATCATGTAAAACAACAAAAAATGTACAATTCATCTGTTTTAGCGATCATTTTTTAAAATTGTTTTGTGTACATATGACATTAATATCAAAGACTTTTTTTAATTAATACTAAGAACAAACTTACAATTTTTATTAGCGCTAATTATTGCACTGGGTTCCCATATTTACTCGATTATGTCAAGTATTCAGGTTAACACAATCAAGCCTACAATGATCAAGCAGTCAGAGCGATGTGTTTCTGCAACCAACATTTGTGACAGTAAATTGTGGACATAATTATAATCGATTTATCTTTCAAGTTTTTTAAATAATGGAAACATAAACTGTTTAAATGGTTTAATCTGTCATTAACCTGATTATCTGTATACATTCATAGCACAAAATCGGCTGGAAAAGCGTCGACACATGTTTGTATTAAATAGAATAGAGACATGGTAAGAAGTATTTTTTGGGATAAAAGTTCGTCGGATCTTAAATTTGTGGATTGACCTACCCACGAAAACCACGAAAATTTGTGTCTCATGAATAATAATGATTTTACAGTTAATAAAATTAACTTAATTCATTCAATTAAAATTTACTTAATTATGTTCATGCTAAATTTAAATAAATTTAAATAGTCAACAGCAACAGGGCTTCCCCAGACTAAAAATGCTATGCTTTCTCGTTTTAACATGAGTAACCGATCAATATAATAAAAAACGACACATACTGACTTTTAAGGCAGAGACATTTTTTGCTAAAAATGGCAACGTTTTTACAAAAAAAAAAAATAACGATTTAAGTAATGGGGACGATCTTACCCGGGTACGAAACGAGTCACATTTCGTGAAAAAAAAAAAACCAACAAGCAAAACAAAGTCATACCCCCACATAAATTCATGACATTGGAAATCCATAAGAGAACAACATATTTCATCATCCACCTCTGTGCTTTCATCAACCGCCTTTTAGTAGAGTCTAAAGTAAGCGAAATATCAAAAGCCACTACACTTTATAACCGGATGTTGATGTTTAGCCGATTGACTGTTTCCTAGTCTTGCAATGACATATTTGTACAGAGCTGGTAATCAGTGTCGAAAACGAAAGTAGCATTCGCGCAAGTCTGGAAAAAGGGAAGGAGTAACCAGACCGACTTCTACTTTATTTCGATTCATATATTCATTTTAATTGCGTAAGTACATAATTATTTTCCTTCATAAATTATATCTCAGCTAATACAATTGTAGTACAGTACTGCCATTTATTTATTTCTTGACTGTTTTATTTACATAATCATTTAATGTTGTTAGCCAGTAAGGGGAACAAAAGATCTATCTACTTTCGTTTTTAAAATTCAGAAAATGCTGTTAATCTTTGACAAAAAATAACTTTAACAAAAACAGCCACATGTTTTAAGTTAGGTGAAATATGAAGTGTAATCTGGCTAAATGGTGAGTTACTGAGTTTTTAATTTGTATGTTTTTTTGCAATGTACTTTCGATTTTGCATTAGTATTTTATTATTCATTGTTTGGACTATACATCTGTAAAACAGACCCTACTTGTACCATTTAAATAAGTAACACACACATAAATATCCAAACATTATTTTACACTTATGATAGCTCATTTTTTTATCAAGCATGGTATAATCTTCCACTTAAATTTAACTCCCGCCCACTCCCTGGATATTGCTTAGGGTAGCCCAACAAATTGTGCGCTTTAGGGCTTTTTCATATAGACGATGGTCGCCCTTCGTAAAGACAGACATCTTTGAAATATCAGATTATAAAATCAGTCTGTCTTGCAGTCGAAATATTGAGACTAGTGCTTAGGGAAGATACAAAATGTACATGTAATTGGCAAGTTTTGACCTTCCAGCTGTTCCTGAATTAAAGCTTCAATGTGATGGCCAAAATAGCAAGGCCCAACTCGTAATGCCGTTTAGGGGAAAGTATACCATCTGATTGATATTTTAGAACGGTCCTTTTATTTTACCAGGGGATTTTATTATCCAAATTCCAATTGCGCAAGTGTTCCCTTGGTTAGTGCCACATTCTTGCAGTCCCAGCCATGCATGAAGAACTGGGCTGGTGATCCCTTGAACATCACAGATTGGACTGTAGACTTATCATGATATTTAAGATATACCATAATCTTGTTGCTGTAAGTCTCCCACCATATGCCCAAGCCCCACATAGGTTAATCAGACATGTTAATGTATGCAGTGCCCCTTATCCCGATTTCATCGGACTACCATATACATGTACCGTGATGTACGTACTCTTTCTTCCGACATAACATTGCACCATGGAATAAACTCCCTAGCAACATTGCCACTCTGCCCAACTTAACTCATTTCAAACGTGTAGTATTAGAGATGTGCACAGTATTAGTCTTGCTCCCAGTGTTTTTAACTATATTGTATTTTTATAAATAGAGTTGTACGACGGAATGGTACTTTTTTGTATTGACCTAACTAAAGGTCTAAATGTTCAATGACTTACGTTGATATATGTGATAATATATTATGTGTTTATGTATATTTTCCCGAATTAATCGATACGATACATAAAGAAAAAGTCATGTAGAAACTGCATGGATTTGACTGAAAATCACAATAATTATGAGGTCCAGAACATGTAAATAGGAAAACTTTTTGATTTTAAACCAGTTCTTAGTTGAAGATTACATATTTTAGAAACACAGCAGACGCTCCTTGTAAAATCCGTTTTTTTTTAATTTAACATCGAAAATAGATGTATTTCATGACTGATACAGGTTCTCACAACTATACATGCATAAATATCTAATTTTCTCGATTTAATATTTATTTTCTTTTTTTATGACTGTTTGCTTGTTGCTTATCTCCTCCATTCATGATTGTTATAAATGCATAACTATATTAATAACTCTGGTTTAATAAAAGGGAATTACGTTGATTTGGGGTGAATATATCGAGGTTAAAACATTTATTTGTAATAAAAGAAAATGGCGATTTTGCAAATGCGTAGATTATTAAAAAACTGAAACCGAAAGTTTCATTTTGTGTTCATTTTGTGTAACGGTATAAGACGAGTAAGATGGGAAACCGCAATGTATAAAAGTACAAGAATAAAAATAGAAGCAAGTTCTTAAAGATTTTACCAATGTCTTTTTGTAGTTTTAAAAGAGACATTCGTCTTTTTTTTACATTTATTTTTAATCTTTTTACAAGGGGTATTAATGTGTCTTTTTGTGAGAGGCGCTCGTCTTTTTAGGGTTGATTTAGGAGATAATGGACTGCTGTCAGGTTACCGTTATTTTAATACCATAACATGATAAATCACATTGCAAAATTTAATCTTCACTCCAAACAGTGAGTAATATAAATGATTTTTATACGGTGAACAAAAAAAGAATTTACATTGATAGAGAAATATATATACAATGTATACGGGACCACGCACCCAGCACTGTTATATGTTTTTAAAAAGTATGAACTTGTTCAACGTCTTTATAGCATGATGTCCAACCCAAGCGATATTTCCATATTGAACAAGCAATGGATTTCTCTTGATAATGGCGGAAACTGTTGACTGTCCTGTCTTCTCTACTCTACATTCTGAAGGAAAACATCAGTTAAAAAGCAAACAACATGTAAATGATTTCAGAAAATACTTGATATTAGATACCATGTACCGGTATAATTATGATTTTTCAATGGTATCTTAACGGACGTAATTGAAAATCGTCAGTGAATAGCTCATTTCATATCCATATATCTGTCTATGTCCCAGTTGTAAGATGCGCAGATCACGGCATATTTTGATGTAATTGTCCGCTGAATCGGCCTGTATGTCTAATGATTTGATCAATACAATAATATCCAATGCATTAAACGATTTTGATATATACAAAAGAATGTGTGTACGTGAATTTATATTTTTATTGACATGGCGGATATCAAATAACCTAGATATGCATAACCTGGTTATATAATAGAACATTTGGGATAATCAGCATATGTTTATCGTTTATCATCGATAATCATTAAGTAGTGTGATACTAGTATCACTTTAAATAAAAACTTTAATGATATACAATGTACTTGTATTGTATACATGTAAATAAAATGGTCATGATATACTGATTGTAATCTCACATTCGTCCGGCAATCAGGTACGTCTTTTTTCCTGTAAAAGGAAGTAAATTGCGCAAAAATACACCTTTAAGAAGAAAAATGCGAACTCGGTATACTTAATGTTTTCATTTTCGGAAAATCATACTTTTGGCAGGTTGACAAAGAGACCTAAAATCAATTAATGTTAAAATTACTTACATTGCATATAATCAGAGACATATAATATACAAAAATATGTATTTTAACGTCTCTGATATAATGATAGCTTGTGAAGAAGAAAAAAGTAGAACGTTCTTATATAACATAAGACCTTTATAGATTCGCGAGGTAGAATCCTTCGGGCTGTGCCATGTTTCGGTAACTTCTCACAAATTGACTACAAGACCAGTGTATCAGCCCAAACTGCCATTTTAACGGTAGGTTTGGCGGTCAAATGCGGAAGGTAGGGCGATGTAACGTGAGGTCTGTTGCCATGGTGATCTATGTAAATAAGGAACGCTGGTTGAAGCACGTGTTCTGACTTATTAATTTAGAGAACGTTTCCTCCTAAATCACTCGGCAAGTTGTTTTACAATGTTTCACTTGCGGTCATTTCTTAGATTCTTTTATACCGATATCTAATTGTTTTTCTATGGCAATAAAATCAATTTATTAAATTATGTTTTCCTCCCGATTGCGATTACTATGCATATCAGTGAATTCTGATAAGTGGTTGTATTTTATACCAGTACTTATTCTGTTTTTATTATTTTTTTATAATTCATGAGTCGCATGCACAAAAATGAGCCGACAGAAAGACTGTATCATACCCGAAAAATACTGACGTCATTGTTGAACATATATACACTTAAAATAGCTTAAATTCGAGGAAATATATAATAAAAGCGTTTAAGTAATATGACACTTTAATTATGCACGTAAACTTCCTCGAATTTAATAAATAATTTAACTTTGTTAGTAAGTAAATAACGACTTTTATTTAATGAGGCTTGTAACACATGTGGTTTCCCGATCTTCAATGGAGCCTTTTCCTGATCTGTTTCATATCGATCTTTGTAGAACGGATCACATTCGGAGATTTAACATTTGTAAATCTGCTCGAATAAATTAAAATAATCCTTGTATTAGCTGATTAACGGGACAAATGGCGGGAATCTACTTAAGTAAAACGTCACATCAAAACTTTTGAAACAAACGAGCACTTAAATATAACGACAGTTGTTGCATTTAGATGATATTAATTATGTCGCTTTCGAAAACTTTTTTATTCCGCACTTCATTATTACAATTTTCGTATTCACATTATCGGAAACCGTATTGCCGCATCTTTGGGTGAATATACTCGGTGTGCGTTCGATTTTACACGTTTCCTGATTCGATAGATAGAAACCATGTTAAAAACAATTTCAAATAATAATTTTGCAAATAAACAGGTTCTTTATCTTGAATTTTGTTGGATAGATTATAGCTATCAGTTCTTCGCTTGTCAACTTTTCATCATGAAACGAATGATGGATTATTACCAAACCTGATCAGTAGCATCCTTTAAGTTAGATGATCGTCAGATTGTATCAATTGATTCAGCTTTATAAAGTTGATATTCATTATTTCACATTGTTCAAATATGATATTGTTCAAAAAAGTTTTTTTTCAAGAAGTTTGACAACACATAATGTCATAAAAATGTTGACTCAAGTTAAAATATGGAAAAGTTTTACGGTGTATTTTTCTCATAGGTTATGAACAATACCAAAGAATGTTCATAGAATGAACTGCAGGATCAACATTTTGTTCTTTTATTTAAACTCACCGTATATTCCAGATCTTTTAAGTATATGTACTCTTACTTTGTAATGAAAAGGTTTAAAAATGAGAAGAAGAAAATAGCACTTATGTATCATTTATCTAAAATCTTTCTGTAATTTTTCCAATTTTTCAATATTGCAGATTCAACACATACTTGGAAATGGAGGAATCAGATTCATCTGATTCAAGTGAAAATGAACAGTTACATAACATGCAGCAAGACATAGCTGCAAAAGAAGATAGTGGCAGGCTTAGCCCTTATTCAGATTCTGATACAGAGGACTCTTACAGTAAACAAAAATCTATGCTTAACATTTGCAAGCCTTTGCATGTTCCTGGAAAGTACAAAGAATGTGAAAGGCCCGAATCGCAAGATCAATCAAGTCCTGGAGTATTTGCAATGGAATGCTCTGAACAAGACAAGAGGATGTGTGAAGAGTCAACTGATAGGAACATTGAAGATTCTGTGGAAGTAAAGATGAAAGAAGACTGCAATTATGATGATGCAGATTTTGCCTTGACTGGTATATTTGAAAAGTCAATGATGGTGATCCCATCTATGGATGAAGATACAGAAAGAACAGAAGCCACTGTTGAAAGTCAAAAATCCCCATCAGAGTCAGCTATAATTGTTGATAATGACTTATTTGACCAAGAAAATGTGGATACAAAATCATCTAGTATTAAACCTAAAATTCCACCTAAACCAGCACCAAGAAAATCTAAAAGCAAAGAAAGATATTCTGATAAGCATATCCAAATGATTGATGAGTTACCAGAAAAGAAACAAAGACCTTTACCATCCCCTAGAATGGATAGGAAGACAGAAGAAAACTGTCCACTATTTGAGACAGAACAACATTTGGAACATACCAAGAATCCTAAAGAAACAAATGAAGATAAGTCAGTTTTAAAAGACACTTCTGAGTATGATACTCTTGAAAAGCCAAATGCAGAAGATGTAACAGATGATGAGGAGGTAGACACTGTTGATATAGGCAGTGCTCAAGAATGTACAAGTGAAGACAACTCAATCAAACCAGATGAGGCTGATACTTGTTTTGAAAATAATTTAGAACAAGTTGCAAAAGAGAGAATGCACTCACCTGATACAGATGGAGAAGAAATTCAACTTCAAGCATCTACTGCTAGTAGCAGTTTTGAAGTAGTAGATGATTTAAAAAGCTTTGAAAACAAAGATGAGGAGATTGAGAAAGCAGAAATGTCAGAGGACAATGATTCAGATGAAGATAATGCAGCAAATTTTGTGAATGATTTCAAGGATTCTGATTCAGGGAAAGATGATGTTAGTGCTAAGAATTCATCCGAATCAGAGCCAGAAGGTGCATTTGAAACACCTGAAAACCAGTCATTTGAGAAAGAAGATGAAATATTTTATGATTCTACACCAATGCAGACAGAAGACAATCAATCCTCATCCCAGGGGGGTGACATACTATCTGTTAAAGAAAATACTGATGAAGTCCCTGAAATAGAAAAGGAAACAAAAAACTCATTTGCAGAAGAGCTGTCCAAAAAAGATACTGTAAGTGTGCAAATGAAAATTAAAACATTTGAAGATTCAGTTGTGGTCATTGGGAAAGGCACAATTAAGGAAGAATATGAAAGCATGTCTAGTACAGTTTGCAGTGATGATTTAAATAATTTGACTACTGTTCAAGATACAGAATCTAAGGTAGAATTTGGATCTATTCGAAATAGAATAAGTATGTTTGAAGAGAAAGGAAGGGACGAAAATGAAGATTCTGACAGGTCTGATCTTGTAAGAACAAGTAAAAGTTGGTCAAGCAATTCAAGTTTTAATGTATTATCAAGAGAAGAAAGTGAAGATTTAGAAATGAGGTCAGATGTCATTTCCACAGAAGAAATTGTTCTGGAAGAAAACCATGATGGTATAAGTGACGATACGGAAGAGAATGTTGAAACTATCCATATTGATCAAGATGATTTTGGAGAGAATAAAGAGGATACCTTGGAAGATGACAAGCCACCTCCTATTGCTGAAAAGTCAGAAGCAGTGTTAGAGAGCATGAAATCAATGTTTGTGGATGTTCCAGATATTCCAGATATTCCTCCTAGATCACTTCCACCAGAACAAGAAATGGACAGCTTTGTTAAAATAGATACAGAAACAATTAAAAACGTTATTAGTTCAGATGGATTACCAAATGCACAGACTGATAAACATGATGCAAATTCAGATGTGTCTGAAGAACAGAATCCTTCATACCAACAACAGAACCAAATACCTATTTATGATAACATGCAGTATCAGCAACAACAGTTTCAGCAACAACAACAGTATCAACCTAATAATCCAGGTTGGAACCAACCCTATTATTATCCTAATCAGGATGGAAGTTACCCATATCAGTATCCTTTCTACAATCCAAATATGAATCCAGGGATGGTGTATCCAAATCAAAATATGCAATATTTTCAACAGCCTTACTTCCCCCAACAAAACTTTGGAATGCCATATGGCTTTTCACAACCAGATAGAGAGCCATATAGATCATGTTCACCAGAAAATTCAACAGCTAGTACCTGTGATGAAACTGGACCCCAACCACAAATGGAAAACTTAAGGCCTGATAGTGATGATAGCCTGAAAAGACCTCAAACACAAAATGCACATCACACAGAAGTTAGTCATGAAGCAAAGAGGACTCCGAAAGCATCTGAAGCTCAACAGTCTCAGCTTACAAAATCAAAAAGTGAAGACACTATAAAGGAAAAGAAGGGAAAAGCTTCATCTGCAGCTGTTAAAAGGTCAACATCTATGCCAAGTTCCACTCCAGTTAAAAGAACACGTAAGTTTTATAAATGTATTTACAAAGGCATTAAGTTGTCTACTTATACCGCTGAAAACATGCAATTGGCAATTCTTAATTAATAAGATTGGAGTGACAGTATCCATTATGTCAGAGATTATGCGTTGATGACATGCTATTGAAAATTTAATTGGTACTTATCAATTATTGACAAAATACTTCATTTTACAGAAAATGCTAAAATTAGTAAGATCAAAACTTAATTTCATCATTTATGTGAAACCATGTGATCTTCAGATCTTGGTTACGATAGAAAATAAGTAGTTTTAAACTTAAAGTTTATTGTCTGTTTGGTAAGATTACAGTGATTGGTTGTCTCTTATATGATAAAACTACTTAAATGTAACTAGCTTATATTTTTATGTGAAATTGCAATCTCATACAATCATGTTTATCCAATTATAAATTGTCTTTGACAAAATGTAAGTCAATACCAGTTAGTGGCTGAGTGGTTTAGGTTGTTGACTTCCAACCTCACTGCTGTGGGTTCAAATCCCATCAGGGACTTTGAGATTCTTTCATGTGTAGAAGCTATACAGCTAGCTTATGGAATGTTAGTGGTTCTACTCAAGTGACTGTTTGTGCTTAAAATAATGCAAAACCAGGCATCTGAGGACGAATTCTTCACCAGTAAAGCTGGAAAGTCACCATATGACCTGTACTGTGTTCGTATTACATAAACAGGTTAATTCTGAAGTATAGTTTAACTTTTGGAATACCAGTTGTAATATGTCAGTCAGCTTTTATGCCTACAGTGTAGGGGCTAAGTTTCCAGAACCTCCATACAGTCTTATTAGGCCTTTTGGCTTCACAATTTTACAGGTATTTTTATATTGATATCTAATTGACAATTCCTATCTCAAATGTTGGGCAACTCCAATACTTATATCCACTCAGAAAAAAAAATTGTTACCTGTCTTTCCTTTATTATGTTTATATTTTTTATCTCATTTTAATGTTTTCCTTTTCAGCTGGTGGTAGAAAGACTGTTGAAAAAGTAAGACAGACACATAAAGAGATTGTAGAAGAGGTAATATTAACCTTTGAAAGCAAGAAAAACCATACTTTAAAGCATATGTTGCCATTGTAGAACCAAGCCTGTCTGTGTTCATGTATTCTATCTTTGCCCTGTGATTTTATTTTCAATTTTCAAAACAAACCTGTGGCATTCTGAAGGGGAAGATATAGCACAATAAATCATTTAAGGGAGAAAGCCTGAAATCAAATTCATACAATTGAGAGTGAAAGGTACCCACACATATTAATAAAATTTCAATACAATTTATGCATGGTACATACAAGAGGCTATCTATAGGGAATGCTATCTGTCTTTCAGTCAATTAAATTTATCAATTAGCTGAGTAGACTCTGCATAGCACTTTTCTGGGGAAAATATAGCCCTTCAAGGGGAAAATATACCTTTTTGGGTGAGGGGAAACAGTTTTTGTACAGCTGTTAAATGTATGGAAAAATTCACTGGCTTTTAACTGTAAGCTGACAAAATGATATATATCCATCTTAATCTTGATAATAGACAGTTTGAAGTAGCAGTAATAGACTGGTCAATTCTGGAATATGTAATAGAATATAAGACCATGAAAAATAACTAAATGGGGAAAATTGGCTGTTATACAAAAGTAGTTTTTAGAACTACATGTATTAATAGTTTTATGATGATACAGCTATAGAAGATCTGGCATTTTAAACTTTGGCTTTTACTTTTAAACAGTGATATTTTAGATTGTTAAATGTTGCTACATCATGAATACATCAACTTGTTTAAATTTATTGTACCACTTTGGGATGTAACAACCAAGGTGATTTTGAGATGTAATGTTACATGGCAGTGTTCAAAGATTTATTAATCAGCATGAGCATTGTCAAGAAAAATGTTGAGTTAGGTATATTTTGTATTGTAGGAACATGTAGAGACAGTGAAAGAGGAAGATTACTACATATTCTTTAAAGATATCAATCCTGAGACCAAACTTGATGTTTTGGGGTTATTCGTGGAAAATTACACTCGTGGTGTTGTCGACAATGATGATACAATTTTCAATTACTCTAAAACATGTGCTCTTGTCACAGTGTTACTAGATAAAAAACTAGGTATTCAATCTTATTTTTTCCTTCATAACTCTTATAAGGCAAACATTTTATTGTCTATATTTTAAAACCACCTTGTCATTTACAGTTTTATATTTGTCATTGACAATTGTATATTTGTCATTAAAAATTGTATATTTGTCATTGATAATTGTATATTTGTCATTGACATGTATATTTGTCATTGACATGTATATTTGTTATTGACAGATGTATGTTTGTTAAATTGTCATTGACAGTTGTATATTTGTCATTGACAATTATGTATATTTCATTGAGAGATGTATATTTGTCATTGTGTCATTGACAGTAGTATATTTGTCATTGATAGATGCATATTTGTCATAAACAGATTTAAATTTCTTATTTTGTCATTGACAGTTGTATATTTGTTATTGACAGATGTATATTTGTTGTAAACAGAATGATGTCAATTCAATGTCATTTTGTCATTGACATTTGTATATTTGTCATTGATAGATGTGTATTTGTCATTAATAGTTGTATATTTTCCATTGACATTTACATATTAACCAGTTCATGATTTATATTGTTTTAATAAGATTTACACAAAGTAAATGCAAATAAAGAGAGACTAGGCTCAGCCCAGCACAGACCTGAAGTTTTTAAAGTTCAAAGACCAACCAAAATTGCAGTCAGCAGTGTTGAGCATATCAGCAACACAGAGAATCTAGATCTTTACTTTGAAAGTCGCAAAGCTCAAGGTAAGATTAATAGATAAAATGAAATGAATGAATTTGAAGGCTTGTAAAAAGGTTTACATGTTATTTTAAATATTAGGTATTATTTGACCATATATGTGAGGAATAGTCACTGAATTGATGTAATCATTATTTTAATTGTGCCTTATTATTTACAAATTTCAAACAGAACCCCTTAGCCACCTTAACATTGGCACATGCTATGGACTGTGAATATCATATTGAATTATAGACCATAATATATTAATTAAAAACATATGCATGTAGATGTTGCTAATATTCCAACTTCACAGCTACAGATAAAGCACAAATGTTTTTCTTCCATGCTTTATTTCCAGTAACTGTCAAAGTGTGCCTGCATAGAATCTTAAACTTGCTATAAGGTACCTGGACAGCTTTTACTAATGGCAGAATTTATTATTGCTGATAGGATTTGAACTCACAAAAGTGAGTGGCAAGTATTTAAATGTCAGCAACCATAAACACATGTCCGAATTTTATGCCTAATGATAATGCAGTAATTTAGTACAAGTTAAACTTGTTTTTTTTTCTGTTTTACAGGAAATGTAGCTTTAATGGAATTAAAGGGTGATACATTTGAGTCAGATGATGGGAGTTGTTATGTTCTAGATTTTGGAGATGCTGATGGTGAGAATTGTTACAATGACTGTTAGTTAGCTTGTCTATGGTAAACCTAGATGGCAGATTTCGTTTCCATAGCAACAATTAAGTAAAATATTAATAGATGGTTCCTGCAACTTTTTATGTATATTTTAGCTTTCTTAAAAGTGGTTGAATATATATGTTTGTATGAGAAGCAATAATGAACGATCCACATATTCATAATTGTATTTAAGTTCCTGTAGCTAAGAAGATACAGACACACAAAATAGATGTAGCCTGGTTTTTGTAATGGTTTGAAAAGTTGCTAACCATTAAGCTTAAGTAATGGATATTAGTCAGTTTTGAAAAATGCTTGTTACTTTATTAGAATTTATAGATATTGGTCTGGAACCAAGAAGCATAGATAAAATATAACCTTTAAAACCCAGACGTTTAGGAACATTATTATGCCCTCCTTCGAAGAAGAGGGGGTATATTGTTTTGCTAATGTCGGTCTGTCGGTTTGTCTGTCTGTCAGTCTGTCTGTCTGTTGGTAGACCACATGGTTTCCACTGATTATCTTAAACACTATTTATCACAAAGTCTTCATATTTCACATAGTGATTGGTCATAATCAGTAGATGAGCCCCATTGATTTTGGGGTCACTAGGTCAAAGGTCAAGGTCACAGGGTCCTTAAATATCAAAATGATTTCCGCTGATTATCTTGAAAACTATGCATTACAAAGTCTTCATATTTCACATAGTGATTGGTCATTACGAGTAGATGACACCTATTGATTTTCGGGTGACAAGGTCAAAGGTCAAGGTTACTGGGGCCTGAAATATCAGAATGGTTTCTGCTGATTATCTTGTAAATTATGCATCACAAAGTCTTCATATTTCACATAGTGATAGGTCATAATGAGTAGACGATCCCTATTGATTTTTGGGTCACTAGTCAAAGATCAAGGTCACAGGGGCCTAAATGTCAGAATGGTTTCTGCTGATTACCTTGAAAACAATGCATTACAACGTCTTCATATTTCACATAGTGATTGGTCATAACGAGGAGATGACCCCTATTGATTTTGGGGTGACAAGGTCAAAGGTCAAGGTCACTGGGGCCTTATATGTCATAATGGTTTTTCGCTGATTAACTTGAAAAGTTTTTATCACAAAGTTTTCATATTTCACATAGTGATTAATCATAACTTGTAGATGACTCCTTTTAATTTTTGAGTCACTAGGTCATTATCTTTGTTACTATTGTTCACAAAGTCTTGATATTTCACATATTGATTGGTCATTACTAGTAAGTGACTCCTATGGATGTTGGGGTCACTAGGTCAAAGGTCAAGGTCACAGGGTCCTTAAATGTCAGAATGGTTTCAGCTAATTATCTTGAAAGCTATTTATCACAAAGTCTTCATATTTCTAATATTGATTGGTCATAACGAGTAGATGACCCCTACTGATTTTTGGTCACTAGTTCAAAGGTCAAGGTCACAGGGGCCTGAAATGTCAGAATGGTTTCTGCTCATTATCTTGAAAACTATCACAAAGTCTTCATTATTATTCTTTTTTCCATAACTGAACACTTCCATGTACCCATTTATGGCAAGTTTCTATAACAAAATAACCAATAATGTGAGTGAAGGGCTAGAAAGGGACGGCATATGTGTTGTTTGACATTTCTTGTTAATTTTATGTGACTTTTAAACATTAACATATATGCTTCAAACAGTATGTCTCCTGGCAACAGGCATATATTTATTAAAAAAAAGCAACCAACAATTTTTAGCTCACCTGTCACAAAATGACAGGGTGAGCTTTTGTGATCGCTTTTCGTCCGTCCGTCCATCGTCCGTCCGTCGTCCGTCCGTAAACTTTTACTTTAAATGACATCTCCTCATAAACCACTAAGCCAATTTCATCCAAACTTCACAGGAATGCTCCTTTGGTGGTCACCTTTAAAAATTGTTAAAAGAATTTAATTCCATGCAGAACTTTAAAGAAAAAACTTTAAATATCTTCTTTTAAAAAACCATAAGAGCTAGAGCTTAGATATTTGGCATGAAACATCTTCTAGTGAGTGTCTACCAAGTTTGTTCAAATAAAAGCCCTTTGGTCAAAATTGGCCCCACCCAGGGGGGTCATTGATTTTTCCCTATATGCATATAGTAAAAACTTGAAAAAATTCTTTTAAAGAACTCAAAGAGCTATGGCTAAGATATTGAGCATGAAACATGTTCTAATAAGTGTCTACCAAGTTTGTTCAAATAAAAGCCCTGGGGTCAAAATTGGCCCCGCCCTGAGGGGTCATTGATTTTCCTTATATGCATATAGTAAAAACTTAAAAAATCTTCTTTTAAAGAACTCAAAGAGCTATGGCTAAGATGTTTAGCATCAAACATGTTCTAATAGGTGTCTACCAAGTTTGTTCAAATAAAAGCCATGGGGTCAAAATTGGCACCGCCCCGGGGGGTCATTGATTTTCTTTATATGTGTATAGAAAAAACTTAAAAAATCTTCTTTGAAAAAACCCAAATAGCTAGAGTTAAGACATTAAGCATGAAACATCTTTTAGTGAGTGTCTACAAAGTTTGTCCAAATAAAAGACCTGGGGTCAAATTGGCCCCGCCTCTGGGGTCATTGATTTTCTTTATATATGTGTATAGCAAAAACTTAAAATCTTCTTTGAAAAAACCCAAATAGCTAGAGTTTAGATATTAAGCATGAAACATCTTCTAGTAAGTGTCTACAAAGTTTGTTCAAATAAAAGCCCTGGGGTCAAAACTGGCCGGGCCCCAGGGGTGTCATTGTTTTTAAATATATGTGTATAGTAAAAACTTAAAAAAAATCTTCTTTTAAAAAGCCCAATGAGCTAGAGCTTAGATGTTTAGCATGAAACATCTTCTTATGGGTGTCTACCAAGTTTGTGCAAATAAAAGCCCTTGGGTTAAATTGGCCCTGCAACGTTGGGGGTGGGGGGGGGGCTATATACAGGTGAGCGACCTCAGGGCCATCATGGCCCTCTTGTTATGCATGAGCATGTAAATGCTTGTGAAACAGATGTATATCAGATCCAAGTGCTAACATTTCATCATTTCAGTTGTTAAAAGAATATGTGATAAAAAAGGACATGAAGTTGATGGGAAACCTCTTCGTGTATCTCCTTATTATGAATGTGAAGGCGGAGCTATCTGGAGTTCTAGGATACATGTTCTAAAAATACCAGAACCAGTGGATGTACAATATGATCCAAATTATCTGTGCATCCTTGAGAGGTATTTGTTGTTTTCTATGCTCATAAAACTAATAAAAAAGCCCAAAAATATGTGTAGCTTTAAATATTTTGTAGTACATTTCAATAGTTACACCCCTCTCCCCACTATTCTTAGAATTATCTTAAGTATTTCACCACTTGCATATTTCACCAGGTATTTTGCTATTACAATGTATAACTTAGAAACAAGAGCTTTGCCTCGATTTTTATTATGTGACTGGATGCCGGCTCAGGATATCATATCAAAGCTTCTACAACCTGATTTGACAGGAAAGCAGAATTATAAATATTATTTAAACTCAGTGCTTTAAGTAGATACTGTAACAACATACCAAACATTTAAAGGTTTTGTGAAATAAAAATGTTATCATTTCTGAGTTATACTAAGCCTTTAGATAGATTTGTATATTATTGAAATTTCAGATCATGTTGTGCTCAACTGCACGATGATTTAAAAAAGAACCATTGCTCACTGGAATTCAAGGAAAAAGTGCTACAGCTTCACTGTATGCTGACACCTGAGATGACTGGATTTAAAGGACTTGCTGAGAAATGGGAGGTATCTTCAAGAAGTATTATTGATCAATTCATATCCGTGAACATCATAGAAAGACCATTGAAATCTTCAGAACACGTCTGGAATGAACTGATCGAGTTCTTCAATTCAGGTATTTATTAAGTATTATTAAGTTTTTATGAACCCTGTGGTAAGAATAGGACACTTATGTTTGTCACATAACACATTTTGTACATGGAACTTACGAACATACATGACTCACTCACTGATGACTGTACATGCATGATTATCATTTTTTGGGCTTATCAGCATGCATGTGTAATGTGTTTGTCTTTTTATTATATATACTATTGGTTATAATTTTGATTTAAATGTTATTCAGACAAAGGCCATGTACATGAACAAAATCATTTTATAATATAGTATCTTATGGTTTGTGTGTGGCATGTTCTAAATCATTTTCTTAGCTCACCTGTCACAAAGTGACAGGGTGAGCTTTTGTGATCGCTTTTCGTCCGGCGTCCGGCCGTCCGGCGTCCGTCCGTAAACTTTTACTTTAAATGACATCTCCTCATAAACCACTAAGCCAATTTCATCCAAACTTCACAGGGATGTTTCTTTAGTGGTCATCTTTAAAAATTGTTCAAAGAATTTATTTCCATGCAGAACTCTGGTTGCCATGGCAACCGAAAGAAAAAACTTTAAATATCTTCTTTTAAAAAACCCAAAGAGCTAGAGCTTAGATATTCGGCATGAAACATCTTCAAGTAAGTGTCTACCAAGTTTGTTCAAATAAAAGCCCTGGGGTCAAAATTGGCCCCGCCCCAGGGGGTCATTGATTTTCCCTATATGCATATAGTAAAAACTTAAAAAATCTTCTTTTAAAAAATCAAAAGAGCTAGAGCTAAGATATTTAGCATGAAACATCTTCTAATGAGTGTCTACAAAGTTTGTTCAAATAAAAGCCCTGGGGTCAAAATTGGCCCCGCCCCAGGGGATCATTGATTTTCCCTATATGCATATAGTAAAAACTTAAAAAATCTTCTTTTAAAGAACTCAAAGAGCTAGAGCTAAGATATTTAGCATGAAACATGTTCTAATGGATGTCTACCAAGTTTGTTCAAATAAAAGCCCTGGGATCAAAATTGGCCCCGCCCTGGGGGTCATTGATTTTCCTTATACGTGTATAGCAAAAACTTAAAAAGTCTTCTTTGAAAAAAACCAAATAGCTAGAGTTTAGAGTTTAGATATTTAGCATTAAACATCTTCTAGTGAGTGTCTACAAAGTTTGTTCAAATAAAAGCCCTGGGGTCAAAATTGGCCTCGCCCTGGGGGTCATTGATTTTCCTTATATGTGTATAGCAAAAACTTAAAAATCTTCTTTTAAAAACCCAAATAGCTAGAGTTTAGATATTAAGCATGAAACATCTTCTAGTAAGTGTCTACAAAGTTTGTTCAAATAAAAGCCCTGGGGTCAAAACTGGCCCCGCCCCAGGGGTGTCATTGTTTTTAACAATATGTGTATAGTAAAAACTTAAAAAATCTTCTTTTAAAAAACCCAATGAGCTAGAGCTTAGATGTTAAGCATGAAACATCTTCTTATGGTTGTCTACCAAGTTTGTTCAAATAAAAGCCCTTGGGTTAAAATTGGCCCTGCAAGGGGGGGGGGAGGAGAAGGAAAGTAATTGTTTTTCCATTATATGTGTGTAGTAAAAACTTAACATCATGAAACATCTTCTATTGGGTGTCTTCCAAGTTTCTTCAAATAAAAGCCCTGGGGTCAAAATTGGCCCCGCCCTGGGGGTCATTGATTTTCCTAATATGTGTATAGCAAAAACTTAAAGATCTTCTTTTAAAAACCCAAATAGCTAGAGTTTAGATATTAAGCATGAAACATCTTCTAGTGAGTGTCTACAAAGTTTGTTCAAATAAAAGCCCTGGGGTCAAAACTGGCCCCGCCCCAGGGGTGTCATTGTTTGTATAGTAAAAACTTAAAAAATCTTCTTTTAAAAAACCCAATGAGCTAGAGCTTAGATGTTAAGCATGAAACATCTTCTTATGGTTGTCTACCAAGTTTGTTCAAATAAAAGCCCTTGGGTTAAAATTGGCCCTGCAAGGGGGGGGGGGGGGAGGAGAAGGAAAGTAATTGTTTTTCCATTATATGTGTGTAGTAAAAACTTAACATCATGAAACATCTTCTATTGGGTGTCTTCCAAGTTTCTTCAAATAAAAGACCTGGGGTTTAAACTGGCCCCGCTCCGGGGGCCTATATACAGGTGAGCGACCTCAGGGCCATCATGGCCCTCTTGTCTCTTTAAAGAACGCAAGCTAGTTTTCACTGGTTCAAATCATTTGTAGCCTTACATAGAAGATTTAATTTTGATATTAACAAAATATTTCTCATTCAGAACAATTTTCAGCAATTTATTATTCTTTATTTATTCAATTCAAGTAGACAATAAAAAAGGTTATTTGGCTTCCTTTCAGTTTTATTTGTGGAGGAAAGCCTCAAGTGCTCATTCATACATTTTAGACACCTTTGTTGAAACCACCAGCATTTCATAAGCAAGCTATATATAAATGCACTCTTTCCAAATCTTTGATTTCAACCATTTTCATTAATTTGATATTATTAATGATTATTTCAGAAAATATGCAAGCTTGTGAAGAAGTTGTTGCTAGCATTGACAGTGCAGCTTTTAAAATAATATTCATTGGCTTCAGTGATCCAGTCCAAGATAAATTAAGACAACTTAAAGAAAAGCATACAGAAATTGAAAAACGTCTGAGTAGGAGAACAGAAACAATAGATAATCTTGATAATTTGAAACTGAAGCTGTTAGAGAAAATAGGAGTTTTTGAAGACTTGAAACATGAACGGGAAGATATTAAGATAGATATTGGAGATGGTGAATTAAGAATTGAAGGGCAACCTGAGGACATTACTGTTGTACGCCTCAAATGGCACGATATGGGTAACAGAATTTCACGCAAGCAATGGAACCATGGATTTTCAAAGGAATGTGTATTTTTTGTGAACAATGTTTTGACTTGTAAGATACAATCACTGTTGGAAGGAAACAACATAATTGCTGTTTGGAAAATGGATGCTAAAGTGTTTAGTCTTTACGCATATGAAGTAGATGAGAAAGAGATGGATTATGAAGTGTTTGATGAAGATGAAATGAGCTCTCAAGTCTGCAAAAAAGCTGAAGAACTTCTGAAATCAGCAGTTATTGAAATGAAAGAACCTGTTGAAGACAGTATAATTGAAGTTCTAACATCACCTGAATGGGTTTCATTCAGTGAACATATTACTGAAACATTTGAGAATTCTGCTGAATTAGAGGCCAAGGACAGTGAACTACTTATACATGGGATGAGAAAAGAAACTCATGAAGTTCATACCCGTGTGAAAGATTTCCTTGATGAAAATGCCATCTTAAGTGATACTTTGAAAACTGGAACAGTAAATATCAGGTTTATCAGAGAACACAGACAGGATTTTGTTAGTAGACTTGAAAAGAGATTAGATAAACACAAAGTGAAAATTGAACTCAAAGGTAATGAAATATTAACTACAGTAACTATAAAAATCTCATTAGCCGCTATTTATTCAAATTGATAAGAATAAGAAGAAGTTAACTGATTACAGTAATAGTTCTGTGTCAAATGATTTATATAATATTTATGATATATGTAATTTAAGTCTTTTTCTTTACATGTTATCAGATACCATTAAATTTACTCATTCTTGTTTACTTTTGTTGATTCATTACATTATCATTACAGATGAGTCTGTAAACATAAGGGGAAATAAACGAGGTATTTTTGAAGCAAAGAAAGAGTTTAAGATATTTTTTGATGCAATTGTTTGGGAGAAACACACCATACAAAAAGTTGCCGTGAAAAATGTTTTCAAAGATGAAAATGAGCATGGAACTATCAAGAAAATTGAACAAGAAACAAGGTAAAATTTCTTGCACTTTTTTTGTCGTCTGCTTCAGCAACATATATGGATCACTTCTCCGCTGTTGTTTTTAAGTTAAAAAAGGAGACTCCGTCACTGAATATTTACATGAAGGAGAGCCCTGTCTTAACCTACTGAAGAAGAAAATAGTCTCATTAAAGTAGTGGAACATATGAAATAATTAGAAAAAACATGTGAATAAGATCCATTTTTTTATATTTCAAATACATGATTCATTGTTTTTGCACTTGCAAACAAAACGTATATCCCAAAGACACTCTGATTATTATAGGCATTGTCATTTATTTCACTTGTTTATTTTGTTAGTTTAATTACTGTAATTTCATAGCCTTTGATTTCAAGAAGCTCTTTCTTTCTTTCACAATGTATTTATTCTTTTATATTTTAAATAGCTGTCTTATCAAAATACCTGGAGAGAATGCAACATTTGTTGAAACAGCAGATATAGCTGATGAGGAGATTGAAGATAGCGATGGATATATGATTCCAAATTTTTCCAGAGGAGCCACAGGGCCACATTTTTCCAGAGGAGCCACAGGGCCACATTTTTCCAGAGGAGCCACAGGGTCCAATCAAGGTATTTCAATGTTAAGCACAAGTTCTTCATAAACTTGATAATATCTCACCTTTCATCTGAGAAAGCTATCCAACTAGCTTACAGAATGTCAGTGGTTCTATTCAGGTGCCTGTTTGTGACTGAAATAATGCACAAAGGTGCACCTGAGGTTTTCCTCCAACAGTAAAGCTAGAAAGTCGCTATATGATCTATACTGCGATGGTATAACGAAAAACCAGCCGAAAAAACAAAATCTGACAGGTGAGAACTTTACAGAGTAACTGATGATTTGTTTCACATTACAGTGTCCTTGCATTGCAGGGTTAATAAAATTATCTTATATTTGCACCAAAAATAGCCATAGAAAAGTATAACCTGCATTGCAGACACTTGCTGGGGCCTTACTATATGGTGCTCTATTATGGGAGTGAGAATTGTATCGGGCCTTGTTTGTCCATGCAGTGTGACTCTGTTGGTAGTTCAGCTTTTGAATTTAGTTTGGTAATTTCTTTATCTTTAAATGGGCTGTTCAAAATTGAAAGCTGGGCAAATTCATTTCACTTTTTAGCAGATTAAGGGTACTCATTGTTGTTTTTTTGTAGGTAATTTTATGAATTTTTACATGTTAATGATCAAATGTTTGCACTGTTCCCCTTACTCTTGTATTTAATGCATCATGCAATAAAAAAGCTTAAGTCTTTTTAGCTCACCTGTCACAAAGTGACATTGTGAGCTTTTGTGATCGCTTTTCCTCCAGCGTCCGTCCGTACAGCATCCGTCCGTTTGTCTGTAAACTTTTACTTTAAACGACATCTCCTCATAAACTGCTGAGCCAATTTAATCCAAACTTCACAGGAATGTTCCTTTGGTAGTCAACTTTAAAAATTGTTCAAAGAATTTAATTTCAAGCAGAACTCTGGTTGCCATGGCAACCAAAAGAAAAAAACTTAAAATATCTTCTTTTAAAAAGCCCATATAGCTAGAGTTACGATATTAAGCATGAAACATCTTCTAGTGGGTGTCTACCAAGTTTGTTCAAATAAAAGCCCTGGGGTCAAAATTGGCCCCTCCCCAGGGGGTTAATGTTTTTCCCTTTATGTATATATTAAAAACTTAAAAAAATCTTCTTTTGAAAAACTCTTAGAGCTAGAGCTAAGATATTTAGTATGAAACATCTACTAATGGGTGTCTTCCATTTTTGTTCAAATATGGGCCCTGGGGTTAAAATTGGCCCCGCCTTGGGGATCATTGATGTATATAGTAAAAACTTAAAAAATCTTCTTTTAAAAAACCCAAAGAGCTAGAGTTTAAATATTAAGCATGAACTATCTTCTAGTGTGTGACTACCAAGTTTGTTCAAATAAAAGCCCTGGGGAGAAAATTGGCCCCGCCCAGAGGGGGGGGGGTCATTGTTTTTCCTATATGTGTATAGTAAAAACTTAAAAAATCATTTTACAGCTAGAGCTAAGAGCTTATCATGAAACATCTTCAAATGGATGTCTACCAAGTTTGTTCTAATAAAAGCCTCTAGGTTAAATTTGGCCCCGCCCCGAGGGCCAATATACATGTGAGCGATTTCAGGGCCATCATGGTTCTCTTTATTGTTTCTATAATTACTAATGTTTCATGTATTATGTATCATATTAATAATCTATTTTTAGATGTGTTTAGACCAGCAGCATCAGATTTGTCATCACCAAGGGAACAAGGATTTAAAGCACAAAATGGAGTTAAAGTATATCTTGTGAAGGGAGAACTTGGGAAACAAGATGTGCGTCATTTTTCTGTTTATTGTTTTTACATTTTACAAAGCAAAGATGCATTTGCACTTAAATCACAGCTTGCAAATAGTAATGTGTATAGTTTATAATTTAATCGAATACTATTAATAATAGATTTTAATGCACAAGTCAATTACTTGTTAAACAATGATAATTATACATATTAATATTTTCCTACCCTCAATGAAATGTTGTCTTAGTTTTGAAAAAAATCTCCGATATGAATATTCCTAAGTTGGATGATTGTTATTTTTTATTTGAATTCTCTCTTGTGAGATTTTAGTTCAACTACCCAAAAAAGGGGATGGCTATTTAATTCACCCAGTTGTTGGGGTCACACTTTGGTTAAGTTTTTGCGTGCAAGATGGTATCTCAAAAGTACTAAAGGGAATATAGGTTAAAACTTCACTGACTTATTTTACAGCATAAAATGCAATCTGTGATTGAGGCCCATAACTCCGACATGAATTTTTACAAACTTATGGTCCTTTTTGAACTTTTGTGAAGGCTCTTTTTTACTATCAAGTACTGAGAATAGCCAGGCATGCTGGTTACTGACAGCCTTATTTATAAAGTATTTGATCATATGACCAAAAAATATATAAAATGATGAATTTGTGTGAATGATATGGAAATTGAAAGGAAGTATATATATACTGCACTGATCTCTTTCCCTGAAACAAACATAATTTGAGCCGCGTCATGACAAAACCAACATAATGGGTTTGCGACCAGCATGGATCCAGAACAGCCTGCGCATCCGCGCAGTCTGATCAGGATCCATGCTGTTCGCTTACAAACCCTATAGCAAGTAGAGAAACAGAGAGCGAACAGCTTGGATCCTGATCAGACTCTGCGGATGCGCAGGCTGGTCTGGATCCATGCTGGTCGCAAACGCACTATGTTGGTTTTGTCGTGACGCGGCTCGTTTACTTTGTCTTGTCCTTACAATTGCAGGGTAACATAATTGTTGTTACAACAGCACCTAACCTGAACCTGAACAGTGGCAATGCTTGTAAATCTGTACTTAGAGAGGGCGGTCAAGATCTTCAAAATGAGTGCAAAGAAAAATATCCAAATGAGATCAAGTTTGGAGAAATAGCAGTGGTTCATGGTCATGGTGCACTTGAATGCAATTTTGTTTATTTGACGACATTACCAAACTGGAACTCTGAGCATAACCCTGAACAGGTTGGTTACAGATTCTTGTGTACCACACACACATACAAACATGCATACATTTATGCATGCATACAAGCAGGCACGCACAATAAAGATTTACTTTTTCAGCAAAATAAATGTCATCAAAAGACAAATGTAAGCCACAAGTTTAAAGATTTACATGAAACGAGATGAAAGTAAAATTTCTTGCTCCAAAATGACTGCTTAATGAAAGTTATGACACTATTATCCTGGACAATATTATCCTGCTGACTTTTTAAAGTATACAATCAATAATGGAAGGTCTGTAATGTATTAAATGATAAAATTGATAGTACTTAGTATAAGACATAGACAACAAACCACAAAATATTTATATATATTGATGTACTTGTAGTTGACATTGTGAAGAATACATTATCCAATATTACATGTTTATATGTATAGCAGATAATATAATGTTCTAGAATAAAATATAATTTTTCGTCATATAAATGTTCATACTTAATCACTTTAAAATTTATCACCAACATTTTTTTCAAGCAATATTTTATAAGAATATCCAAATGATACATTTCTATTGCTTTTACCAATATTTGAAATTCTGATGGCAAATAAACTGGTTGTAGACCAATCCACTTTAAGTAACAAGTATATGTTGTGTAGGTAAGTTCTTTTACTTTTGTAACAGTAAAGAAAAGTGTTCACTCCTGTAATTTTAGAATTTCACACAGACAATACATTTTAATCTGTCTTTTTACTTCTTCTGTAAATAAATTTAATATTCATTGTTCAGATTGTGGAAAAAGTCATGAAGGACAGTCTTGAATTAGCGGAGAAACATAACAAATATTCAATTGTCTTTTGTGCAATGGGAACGGGTCAGCTACAGTATCCAACAGACCTGGTTGCAAGGATTATGTACCAGGCAGTTATCGACTTTGACAAAAGTCATCCACAATCTTCATTGAAAGAGGTCAAATTTGTCTTGTATCAGAAAGACTTTGCCACAATTAAGGTAAGTTAATTAAGAAAAAAGCTATTGACACAACAAATCTCTTGTAGAAAGTAAGTTTTAGGTTTAATAATCACTTACTTGCATATTTTATAATGTTCTTTGTTATAATGATGATGTTAACATTTTGCCTTTTTAACTTGCTAATTACAGCGAAACTTCTGCCAATGGCTCTCTGTAGAGCAATAGCCTCTTAACAATAATGATACAAGTTCTTCTTAAAAAGGCTGTACATTTAATTACACACAAAATCTTAGTCATTCAAACAGTGTCAAGGTTGAACTGCATTTATGATGATGTTATTATATACATTTAAGGCTTTTGAAGAAGAGGAAAATTTCAGACTGGTAGGTGGAGGAGAAAGGCCAACGTTTGGTATGTACTTATTTTGCTTTCTTTTTCAAGAGGAAAACATTTTATTTTAGATATTATATTATTAAATATTTTCATAGAAGAAAACTTGTCTGTTTAGTGTAACACCTTTTGATTAAATGTGTTAAATAAAGTGTGATTTTAAAAGTTGCACTAGAAATCTCACTTTTACATATGTATTTCTGTTATTATGTGGTTTTGTTCAATCTGTATAAAAGAAAAAACCTGAAAGATATGCATTATTTAGTTTAGTTGGGTTTGAATTGCATTTGGGTTCAAACCTTGTTGTTTCCTTTATCAAGCAAGTTTACATTCATTGCCCATTTCAGCAACAATATCAAGAGTGTGTTTAAGCTTATAGCTTCTAACACATTCAAACTAAAATGAATTATATTTAAACTAAACTAATTGTATTTGTGAAAGTACTTCAATCACATACCATCACTTAATTATCTGAATGCATATTAGCTATTTTTCCTGCTAATAACTTTGAATTTCTCCATGTAAATTATCAAAAAATCGCAAAATAAAGACATAATGGTATATTGTATTATATCATTTCACCAAGGTATCTTGGAGATTAATATGTGTTGCATCTGAGATTCGAATCTCAAGTTTTATTTCTCAAATGCAGTTTTAAGTCTTAAGGCCTACAATGTATATATTTCTCAATATTTTTTACAGAGATGTTAACAGATTTACATGTTCCTTAAACTATATCAGTTACTTTTCATTTTTGGCATTTTCAGAGTTGAAAACCGGAAAAATTACAATAGAGCTATTAGTTGAAAATATCGCTCAACAGAGGGTGAGTAATAATCCTTAAGTAATTTGAACCATTCTGAATAAATTTTTGTTCTGTTTTTGGTGTTGTTGTAATAGGAATATCAATGTTAACCCTAAATACTATTTTTAATTGTGTTTGTCTTTGATATGATATCACAGACTGAAATGGAGCTTGGCTTCATTAACATTTGGTGTTATGGTTTTGAGCCCTAGTTAGCTCATCATATGACACTTGTACACCACCACTGAGAAGTTCAAGGAAGCGGACGCAAAATCGATGTTTATAAATTTGTTCCACAATCAAGCTAGAATAAATATGGTTTATAATTAAAAAGGCTTCTAACTTTAAAGATATGAATATATGCAACAGAGTGTGGTATAGGCAATTGAAATTGTTTTGTAAATGCATCAATTTGTTGACTTTTGCTTTAATTTTGATTCACAGACTATACACACAGTGTTGTGATAATGCTTGTTTATTTCCCATATAGGTTGATGCTATTTTATGTTCCACGTCCCCTAGCATGGAGTTAAAACGAAGTGGTGCATGCCAAGCACTTGTCAGAGTTGGCGGGAAAACTTTACAAGATGAGTGTAAATCAAAGTACGGCAACAAACTTGAGGAAGGAAATGTTGTAGAAATAGGGGGAGGAAACTTGTCCTGCAAATCCGTGTTTTTGACTGTTCTGCCTAGATTTAATGCTGATGCTATAAATGTAAGTTCCTTCAAAAACAAATAACCATTCTCAAGCTACTATATATATATAGCTACACACATTTATCATCATGTTTTGTGAAAGGTTTCAAGTGAAGGTTTTAAGTGATGGTAATATGATTATTTGCTTAATTTGTGGAGTAAGACCTATTGTGCCTGTCTATTTAAAAATTTGAAGCTTAACTTTACATCTGAACTTGTGACCTTCCATAAGCAAACTAGATATAAGCCAATTCACATGAAAAAACTAAAAGTACTGCATGAGAAATTGAAGACAAAGCAGTGTTTATTATGTTCGATGAATTTATATAAATATTTATGGTTTTCCATATGGCTTACACACATGTACTTGTACTTGGCATTCATACATACATACATACATACATACATACATACATACATACATACATACATACATACATACATACATACATACATACATACATACATACATACATACATATATACATACATACATACATACATACATACATACATACATACATACATACATACATACATACATACATACATACATACATACATACATACATACATACATACATACATACATACATACATACATACATAACATAACATAACATAACATACATACATACATACATACATACATACATACATACATACATACATACATAACATAACATAACATAACATAACATAACATACATAACATACATACATACATACATACATACATACATACATAACAAAACATAACATAACATAACATAACATACATACATACATACATACATACATACATACATACATACATACATACATACATACATACATACATACATACATACATACATACATACATACATATATTGAATACGGAAAAACATGTTGTTTTTGAATACATACATACATACATACATACATACATACATACATATACTGAATACGGAAAAACATGTTGTTTTTGAATACATACATACATACATGTGATCTTTAAAGCTGCATGCCTCCAGATGAGCCAAAATATTTCAAGAAAATTGAACTTGGAAAAACTGTACTAAAAATTTAATAAAAGTAAATAGATGAAAGATTTGATGATTTATATCATATGTGCAATTAATGACTTTTTTCAGTATTAAATATCACCATATTTCTACTGCGTTACTAACGTAGTAGGGGCTATTTTTGCATATTTTTACCTCTTTTTGGTAATTTACGCGAATAATAAGTGCCGATTGCAATGTGTCAATTAATTTTTTGTTAATTTCACACTATTTTACTTTTTTATACATTTTCAAAATTTCATGAAAACTAGGATGAATCTGGAGGCATGCTGCTTTAAGTAGTGCTGCTACATTAGTGTTATTTCCCTGCCTAAAAAGCACATATTTTTTGACAAGGTTTCGTGTCACAGATGACCACTTCTGTGTTGATGTTGGTAAATCATTTGGATTTTTGATCTGTTTTTAAATTAAGTAAATTAAATATTATAACGACAATTTAATAATTTTTATGTCCTTGATTATAAGCATACTGTTTTTGTACAGATTTTGACAAAGGTGATCCAAACAATGCTTAACTTAGCTCATACAAAAGGATATAAATCATTAGCGTTGCCAGCATTAGGGACAGGATTTCTACATTATCCTACAAACGAGGTTTGCCAGTGCATGTTCCAGACTATGATCGATTGGGCCAAGAAAAATCCTGCTTCAAGTGTAACAAACATCCGATTAATAATGTATGCAAAGGACCATGAAGTCATTCAAGTAAGATCATATTGTTGCGTGTACTGCAGTATAAATTAAATGTGCAACTGCATTTTATATATGTCTCAAAAATAATATGTATTTCTTAAAAGCATGTCAAAGTCATTACAAGTATTTTCTATTGAATCTGGAAAGAAAAAAAATACCCTGTGTGTGATTAAAACTCACGACTACTGACTTAGTAGTTATTTTTGAGGTAGCGCATTGATTTAGCGCTTGCTCCATTCAAGAGGCAACCTTGGTTGTTTTACATACTCTTGTAGAGTACAATTTTTAAGGTGTCATCCAAAAGACTTGTATTTTTAGTAGTAGATCTCTGATTGCTAGATTACTTGTCAAACATGATACTACTGAAACACAAATCTGCTTATAAACAGAATTGCCAGAGGTTGTATTAATGGTTATGAATTATTTGTGATATTTAGCTAAGTAAAAATGGAGATGTCATAACCCACTCATCAGTGTTGGTTAATTTTTTGGATAAGTTTTTCTATGTGGCCACTTACTCCAATACTAATAAAGCTGTTTTAGTTAAACTTTTTAAGATTTGAGTTCTACCTGCTGCACCCATTTTTAGCTCGACTTTTCTATGAAAAGGGGAGCTATCCTACTCGCCCCGGCGTCGGCGTCGGCGTCGGCGTTAGCGTTAGCGTTGGCGTCACACCTTGGTTAAGTTTTTCGTACCACCCCACTTTATTTCAGAAGTATTACAAGTATGGCTTTGAAACTTACCATACTTGTTCACCATCATAACCTCCATCTACAGACAAGAGTACATAACTCTGTCAAGGTTTTTGACAGAATTATGGCCCTTTTTTTGACTTAGAAAGTGTATTGAGCTTGTGTTAAGTTTTTTGTACCACCTCACTTTATTTCAAAACCATTGGAGGTATTGCTTTGAAACTGACCATACTTGTTTACCATCACGACCTTCATCAACAGACAAGAGGACATAAACTCTGTCAAGGTTTTTGACAGAATTATGCCCCTTTTTGACTTAGAAAATACATTGAATATGGGTAAAATCCACTTATTGCCTTAACCCTTTGAGATATTGCTTTGAAACTTTTAATGCTATTTCACATCATTACCCCATCTGTACGCAAGAGAAGGTAACTCTGTCAAGGGATTTGTTTTAAAAATTAAGGCCTTTTATCGACTTAGAATCTTGGTTAAGTTTTTTAGTACCAGTCAACTTTTTGACTGAACTGGTTTGAGATATTAAATTGAAAGTTGGAATACTTGTTTACCATCATGGTCCCAACATGGGCAGGAGAAGGTAATTCTGTTAAGGATTTTATTTGAATTATGGCCCTTTTTGACTTAGAAACTCAGTTAAAATTTTCATTCTTGTCCACTTGTTGACCTAACCATTTGAGATATTACTTTGGAAGTTGGAGTTCTTATGTGCCATCATGAGACCTATCTGTAAGCAAGAGAAGATAACTCTGTGAAAATGTTTCTTGATTTGTACTTAGAAATTCCTAGTTAAAGTCTTGTGTGCCCTTAACTGTCAAAGTTTTGTTTTATAGGCAAGCACTAAAAAAGTCGAGCGCGCTGTCCTTCTGACAGCTCTTGTTAGATAAAAAGGTCAAAGGTCAAGGTCACTTGGACCTGTAACTACAAAACAAAGCTGGCTACTAAATCAATGTGCATTGATATAAGATCTTCAAATGTTGTATGTTGATGAGTTCTACAAGCTCCACATGGTATACACCTATATAATGGTCAAAAGGTTAAAGATCACTGTGAATTGTTAAAACAAAACATTAGACTGGCTATTAAATCAAAGTGAATTGAGTTAGACAAGTTGACACTTTGTATGTAGATGTACCCTAAGTTAGTTCTGCCTGCCCCACCCATTTTCAGGTAATAACACTTGGACCAGTTATACAGTAATAATGAAACTTTAACTGGCTCTTAAGTAAAAGTGCTTTGACTAAGAAACTTCAACACTAAGATATTAACAAAAAAAAACAACAACAAATAATGATACATAATACACAATTTTGATACCTTATTAATTTTTTTCTTTTACAGAAGTTCAAATCATACATCTTAAATGAAAAGGGCAAGGGAAAAAGGGAACACAGGCGTTCATCAGGAGACTTAAAAAAACAAGGTGCACATCAAAAGAAGTTGTTCCCTAGTCTTATTCCTAAAAAAGAGGAAAAGGCACTGTATAATGCACATGCTGATGGTATAAATTATTATTCTTATTCTTTATAGCCTGTTTATGTTTGTTTATTATCTATTCAAATATATGTAAATATACATGTATACAACAACATGTATTTCTATAGAAGTAATAATTTTTCCGTTCACGGGACTTAATGACATTTTGTAATCAATTTGTGAAAAGTATTAAGAAATGCTGAATTTTAGATCATTTTTCTGTCATTTACTGGTAATTATATAATTTGATAAGCTACAGTTGCTTCAAAGTATAGAATTACTTTTTCAAGTTATGCTTTCTTAAGAACGATTGAGATAAAATTTGTAAAATAATTGTAAAATTTCACCAATAAAGCAGGTTTTCTATCTACTAGTATTTAAAATGTTCAACTTCACCTCATGTATTTGATAGGCCAGTTCTTTTTCCACTTTCAAGTTTCAGAGACCTTCTCCTACCATTCTATCAAGAAAAGCCCTTTATAAGTCTACTAACTGTAAGAGTGGTTTATCTTTTTGAACAGCTCTTCGAAATTCTTACCTATTTAAAGGGGCTCCACTGAAAAACATAAAATTTGAAATTTTCACATATTTAAAGTGATGCATTTAAAATGAAAAAATCTTCAAAGGACAATAAAGAAATATACAAAGAAAAAAAAATAAATGTTAAGTTAAAAGTGTTGCAGCACCTTTCGTTTTTGAGTCATTTTGCACAATTAAAGTTATTATTCTGAAAAAAAAATGGTTGAGGAAAATTTGTACACAAGTTATATGTTCAGACGTGAATTAGATGGTACAGAACTCTTGGAAAAATATTTCCAGTCTTGTCATGTTTAAAATCTCAGGGCAGTCACTTTAAAGTATATTGTTTCTATTTATGGAAACTTATCATTACAGTATAAGGGTTTACTAATAGAGCACAAATATTATTTCAATTTTATAGGGGTACAGATAGGGAAGATAAAATTGAATGTTTTCAAAGGTGATATTTTGTCACAGAAAACAGATGCAATTGTTTCTAGTGTTGGAAAGCAGTTTGAATTCATCGGTTAGTAACCTAAATATTTATTTTACATTTTATTTAATGAATTATGTATTCCAAAATGTTTGGGAGACATATTGTTTATGCCTTCGCCGTCTGTCTGTCCGTCTGTCTGTCCGCACTACTGAATAGGGATAGGGGGCCATCTAACTGTAAACAGAACAAAAGAGAACAATAGAATTCATTCCGTAACAATAGAATAAGGGGCCTTTACCAGGCCCTCTATTAAACAAAAGAAAGTAACAATAGAAATGGCATTTTATCCCTATTCAGTTGGACGGTTGTCTGTTCGCATTAAGCTTGTTAGGCCTTCACAGGTCAAACTACTGGTGGGATTTCAACAAAACTTTACAGGAGTGATCAGTATTATCCTGAGTTGTGCACATCACAATCATGTTACGCTTCACTGCACAAAATGGCTGTCAGAGCTAAAAATAGAAAAATCTTATCCGGCTTTCACAGGTGAAACTTCTGGTGGGATTTCAAGCAAACTTTACAGAAGTGATCAGTACTATCCTTGGTTATGCATATCACCAACACACACTACTTCGCTGCACAAAATGGCCACCAGAGCTATAGATAGAAAAATCTTTCACAGATAGAACTGCTGGTGGGATTTGCACCAAAATTCACAGGAGTTTAAGTACCATTGCTAGTTGTACATATCACGGCATGTTCCGCGTTGCTGCACTAATACTGAAGTACTGAAATTGTGTTATGAAACTTGATAATTGGATAGATGGCAGTCTATAGACAGTGCACGTGTTTTTCTTTTCTTTCTATGTTGAAAACTTTGGTCGATATGGCAACAAATAGCCTTAAAATATGGCAAATTTAATACAGAAACGGAATGCAGTGAAAATGCAAAAGTACTGAAAATATTTTGTAAAACTTGTCATATGGGTAGATGACAGTCTGGAGGTTATGCACGTCTTTTTTTCTTCCTTTGTTTAAAACTTTGGTTGCATTGGTAATAAATAGACTGAAAATATGGCAAATAAACACATTAACTGGATCCAGTGATACCCAAAAGTGCTGAAAATATTTTGTGAAACTTGATATATGGGTAGGTGGCAGTCTGGAGATTATGCACGTCTGTTTTAGCTCACCTGTCACTTTGTGACAGGGTGAGCTTTTGTGATCGCTTTTCGTCCGACGTCCGTCCGTAAGCTTTTACTTTAAATGACATCACTTCATAAATCACTAGGCCAATTTCATCCAAACTTCACAGGAATGTTCCTTTGGTGGTCACCTTTAAAATTTGTTCAAAGAATTTAATTCCATGCAGAACTCTGGTTGCCATGGCAACCGAAAGAAAAAAACGTTAAATATCTTCTTTTGAAAAACCCAAAGAGCTAGTCTCAGCTTAGATATTTGGCATGAAACATCTTCTAGTAAGTGATTACCAAGTTTGTTCAAATTAAAGCCCTGGGGTCAAAATTGGCCCTGCCCCAGGGGGCATTGATTTTCCCTATATGCATATAGTAAAAACTTTAAAAAAACTTCTTTTAAAGAACTCAAAGAGCTAGAGCTAAGATATTTAGCATGAAACATGTTCTAATGGGTGTCTACCAAGTTTGTTCAAATAAAAGCCATGGGGTCAAAATTGGCCCGGCCCTAAGGGGTCATTGATTTTCCTTATATATGTATAGCAAAAACTTAAAAAATCTTCTTTGAAAAACCCAAATAGCTAGAGTTTAGATATTAAGCATGAAACATCTTCTAGTAAGTGTTTACAAAGTTTGTTCAAATCAAAGCCCTGGGGTCAAACTGGCCCCGCCCCAGGGGTTTCATTGTTATTAACTATATGTGTCCAGTAAAACTTAAAAATCTTCTTTTAAAAAACCCAATGATGTTGCAATGAGCTAGAGCTTAGATGTTTAACATGAAACATCTTCTAATCGATGTCTACCAAGTTTGTTCAAATAAAAGCCCTTGGGTTAAAATTGGCCCTGCTGGGGGGGGGGGGAGGGGGGGCAGGGGGTGGGTGGGGGGATGAAGGGAGAGAAGGGGAGGGGGGCAGTGTTGGGGCAAGATCATTGTTTTTCATTATATGTGTGTAGTAAAAACTTAACATCATGAAACATCTTCTAATGGGTGTCTTCCAAGTTTGTTCAAATAAAAGCCCTGGGGTTTAAACTGGCCCCACTCTGGGGGGCCAAATATACAGGTGAGCGACCTCAGGGCCATCATGGCCCTCTTGTTTCCTATACTGAAAAATTTGATTGCTATGTCAATAAATAGGCTTAATATGGTAAATATAACAATATTGTGATTACTCAAAAAGTACTGAAAACATTCTTTTAAAAGCATTATACACATAATTTTAATCTTAATTATATGGCGAGCTCGTCAAGATTTCTGATTCTAGTTTTAACGCTGATTCACTATAAGTTCTTTATTTCTTAAGGTATTTGCAAACTTGGTATATATGTTTCTATTCATTATTTGTGACAAGGACTACAACATTAGCACAAAAATATCCGAATTACCTCCCTTGAACTTTGAATTTTTATGGAAAACTCATTTTTTCATAACTTCCTTATTTTTCTAAATGTATCTACTTCAAACTTCATATATGTTTATTATTATCACTCAAATTATTTTTGAGTAGGTTTTATACTAGAAATTAGCAATTTTAACTCAAACTTTTTCCTTCCTTTTAGAATTTTCTTCAAACTACCACATCATAATAATATGACAAGGTATATAAATCTAGCATCCATATTTTCAGTATAATCTCCTCCTTAAACTTTGAATTTAATTTCATTTTTAACTTTCTTATTTCTTCATGTATTTACTTTAAATTCAAAATATGCATTCATTACTGACACCTACATCATAATATTATGTGATTAGATAATTATATAAGTCACGGGTTTCTATGAGTATTATCTTTTAAACTTATCCACTCTTTAAGTATTTTGCTTTTAAATATGTTCTATTTGGTTAAAACCAGGGATGTGTAAAGATTTACCTTCAGAGTGTCTTTTAGTCAGTGTGTCTGTCTGTTCCTAAAATCTGTTTCCTGAGATCACTTTTAAAGAACTTGGAACTTTACCAACCAATTTACTTAAAATAGAGAAAAGTTATTAGATATACATATCCATCCTGAGAAAATTGAATTTTTTGATTACATGTTGTAGAAGAAAAATTTCTTAACTATGCAGGGACATTTAACACATTACTGACAATGTAAGAACTCTAAGATTTTTCATTCATTCATTCATTCATTCATTCATTCATTCATTCATTCATTCATTCATTCATTCATTCATTCATTCATTCATTCATTCATTCATTCATTCATCCATCCATCCATCCATTCATTCATTCATTCATTCATTCATTCATTCATTCAATGGCATAATTTTATTGTCAATGTCCCTTCAGAATGCTGCTGGGTTTCTTACCAGTAAGGGACTTATTGATTGCTTGCAATACTATAATAATTACTAAGTTAATAATTTCTTTACCAATAATTAATTATTTTGTAGGTGCCGTAGCACAAATCCTGAAGTCAAAATGCCCGGAAATAGAACAGGAATGTCAAAAGAAAGGTATTTGTTTTTAATTTCATAAAGGTATTATAAAGTAACGATAATTTTGCACTTCTTTTGCACATAATCCTTTTCTTTATATTGATATTTCCCACATTTTGTTATTGTTGTTATGATTTTTTTCCCACAGAAAACATTGATAAACTGAAACGTGATGGTGTGGTGATGACAAAAGGATATCAGCTACATGTAAAGAATGTTATCCATGTGAAATACGTTGACCATATTGATGACTGGAAAGCAAGGATTCTTAAATGTGTAGAAAAAGCAAATAAAGAACGTTTAAAGACCATTGCTTTTCCTGTACTTGGAACAGGTAAAATGACTTTTTTCAACTTCTTAATATAATCCCAAGTAGTGAAAAGAATATTGCCCTACCTGAATGGTCACATTCGTTAAAAATTGCCCCTGCCAAATGTTACCCATTTACTTTTTCTGCATCGAAGACTTATCAGCTTTGTTAGATTGAATCTCGAGTCATCATGACCTTCTTATATAAAATACTTGTTAGGTGGTAAAACAGCCAGAGATTGTTTTTGATGTTGATTATTTCAAGGAAAAAGAAACTGTGAAAGTTGTAATATCTGGTTTGGGTAATTTCATTGCTCTTAAATTATTAGAGGAATTGACTTGAAACTAAATGCATTTTGTAGTTTCCTAATTGGAGGTTATTGACCAAGATCTCACCCTCTAGCATGGATTTGTACTGGGTATAACTTTGTGAACTTTGTAAAAATATTTGGTTTAGGTTTTGAATACAAATTCTGTCTGCAAAACAATGTCATTGATCATACAATGATTGATACCTTAAGTTATATTCAGACAAAATTGTGTTTTATTTTTTATTGATGACTAAAAACACAAAAATATTTTTTTTTGTTGAACTAATGAAACAGGTTTACTGAAACTTTAAATATATACGTGCATGATCCATCACATATATGAGAGATCACAATCATTTAAAAATTGTACCAACATTTACATTTCAGTAATACCTCTAATCAAATACATGTACTATTATTTACTTTAGACACATATTTGCATTTGTCATAAACTTATATGCCCTTTCAAATATCCAAATATAAATTGTTTCAGAATAAAAATTTAATTAACTGAATATACAAATATTGTCGCTAACATAGCAATTATGTAATAAATATTTGGTATTTAAATTCTGTTCTATGAATATGCTCCTTTAAACTTTATTGTATGTTAATACTCCGTTTAATGCTCCTTTGGTTTTCGCAAAACCATTTTTATTGTTGTAAACACAATGAAATAAGAGAAACACTTTTTTGTTTTTACTTTTAATATTTAATTTTTAAACACTTTTTTATTTTTACTTTTACAATTTACAAGTTTTTATTTTTTTAACACTTTTTTACTATTAAATGTATTTTACATTAAAATTTTTTTTATATTTTAATTACTTTTCTTTTTACAATACTTTTTAACACACACACTTTTGTGACCATGCGGTTTTTATTTATACAAAGCTATTATGAAAAGCACGTGAATATGTTTGTGGCGGGAATTTAATGGCGGGAATGTTAAAAGGAGCAATGTAATATAATAAGACTTTGGCGCGAAAACCAAAGGAGCAATAAACGGAGTATTAACATACAATAAAGTTTAAAGGAGCATTTTTAAAGAACAGCATTTAAATACCAAGTATTTATTACATAATTGCTATGTTAGCGACAAATATATGACTATCATACAGACAAAACTTTGTTTGAATTAAGGTGGATCACGCATTTTCTACAGATACGCAATTTCTTTTTTCTTCTTTTTCAGGGAAAGGTTTTAAAACATTTAGTCCAGATGCAATAGCTGGATGTTTATTTGATGCCGTCAGTGAGTTTGTACAGAAAACTAAAAGTCCATCAATAAAGGAAATCCGGCTGATAGTGTACAGTGGGCAGTCGGGCATGTATAAACCTATCATGGATCAATTGCACAAGAAAGTTCAAGAGGCAGTTATGGCAGCATCTGATGGATTGTTCCGGAAAGGGTTTAAAAGTAAGTTGGTTTCTAATAAAGTACAAGACAATTGGAGTTTAACTATGCTATTCCGGCCATAGGACCACTTTTTTTACAAATGGCAGCACTCCATTTTTCCTCCATTATCATAGTTAAAAACCACATCCTATTGGGCACTTAAGAATAAAGTGTTCAGAATGTCTCTCATTGGTTAATTGCCATTATTTGTAATGTTTTTTAAGCAACATGTTCTCCCAAAAGTTCTTAATGTCTTTAAACAACATGTTCTCCCAAACGTTAATAATGTATCTAAACTAGAGCTATGGCTTAATATGATTAATATCCCCGCAAGACAGCTTCGGAATTGAGGAAGTTACTAGTAACAGAATACCTTGTAAAAGAATTGAAATGAAGTTATGGTTGTAGGCAATTAAAGATAGTTGTGGTTCTTGTACATTGCATTTCCTTTCACTGTGGTTGACAATTGATGAAGTTTTATTAAATAAAGAAGTTTTATTGAACACTCTGTAATAAGTCCAGATGGCGTTACGGTTCTTGAGCACTGCCATTCCTCCCACTGCATTTCCTCTTAAAATACTTGACCATTGTAAGAATTTGTATTGAATTTTAACCAGTAGATTTCATTTTATGCTCTGCCACAAGGAAAAGTAACAAAGGCCAATCACTCTAAAATGACTCTGGGTAGAGTTATGGTTCTTGTGCACTGCACTTCCTCTTATTGAGCTTGGCTACTGTATGAAGTTGTTTTGAATTATATTAAACAAATATTTTGCTCGGAAAGTAAAGGACTGAGAGCTGAGATAATTTGCATAATACATTGCCCTGTAGGCATCTTCATAACTTTATGTAAATTATGCTCATAGATTCAATTATTTTACATATACTTTTTATAAACTTAAGCTACATTGGCTATTTCTTTTATATTGAGAATTTTTTATTATCTCGCCAAATTTATATTAAATAAATCATTCCTTTTAAAAAACTTTCCTTTTGAACTGAAATTTATTATGTAGCATTTTTTTTCTTTGCCTCTTGTTCAGTCCAAATATACTGCTTTCAATGAAGTTGCATTGAATTCTAACCATTTGTTTTCAAGTTATGCACTGGACATGAAAAAATAATGAAGAAGAACAATAACTCTGTGATTTATGGTTCTTTTGCACTGCACTTTCTCTCAATGTGCTTGACCATTGTATGAAGTTGTATTGAATTCCAAATAAGGGTTTTTAAGTTATGCTCAAGACAAGGAAAATGCAACGGAAAAGTAACAAAGGGCAATAACTGTAAATTACTTTAGATAGAGTAATGGTTCTTGTGCACCACCCTTCCTCTTAATGTGCTTGACCATTGTATGAAGTTGTATTGAATTTCAACTTGTGGTTTTCAAGTTATGCTCTGGAAAAACAGAAAGCAATGGAAAATGACAAAGGATAATAACTCTATAATTACTCTGGATAGAGTTATGTTTCCTTTGCACTGCACTTCTTCTTATTGTGCTTGACCATTGTATGAAGTTATTTTGAATTCCAACTAGTGGTTTTCAAGTTATGCTCCAGACAAGGAAAAAGCTATGGAAAAGTAACAAAGGGCAATAATTTAAAAATTACTTTAGATAGAGTTATGGTTCTTGTGCACTGCACTTCCTCTTATTGTGCTTGACCATTGTATGAAGTTGTCATGAATTCAAATGAGTACTTTTTAAGTTATGTTCCAGACAAGGAAAAGTATCAAAGGGCAAAAACTCTGTAATAAGTCAAGATGGAGTCATGGTCCTTGTGCACTGCACTTCCTCTCAGTGTGCTTGACCATTGTATGAAGTTTTATTGAATTCCAACTAGTGGTTTTCAAGTTATGCTCTGTACAAAAAAAAAGCTATGGAAAAATGACAAAGGGCAATTACTCTATAATTACTCTGGATAAAGATATGGTTCTTGTGCATTGCACTTCCTCTTATTGTGCTGGACCATTGTATGAAGTTGTTTTGAATTCCAACCAGAATTTTTCAAATTATGCTTTGGACAAAGAAACGTATCAAAGAGCAATTATTCTGTAATAAGTCCAAATGAAGTTATGGTTCTTGTGCACTGCACTGCCTCTCAATATGCTTGACAATTGCATGAAGTTGTATTGAATTCCGACTAGTGGTTTTCAAGTTACGCTCCAGACAAGAAAAAAAGCAATGGAAAAGTAACAAAGGGCAATAACTTTGTAATTTCTTCAGATAGAGTTTTGGTTCTTGTGCACTTGCTCTTATTGTGCTTGACCATTGTATGAAGTTGTTTTGAATTCCAATTATTAGTTTTCAAGTTGTGCTCGGGACAAGGAAAAGTAGTAAAGGGCAATAACTCTGTAATTACTCAAGATGGATTTATGGTTCTTGTGCACTGCGTTTCTCTTCAACACGGGGGAGGAAGTGTTACACGAAGGATGGAGTTCTTATAATAACTTGTATGGAGTTCTTATGATAACTGTCACGGAGTTCCTGGAAAATGTTACGGATTTCTGTGGAAAACTTTTCTATATACGTTGAGAACTCACGTAAAAAATGGTCATTTTTACCTTTAAATGGGGAGCTGGATGTGCTAAATTAAACTTTGATAATTAAGCTTGTCCTACATATTGTATAATGTTTCAGAAAAACCCTTTAGTCCATTTTTTATCGCCTTTTAATATAAAAATCTGGTAGTTTTTAGTAAAATTTCCAAATTACTTGCTCATACGTACATATTGACCTTTTCCTTTGTGATCTTCTTCGTTGCTATACATAATTACATAATTATAATGCAGAGTTGCAAACATAAATCCCAGGCTGATAAATTTATACCCGATTTTTCAAATGTCACGGAGTTCTTGTGATAACTCAAAATATGTCCCGGAGTTCTTATGATAACTTTTATTACTGCCAGTGTGTTTCTTAATTGTGCTTAATTAAGATAAGGATTTTATAAGTCTTTGTTTTGTGTTTGTTTGTTTCGGGTTTTACGTCACATCGGCACATTCTATGTCATATCGCGACGTTCAAGCTTTTACTGGTGGAGGAAGATATCAGGTGCCCTTCTGTGCATTATTTCAGGCACGAACGGGCACCTGAGTAGAACCACCGACGTTCCGTTAGCTAGCTGGATCCAAAGTCCCTTCGGGATTCGAACCCACAGCGGTGAGGGGCAAGTGGTTTGAAGTCAACGACCTTAACCACTCGGCCACGGACGCCCCATTTTATTACTCAAAATGTGTATAAATCATTATGAAGCATAGTACGCGTATCATTTGCACACACATTTGGTTATATAACGTTGGTTTAAATTGTATTTCAGTTCCAGAGATATTTTTCTAAACTCCGTTTCTTGTGTTTTTTTTTGCGTTTGTTTGGGATTTTTTGTGTTTATTTGTTTGTTGTTGTTGTTTTTTCTTCATTTTATTAGAATGACTGAAAACATACTTGATGTAGAGCATTTACTTACAGGATAAAATACACTTTGAATTTAATATTTAAGCATGATTTATTTATGTATACATTATTCCTGGCAGTTCTAGAGAACATAAAGTAATTATGCTATCGGACTGCCGGAACAAATAACATGTACAATGTAAATGGTTTGCAGCAAAATAGGAAGTAGTATGCACTACCTTTATCTAAATTTAATGAGGCGGGTGTCATCTTTATGTATTCAATGGATATCTTAAATGGTGATTCACATATATTATTAAAGTATTACTTTCTATTGACATATCATTGTCATAGAACTTTATACGTTTCTATGACAAAATTGATACCTTTTAGAAATCAAGATATCCATTGAATACCTAAAGATGACACCAATCTCATTAAATTTAGATAAAGGTAGTGCATACTACTTCTTATTTTGCTTCAAACCATTTACATGTTATTTGTTTCGACAGACCGATAGCATAATTACTTTATGTTCTCTAGAACTGCCAGGAATAATGTATACATGAATAAATCATGCTTAAATGTTAAATTCAAAGCGTATTTATATCCTGTAAGTAAATGTTCTACATCAAGTATGTTTCAGTCATTTCAATAAAATGAGAAAAAAAACACACAAAAAAACACACACAAAAACCCAAACAAACACACAAAAAACCACAAGAAACGGAGGTTAGATAACATATCTTGAACTGAAATACACTCTAAACCAACGTTATATAACCAAATGTGTGTGCAAATTATACGCGTACTATGCTTCATAATGATTTATACACTTATTGACTAATAAAATACGCTTAAACATATCTTAATTAAGCACAAGAAACACACTGGCAGTAATAAAAGTTATCATAAGAACTCCGGGACATATTTTGAGTTATCACAAGAACTCCGTGACATTTGAAAAATCGGGCCTGGGCTTTATGTTTGCAACTCTGCATTATAAAATAACTATGTAATAATGTATAGCAACGAAGAAGATTACAAACGAAAAGGTCAATATGTACGTATGAGCAAGTAATTTGGAAATTTTACTCAAAACTACCAGATTTATTTTAATAAGGCAATAAAAAAATGGACTAAAGGGTTTTTCTGAAACATTATACAATATGTAGGACAAGCTTGATTATCAAAGTTTAATTTAACACCTCAAACTCCCCATTTAATGGTAAAAATGGCCATTTTTTACGTGAGTTCTCCAAGTAAATAGAAAAGTTTTCCACAGAAATCCGTAACATTTTCCAGGAACTCCGTGACAGTTATCATAAGAACTCCAAACAAGTTATCATAAGAACTCCATCCTTCGTGTAACACTTCCTCCCCCGTGTTCAATGTGCTTGACAATTGTATGAAGTTGTATTGAATTCCAACCATTAGTTTTCAAGTTATGCACTGGACAAGGAAAATGCAACGGACTGACAGACAGACCACTTGGGGACTTCTATATACACCCCAAACTTCGTTTTTGGGTATAATAGCATTTTCTCGTAAACGCTTGTAATGCCTTTGAATACCATTTTCTCCTTAACGTTTTCAATGTCTTAAAATATCATTATTTCCAAAACGATTGTAATGTATTTAAATGGTTGGGTAAATTATGACCATACTTCAGATGAAAGAGTTTTAGATTTTTCTGACACAGGCGATAAGACTTTTATTAGCGTTGTACAATATAATGGTTAACAAATATTGTATGATGTATGATCATTTGGTCAATGGTGGCACCTTTCTTGGGTCACTTTGGTTACAGTCTTGCACCTTTGTGGCAAAAATAAAAGGTTTTAAGATTGTAAATTGTCTCTTCAGCTTAAACTTCAAGAGCTTAGATATAGCATTTACATGTAGTTGACCGTAATAGTTTTATGAATTATTAGTCCCCTACCGGTTTACCGGAGGGGACTTTAGGTTTACCCTCCGTCCGTCTGTCCGTCTGTCTGTCAGTCCGTCAGTCCGTACGTCCGTCCACAAAACTGGATCCCGCGATAACTTGAAAAGTAATAAAAATATTTTTATGAAACTTGGTATATGGATAGATGGCAGTATGGAGATTATGCACCTTATTTTCTTTTCTTCCTATGTTGAAAATTCTGGTTGCTATGGCAACAAATAGGCTGAAAATATGGCAAATTTTACACATAAACTGAATCCAGTGATAACTCAAAAAGTACTGCACATATTTTTTTGAAACTTGACATATGGGTAGATGGCAGTCTTGAGATTATGCTTGTCTTTTCTTTACTTCCTATGTTGAAAATTCTGGTTGCTATGGCAACAAATAGGCTGAAAATATGGCAAATTTTACACATAAACTGAATCCAGTGATAACTCAAAAAGTACTGGAAGTATTTTTATGAAACTTTACATATTGGTAGATGCCAGTCTTGAGATTATGCTTGTCTTTTCTTTTCTTCCTATGTTAATAAGTCTGGTTGCTATGGCAACAAATAGGCTGAAAATATGGCAAATTTTACACATAAACTGAATCCAGTGATAACTCAAAAAGTACTGGAAATATTTTTATGAAACTTTACATATTGGTAGATACCAGTCTTATGATTATGCATGTCTTATCTGTTCTTCCTATTTTGAAAAAAAAATATCGGTTGCCTTGGCAACAAATAGGCTTAAAACATGGCAAAAATAACAATATTTGTGATTAGTCAAAAAGAGCTGAAAATTTTTATGAAATTGCATTTTTAATTAAAGAGTTATCTCCTGTTTAAGAATTTTGCTTTTAAAATGTTATATTTTGATAACAGGGATGTTTCAAGTATTAACTTTAGAGTGTCCTTCAGTCTGTCTGTCTGTCTGTTCATAAAAACTGTTTCCTGTGATCACTTTTAAAGAACTTTTCCAACAAATTTACTTAAAATAGAGAAAAATTGAAACATAAGTGAATGGCCCTTCAGAATGTTGATGGGGTTCTAACCGGTAGGGGACATATGGATTGCTTGCAATACTATGATAATTGCTTAACCTCTTGTTTTAAAAAAATGGCTACATTAGAATTATATTAAACAAATATTTTGCTCTGAAAGTAAAGGACTGGGAGCTAGATATTTGGCAAAATACATTTCCCTGTTGGCATCTTCAAAACTCTATATAAATTATGCTCAAAGATTCAATTATTTTACATGTACTTTTCATATCTAAAGCTACATTGGCTATTGTTTTTATATTGAGAATTTATTATTATCTTGCCTAATTTATATAAATCATTCCTCTTAAAACAAACTTTGTTTGAACTGAAATTTGCTATGTAGCATTGTTTTTTCTGTTTTTTCTTTGCCTCATGTTCATTCCAAATATACTGCTTTTTATATTCACATACAGGTAAGAAGGTTTTAAATTAGTTTTAGTTTAGTGATTTACAAGGGGAAGTTGTTGTCTAATGAGTAACATATCTGCCTCCTAACCGAGGGATCACACATGTGTGTTCTCAAGTCACACCATGCTCTTGTCAGTTTATGGCCAGTATTCCTCCAGATTTATGATAATTTTCATGAAAATCTTTAAAAAAAATGGAAAGTACAATTTTATGAATTGAACTAAGAAAGTTATTTACATATTATAAACAGCACTTAACAATCCACGTAAATTACCAGAAAAAAGGTCAAAATATGCAAAAATAGCCCTTACTGCATACTGTGTTAGTAAAAGCAGTAGAAATATGGTAATAAATGCTGCAAAAATAAGTAAATTATAACATGAATCTTGATTTTTTATTTTTATTAAATTCGTATTAAATTTTTTAATACATTATCTCAAGTTTGATTTTCTTGAAATATTTTGGCTTATCTGGAGGCATGCATCTTTGAAACAGATTAATATTACTTGTAAATATATTTCTTTCTTTCTATATCAAACTTTTATAGATATGTATAAACTATTCTGAGTTTTATGTTTGATGTTCACAGCTGCAACTAAAATGAAGGACAAGTTTTTTGCTGTTTTAACTGGAAAGGAAGAAGGCACTATCTCTGAACAAGACATGAAAAAATTTAGGCAAGAGGAGTCGTCATTAGAAGTCCATATCTATTCTGATTGTAAATCTAATATTGAGAAATGCAAAAAGGAATTAGAGGCTAAATTGGAAGAGTCGTACGTAAAGAAAAAGATAGAAGACTACAAAGAACTAATTAAAAATATAGATGCTGATGAGGTACTTGTATATTATGTTTTGATTAAATTTATATAGATTTTTTTGTTGTTTTTACAATTGTTCATAATCTAATTAAACTATATGCATTTTAAAGACATCGAATAACTCCATCATGCAGTCATGAAACTTTTTATTAAATTGCATTTGACAGCGATTGCAACACAAACAAACAATAAACAGATATGTACAACATTTTTGACATTTAATTAACCACTTTTTCTATCTATGGCAATTGTTGACATCATTCCAATTTTTATATCTACATTTAGTTTATGTGGAAGAGCAATTTGTTATACCCTTGGTCAAACTTTATATATTTATCTGATCATGGTTATGTGCTGAAACATTTAGAAATGTTTAAAAATATAAAAAATTGTGATTGCCTTTTGTTGGTCTTTAATTTGTATGTCCATTGTCAACTTTTCTTTTAAACTATACATGTATTTGCACTGAAACCAAATTGATAAACTACTTAAATGGAACGTTCTTTTCATGACACTCTTAGATCAGTTCAGTCCCAAGCATAGTGTTTTATCAGCAGAGTGTTTTTATAAACAAAATGCCTTGATCATCAAACTAAATCAGTTCAAATTCTGTTTATAAACATACATTTGTTCTATATTTTAGATGGAACAATTAGACACAGCAGCTCTGGCAGACATCAATATAGACAAACAAGCTGGAGTCATAACAGTAAATGGACCACAAAAACATGTTGCTGAGGTTATTCATGACTTAAGAATGAGGCTTTTGAAAATAGAGCGTCGTAAAAATGATATTGCCACTGCTGAAGAGTTGTATAAGCTTGTACAGTGGCAGTATGAGGAAGTAACTGATAGAGGATTTGAGTATACAGTATATGAAAAAGGACTGAATCAGAAGATTGAAGAAGCATATAAGACCAATGCCGCAACATATGAATTTGAGGATAATGATGGGGAAACGTTTGTAATTGACTTTAAAAAACTTATAGAATATTGTAAGTCTGATGACACAAATACAGTTAGAGTCGTCAGAAAAGATATTTTGAAAGGTGAGCAATCAATTCCACAAGATAATTATATGTATGTTTCATTAAAGAGATTCATCAATTTAATACTGATTGTGATTATTATTAGTATATTAACTATGTTAGTTTGATATCCTTCCATATTTTCGATGATGTTATGTTAAATACAGTTTAGTGTGCTTTATCATCTGTGAGATGTTTCTTTGTGTTCTATTAACATATCTTACCGGTATTGGCCGAATCACCTTGAATAGATTTTTATACCAAATTTAATATGCATTTTTCAATACGTTGAATGTCAGAGATGCTCTATAATGCTTGTCATTTAGTAAAATAATTAAAGTAACATTAACATGTGTAAATGAGACCACCATGTCCTAGTCGTGAAGGTCCCCGACTTTAAGTCACTTGTCCCTTACTGCTGAGACTTTGAATTTCTTCAAATATATTTAAATCTTTCTTGTGAGGAAGCTATACAGTTACCTTACGGAAGGCTAATGGTTCTACCCAAGTCACTGCTCCTACCTGAAATAAAAAGGGTACCTGAGGTCTGAAATTAATCATATGACCGTAACAGTGTTATGACTTACAGACTTACAAAACAACAAACACGTGCCAATATTGATTTTACATTTTTATTCCTTTATTCTATTCTAGCTGTTGCCTCTGCCCTACCAGAGGATTGGGCGGACATGAAGGACAACGAAAATATTAAAGTTGTTTCTGTACCAAATACAGATAAAGAGTTTCAAGATATAGAAAAGAACTTCATCACACAAGTGAAAACTGGATCATATGCACACAGACTCAATTTTAACGCAAGCAATTTAAAAGTTAGCAAGGTAAGCAAAGCTGAAGGTACATCTGGGTATTTTCGTCTGGATTTATTTAGTATTTTTAGAGTTATTGCCCTTGACTTAGTAAAATTTTGCAATTTTCAACTTGTGTCGCATGTAACTCAAAAAGTATTTGACCTAGAGTCATGAAACTTTACAGGAATGTTGATCAGCATATGTAGTTGTGCACCTGGGTATTTTCGTCTGGATTTATTTAGTATTTTTAGAGTTATTGCCCTTGACTTAGTAAAATTTTGCAATTTTCAACTTGTGTCGCATGTAACTCAAAAAGTATTTGACCTAGAGTCATGAAACTTTACAGGAATGTTGATCAGCATGTGTAGTTGTGCACCTGGGTATTTTTGTCTGGATTTATTTAGTATTTTTAGAGTTATTGCCCTTGACTTAGAAAATTTTTGCAATTTTCAACTTGTGTCGCATGTAACTCAAAAAGGATTTGACATAGAGTCATTAAACCTTACGGGAAGGTTGCTCAGCATATTTAGTTTTGCACCTGGGGTTTCGCTTGTGGATTTATCCAGTATTTGTAGAGTTATTTCCCTTGACTTAGTAAAAACCGTTTCATTATGTTGTTTTTTGTTCCTTGAGTGCTTGAGTTAGAATCAACCAACTTTACAGGAATAATGATCAACATCACTAAATTACAGGAAAATGATTCACATCACTGGGAAGCTATGCACCTGGGACCTTGCATGTGGATTTTTTTCAGATTTGTTAGAGTTATTGCCGTTGACTTACAGTAGTATAAATTTGCAATTTTCAAATTGTTCATGCTTAGCTCAAAAAGTATTTCACTTTTAGGCCTGAAAGTTTACGAGAATGTTGGTCAGCATGTGTACTTATGCACCGTGGGGTTTGCTTGTGGATTTATTCAGTATTTGTAAAGTTCTTGCCCTTTACTTAGCAAAAGATTTTTAGTTTTCAAAAAATATTTGACCTAGAGTCATAAGATTGACAGAACAATGGTGCGTAGGGGGCACCCGTGTCCTATGGACACATTTTTAGTTTATTTCCTAACAAAGTATCTATATAGTTGGTTAATGTTTTTTTCAACATAGGTTTTATATTATATGCTTGAGCCTCTGATATGTAAATTTTTTGAAACAAAAAGATATTTGTTGTCATGTATTATTCGAGTTACAAATAATGTACAAGCGGAATTAACAATTTAAGACGGATGTAAACGTTTCTTTGATTTTAAGACAACTTTCTTTTGATCTTAAGTCTCAATATGTATGTCAAGAAAAAGTGTCACTTCCATACTTCTGTTTCACAGATTGAAAGGATCCAAAATAAGGCATTATATCGGCAATATCAAGCAAAGAAGAATCAAATGAAGGAACAAAAACCAAATCTACCAGCAAACATGCCAATAGAGCGGGATTTATGGCATGGTACAAAGTATGAAGCGGTCACAAGTATTCAAATGCATGGGTTTAATAGGAGTTACAGTGGAGATGCAAATGGTAAAGACAAAAGTTCAAATGTTCATGCATAAACACCATATATACCATATTCACCCCAAGACACCCCGAGACTACACCCAAGATACCCAAAGATTACCTTAAGACACCCCTAGACTACCCCAAGACCACCTTAAGACACTTTTACTGACAAGTAAATACGGTCTTGAATTTATAATGTTTACGGGAGGTAACTATGCCTTTTCACATGTTCACTTTGAATTATCTCCTTTCATTTATTTCCCTGTATTTTTTAATGTAAGATTATAAATATATTATTTTTTTGTGCAAAAAAGTTAAGAACTATGAAATAATTCCAGGGTTTTGGTGTAGTGAAAGTATAATTATGCGACAAAGTGATCTAATGAGTGACACATTTTTGATTTTAACTGTCCCACATTTCATTTATTAGATTAACATAGTCTTATTGTTTCAGTAAAGTTGCTTTTAAACAAATTATTGTTTTCATTGACATGATTGAAGAGCATATAAATAAACATTTTAGTGATGGAAAAAGTCCATACTAATAATTAACAATATTTGACGTATTGAACAGTTACAAGATAACACGTAAATAATCAGTCATAATCAGTCGTCGTATATAATAAACATTTCCGAATTTACACACTATATAAGTTTCTTGGGGTGTCTGGGGGTAGTACTGGAACTAAAAATTTGTATAGTTTTGTCCCAGAGTAGTCATGGAGTGTCTTTGGGTGCCTTGGGGTAAATAGTCGACCCACATATATGTGTTAAAATTTCATACTTTTTCATGCCGCGAAGGAATACATTATACTGACTGCGCACTGTGTCCGTCCAGACCAACGTTAAGATCTTTATTCTATTTTATAATTTTAAGTTAAGAAGGAAACCACCAATAACAGTCAGTTTAAGTTGTAATTATAAATGGTGTATGTTTAAAACAATTCTCCATAAAATCAAAGAAAAAGCACATGTATTGAATCAAAAATGTTTGAATGTTTCCTTGCCCGTCAATTCAAAATTTCATCTGAACTATATCTTAACATCCAGTGTCTGAAATTCAAAAACAAAACTTCAATGAAAAGTTTTCACCTAAAATAAATCCGCTGTGTTTTGCTATAAACCAGAATATTTACTCATCAATTACACATTAATACGAGGTATGACACAACAAGTTCTCGGCCCGATATACTTCTAGCCACTACACTGCCATTTAAACACGATACGTCGATACCGATATCTTATTGGAGATTACTGAGCGAGTTATAAGTGGATTTACACAGATTAAGTAACATAAAGCACACTTTGATCAGTAGAGGGGTGTGTCATTTAGACCAAATTGAGAAAGTTGAAATCGGAGCCGTCATTAAGTACCTCTGTAAGAAAGGGATGTCCCCTAAGGAAATCCATGAAGACTTCATTGATACACTCGGGAAGGAGTCCCCTCCCATAGCATAGTGAAAAAATGGGCTAGTGAATTTAAGAGGGGCAGGGAGAGCATTGGAGATGATGAGCGGCTTGGGCGGCCAAAATAGGCCACCAACAATGAAAATGTCGAAGCTGTGCACGATCTGGTCATGTGCGAAGCATTGCTATGGGAGTAGGTATAACCCTTGGTTCAGTTCAGATAATTCTGACTGATATCTATGGCATGTCAAAGGTTTCTGCTAGATGGGTCCCCAGACAGTTGACTGACGACCAGAAACAGACCAGGATTGACATTTCAAGATATCTTTGTCTCGCTATGAGGATGAACATGGTTTTATCTACGGATCTAACTCAGGATGAAACATGGGTCCATCACTTCGATCAAGAATAAAAAAGAGCATATAGTGGATGCATCCTTGCTCACCCCCTCTGAAGAAATTCAAGAGGGTGCTATATCAGCAGAGAAGATAATGGCTTCAATTTTTTGGGATAATAATGATTGACTATCTGGGCAAGGTCGTACCATTAACGGTTATTACTATGCAGACGAATTGAGACGTATGCTTCAAGAGCTCGCGCGTAAAAGGAGGAGCAAACTGACTCAAGGCGTTCTGCTCCTGCACGACAATGCGCCAAGCTGTGATGGATGCTGCATCTGATTGCGGCTTTGAAATTCTTCCACATCCCCCATAATATCTGGACTTGCCACATTTGAATTCTACCTGTTTCCGAAACTGAAAACCAAGCTTCATGGTAGAGCTTTAAGAAGCAATGAAGGTGTTATTGAGGCGGTCAATGAGTTCTTTGAGGACCAAAATAGAGAGTTCAAATTTATAAGGGTAAATAAGTTGGAGCACAGGTTGGCAAAGTGCAATGATGTAGAGAGCGATTTTATTGAAAGTCAGACAATTAGTTGCGTTCTCTGACTACCGGAAGTACATCGGGCCGCAAAAAACCTTTTGATCAATCCTCGTAATTAAAAAGGTACACTCATTAAATAAAAACATATTAAGTACAAGTAAGTTAAATTGAATATGAGTATACTCTTATTATTACTTAGAACTGATAAAACAGAGCAGCAAGAATTAAAAATAGACTTTATAGTTAATATTTCCACCTTGATGTGTTTCTATATATGAAGGACGAAGACAATTCCTAAAAGACAAAGTATAAATGCTCGTAACAAAGACATTTGTACCACTACAGACCTATGAATTTCCCTAAGGATCTTCAGTTTGGGATGTAAAGACTGGGTGCGGGAACACTTATACCTCTTCCTTGTAACTAATAATTATTTCTAGGGTTAAAAACCTTCCAAAGTCATTAACATGTCAGACTATATATTGAGCATTCATTGGACCATATCTAAAATTGTTTTGATCCATATGAGTTATATCAAAGATATGCAAATGAAGGATTTACGAAAATAAATTCAATGAAGGTTTAATTCAAATCCGAAAATTTAATATGGAGATGAAGTGCGGACAACAGTGTACCGTATGGATGGACAGACAGACGAACTGTTGGGCATTGTACATAAATCGACTTGAATTCACTGAATGTTTCATTGAAATAAGACATTGATTGTGGAGATAAAGTGCAGACGAAATGGTGCTTTTTCAAACCATATACATAAATAATTTATTTTATTTGGAGAGTTGCTACTCAAGCGTTGGATACACATTAACCATTAAAAACATAGGTTTGATGACACAAATCTTGAAACGTGATGATCCTGGGGGAGCATTTAAATCATCAGTATTTAAAAGAATTGCAAATTCGGTTTGATTGAGTCTGTTCATGAGAGATAATTTAAAAGTGATCATCTCTCACGTCCCATAGCGTCGACTTGAGCAGTAATCAATCTTCAACTATAATCTGCTGGAATCAATGCTCGCAAAGGCCACATACAAATGTAACAAATCTGATGTAAAGTACGTGGATACATTTTATAGTTGCCACACGGCACTTGGCACTTTGTGTTAAAACCAATTTTATTGAATGTTTAAATCAAATTAAAGTAGTTGCAACCGGGATAAGGCATGGAGAACAGGACAGATAGTGCTTCAACATTTTGCCTGCCTTTGAGTGCATAAAAGTCATGATAGGATCTAAATGAACTTACCGGAGCTTGCTGCAACATGCACAACCTTTTTGGTTTTGGAGAATCAGAATCTGATGCTGAAAAAGTTTCAGTACAAAGGTTACAAATACATTAAAGGGCAAACTTTTTGAAAACCCAGTGAATCACATGTAAATATGTACAACTCTTATAGTTTGTCAATTTTCGCCTGAAGTTTCAATGTATTCCAGTCAATGGTTGCTGAGATAGTCTGAACAAATATTAAACATGAGATGGTTGAACAAAAATATTTTGCATATATCTATTTCTTATTTGGTTGTGAATCTGTCTATGAAGTTTCGATGTATTCCGGTCAATGGTTTATGAAAGAAAGCCTGGACAAAAAATAAAGTTATGAGCTTTGAGCTATAAAACGTTGCTAATATGCACTTGTTCATGTAGTAGTGAAACTGTCAGTGAAGTTTCGATGAATTGATGAGAAATATTCTGGACATCAATTAAAGCTTCGATGGTTTAACTGAGACATGCTACGAATTTGCCAAATTTTGCACAATGTAACTTTTCTTATTTGTGCAAAAAGTGTTTTAACTCACTTAATTGAACACGATCGTCGTATCTTTATATGCCTATAGTCGTCTCTGAGTATGAATGATGATAAATTGATTCGCTTTTTAGGTACTCCATGGTATGGTGAAGGTGTATACTTTGCTTCCGATGCTTCTTACTCAGCGAGAGGGTGGCTTTCTGGTGCAAATTTAGGTCCAGGCAGCAAAGGATATATGTTCCTTGTGAAAGCGTTGACAGGTAATTTTATTTGAATTAACAGTGATAGTGTTTAAGGTCCTTATCTTTAATTCTACTCGGGTCTTTATTAAATCATTTATAAACTATTTTCAACCTGAACTTTTGTTTGAATATACATGAAAGTGAAAAATAATATGTACATTTACTAGCATATATAACAGAGGAGTGTGGCTGATTAATATTTACAAAATGAAATGCGATTTTATCATTAAAACATTTGCATTTTTCATTTATGTACAGGCCAGCTCTACCCAGGGACGAAAGGAATGAAAATGAGATACCTGCCACCAGTGGATAGCAAAAATCCAACAATCTTATACGATTGTGTTGTTGATGATATAAAAAATCCTTTGGAGTTTGTAATATTTAATGACACACAGGCATATCCTGCCTATATTATAACATTTACTACTTAGACAATTTTTGTTATAGGGTTTTCTGTTTGTATATGGTGAGACTTTTTGTGAATTTTGTAGATAAAGTGGTGTTTCTTTTTTTATGAAAGACATGATACGTGTATATACAATGATTATTCTAATTTGTTCAGATCTAAATATACTTTTTCTGTTTAATTCCACATTATAACAAATCGTGTAATATTTGTATGTTAACACATGTATGTTTGTGAGTTGTTGTTGTTTTTTTGCATTGATGTTAACAATGTGCCATTTAGCTGACTTGATACTCGATTAAGGGATTAAATGTTTTATTTCAGATATCAGATAGTAAATGCATTGTTTAAGTTATGAAGAATGAATTTGCTAGATTTTTCACATTCCTTTTATATCTAAAGCTTGTAAGACGGAGGAAAGAGTTCGCTTAAAAAGATTTTCAATTCTATAAATGTTAGATATGCGTATAAAAGTTTGTATTCTTAAGACACAAAAATAAGCTAAAATGGTTATAGGTATGAGCATATAAAAAGGCTAGCAATTAGCATATTAATATTTAGAGAGCCTTGATTAACTGTGTATTTCCATTTTCCAATTATGAAAATTAAGTAGAAATAGTTGCTTTTTATAAAATATATTCATTCGAAATATTCAAAGCAACGAAAAATCCATCTAGTAAATGCTTGTATTTATTAAAATAAAAAATTGTTGTGAATACTAATTATATATCTTAAAGAGCGCAAATCACTTGATTTTAAATAATCATTTACATTCATTTTATACATAAATATAACAGTTAATATGCCAAAATTGACAATATAACCATTTCTCACTTATTAACAAAGAAAATATAGTTGATGGAATAGAAAAGTTAATAATATTTTGACCAAACAAGCAAACAAAAAAGAAAATGAACTGTGACTATCCACACATTTCTAAAACAAATTTAATAACACTTTTTTGTGGATTTTGACCATAAATTTGTAGGTATCTTACTTAAATGTTAGACTTTCAAATTCAAATTAAAAGAATGAACTCATAACGATTATGTCAGCTTTGGTTTTCCTTTTGTTAATGTAAAGTGCCACGACCATACATCTAGAAAACAAAAATAATGATTTGGACATCAATGGATAATGTCTTATCTACTAGGTGTGCATATATGTAATTTATGACTGTTATATAATTGCATGTACAAATATTAATATTTCTTTGTTTATCTGTTTCTTACTGGTATATGTATTATTATAAAAAATATAATTCTTCTTGTTTATTTTTGTGAATTATGTAATGTAAAAACTTTAATTTTGTACTTCTGCTATTCATGATTTTGCTTTTTTTTAACCAGATAAATTAGTGATTGTATTGAATGTAAGTAATAATACTTGAGTTAAAGTGAATATAAACGTAATCACATAAACACATAATCACATAACACCTCTTAGAGATGTTATGATTTTTTTACGTTTGATTTATACTGAATAAATTGATTGAACTTATTTGTTTGAATAAGATTATACATACATTGATGTGTACTTGTAGGGAATTGATTTCATTTGTATGGTTGTGACGTTTCTTCTGTAAACAAAATCACGTGTATATACTTATTTTTTATTGCTATAATTGTATGAAACTGGTTCTGACGTTGATAAATCCCATGAAAATAAAGCTACTTTTATTATTTAAGTTATAAAGATTTTTGTCAGGTTATATGGCCATGCATATATTTGGAAAAGGTCAAATTGCAACCCTTTATATTCGGTCATATAACCTTCCAAGAATTTTTATAACGAATTTTTATTACAGCAAACTTTTTTTTTAGAGTGATAAGGTTAGATTGTTTCCTCAATTGAAGCAATTGTGCATATAAAACTATATAACCCTCTCGATTATTCAACGAAAAGCGACGTTACAAACATGCAGCATTATATAATGGATAATTTTAAAGTAATTATGTGTATGAAAATGATACTTGTTGATAGTGGTTATATATTTATATGGCATTGGCTATGATTGTATTCTAAAGACAGTGATCATACTTGTGTGAAATGATTTCTTGTATCGTAGACATTATGGTAATATTGTAGTATGTTGACATGTAAACTTGTGATTGTTCTTCAATGACTGTGATTATACTTGTATAACAGTAACTGTGCTAGTATTATTGTAGTAGTATATTTCTTTAATTGTTGATTATATATTGTATGAAAGTAATATTAATTATATGGCATTGATTATTTTTGTGTAACAGATGTTATTCTTACAATTTGCATGATTGCTTTAATACTTTTAAAGCATTGGTTATGCTTAAATTTTTGCTGTAGATCTAGTTGTTTAAGAATTATTATCGGTCTCAGGCCTGAGTGGTAAATATTTTTTGACCAGTGTTAAATGCCCGATTAACACCGCTTAGACCGATATTATTTCGATTCTATGTTGGCAAAATAAGGTAGGTTACCAATGCTCGTTTTGGAGAGATTGTTTCCGCTGACGATTTTCGAATTGAGCTGTTCGATTTTGCACCCTTTTGAAGCTTATGTATATTTGATTAAACAAAAGAAATGGTAATAAAAATTGCTTCACCTAATAATTCATGAAATTTAAAAGTTGCATGTCAATTTGGATTGTATTTGGTTTACATCAATGCTCCATTAATCATAATAATCCCCCACCCTTGCTCGTTTAAAATGTCATTCTGGTACCTTCATGAATGAGATGCTGTTTGCGAATTGCATATAATTTATATCAACTGATATGGAGAAAACTATGGTCTTACCGTATATAAGATGACTTGTATCATCAAATGAAAAGAACACATATTAAGAACGGAAAATGTCGATGAAAATGCGTTATTGTTAATGTCTTAAAAGGCTTTGTTTATCCCTGTCATCGGAGGGAGAATATGTATTAAAAAAACAGCCGCATATACATGTAGTCCATAACCAGTGCTTATTGTCTGTTTAATACCGTTTGCTTTCAATCTCTTCTTTATGTAAAGTGACTATATCACGAGGCGTGTTAGAATACTACTTAGTGTCCAGCTTTATTTGTCATCCAATGATAACGCTGTATTTCTTAAAAATTATGTGTGTTAATTTTCATAGAAGAAAGAAAGTCGATACTATATTGAAATCCTTTCATAGTCGCCTTCTATTTTTCATAGTGCTTCATAGTAGCGCATAGTGACGTAATCAAGGGCCAAATAAAGCTTGACACTAAATATGTTAGTCTTCATCCTTAGCTGTTCTACAGAAATTAGAAACATTCTCCTGTCGCTATCGCTCCCGTCGAAGTTTCTAATTTCTGTAGAACAGCACGGATGAACACTAACATATACATAGTACTAGCAACCATTCTTATATAGATTTGAAAGTCATTATACTATAGATACCGTAAATACGTTTATCACATAAACTAAGGTGCAGGTGTGTAATAAAGTCATTTGATAAAACGATATTACATTAGTAAAGTGTAATAACACTTTGATGTGACATAATTTCCGTTATAATTTATGCAAACATAGCGATAAAGCGCGCTTATGTTAGTGTAAGGCCGGTATTCCATTCATACGGGAGCGCGACGTGAACGTTTAACGTGTGCGTGAAACATGAACGTGAGGCGTGAGTTTTCACGCCCACACTATTCCATTCATCCGGTTAGTGTGAAAGCAATTGTTTATAAATATGCTTGATAACTGGGTATTTTTAATGTATTTAATGCAAAAAAAAAATGTTTCAAGTCATCCGTAATGACAAAAAAAATGTAAATTATGTAATTTCAACAGAATTGTTATAAGCATGCTTGCAAAAAGTACACACACTTAAATTAACATTGTTTTGCAACTGAAATTAATTTATGTTAGGCGTACTTTCAAGCCAAGAATGTTGAGTCAGCAGTTGTCTGCAACACCGGTCTTTGATGTCTGTGTCCTTGTAATCCTTTAGGGACAGGTCGTACAGTATAGGGCATTTCCTAAGTGCTTTAATAAGTTTTCCGTTGCATTTACCTTTCATGGTGGCTCCTCGTCCGTGAATGCCGTGAACGCGAAAAATCACTACAAGTAGCGATCGGTTTCACGCTCGCGTTACACAGTCACCTGTCATAAATTCACGTTTCACGCTCACGTCGCGCTCACGCCGAAAAGGAATACATACACTAGAAAATCGTTTGTTTAATTTTTCACGTTCGCGCTTCACGTTCACGCTACACGTTCCCGTATAGCTGGAATACCGGCCTAACACACGGCGCGTCAGTGAAAGTGGCTCATTAACATTTTAAACCGTCCTTTTTTATATATGTATAAATAGAATATTATATTCATGTTGATTCATTACTAAATTTAGTAAACTCGTTGAATAAAACATTTTTTGCTCGCCAGATGATTTGATTAACCTACACACCTTCAATATCCCCTATAATCAAAGCACAGAACGCGCTGAATTTGTTTGGGTCTCAGAATGTCAGAAAGGTGAAGGTTGTGAGATTATAAACCAATTTGTTTGTAAAGTGTCACCAAATTTTGTTTCCAGTGTTATAAATATAGTAAATTGGCTATAAGACTAATTGCAACACTGATATTCAATTCAATGTTTATTTGGCTTAATCAATTAAAAAACAAACAAACAAAAACAAAACATGAGTTGCCTGAACTGGGATTTGAATTCCGGACCTTTCGCTTTTAAAGCGAGCTTGTATACTCCTCGACCACGGCTAGTTATAAGATAACAGTCTGAAGAATACCATATTATTCTTAATTAGAGTTTGTAACCCTAATTAATGTCGATATATTTTGTTCACGGTAAACCTGTTGTTTAATACTGATGTAAATAGGCATGGAATGAATATAAGCTTGTATATCTATAAGAATAACACAATATTTGAAATCTTCGACCAATCGGGAACTATTTTTTCGTTACGGAAATTAATTTGCCCTTTACGCAGTGATCTCCCCTTAATTTTTCGGCGTCAATGTACATATAAAAGGAAGTAACCGCTTCGAGGAGTTTGGACTACTTTCGGCATTTGCAAATAAGAAGATCAGGGTCTGAAATTTCGCTACCATTATTTGTTTGGTCTGACGACCGAAACAAATAAAAACTGTGATAGATATTTTCACAGCATCACACATAAGATAACTGTATACGAATGATTGAGTTTAATCAATATTGGCCGTACTTGTACTAAACTATTTTCAATATAATCATAAAAGAATAATTATTCTGTCATTAGTTCGACTGAACTTGTATGAGTACATTAAGCTTGTATGGTAGTGGTAATACTTGTATTACTATGATGTTTCTTGTTTCATTTGATTAACTTTCTTTGAAATTTATCATTCTTGTATAGTACATGTACTTTATTGTTTTCTGTCAGAATAAACACAAATATATAGCAAGATAGAGTTCTTAATGACATGTAGCACTTTATTTATATTTTTTCTACATCATACTGGTTTTTCTACATCATACTGCTTTAAAATCGTTTTCGATCACTCTAAGCAGGTATACATTGTATACATTTAAGAGACAGATATAAGATACAAGGGAATCCGGGAACCAGTCCCTAGCTCTTATTGAATAGACCCCTTGGTTCTTTTACATGCCCAGTGTATAGCACTGATACATGCGAGGATTACCTGGGTTTCTTACCAGTACACCTCTAGTTAGGTGGGAAACACTGAAAGTGTCTCTGAAAAATCCCAAAGGTGTAACCCAGGATCGAACCCGGGACCTCAGGAATGATAATCAGTGGTTTAACCAACTGAGCTTTAGCGGTACCTTATAACTTCAGTAAAATTGTTAATTGGTGGTGGATATTTCGTAAATAAGGTTATTTAAATTATTCATTAACTCTTTAACATAAAGAAACACCTGAAACAAAACAGTTACTTAATTGTTCAGTAATTGGATCAATGCTTAAATTATGTTACTGCCGAAGAAAAACATATTCTTTTAAGGGTTGTGTATCATTTCTGATAATAATTTTGTAAACCATGTCATTTCTTAAGATGAAATGGGTTAGATGACTATGACTAAACAGAGTTTTCTTTGAAATGCATGTAATTTATTCTTAAATATTACCACGACCAATATGAAATACTACTGTTAAATCAATTTGATCGTGTTAACGTTAACTTTTGTGTCATTATAGCTTGTTTGATTTTCTGGAATAAACTTGAATGCTCAATTTCCTTCTTGTGCATATAAAACCAGAGAGATGATGTGGTATTTGTCAGTGGTTTAGTACTGCGACTAGGAATTCTATTTGAGAGAATACAACCTTTGGTTCTTGTGCCTTGCATTGACACCCTCGAAACCACTGTTTATATTATGTTTAAAGCACTTGATTGAGTGATTGAGTAAGGAATTAGGGTCAAAGTTTCGAGCCTAATATTTCTAACACATTTCATGTTATGAGTATAACTTCGTATTCACTTTTTTACTTTCATAAAAACAATGGATACGTTTCATGCAGTATTACAAGAAATATTTTCTCATCCCGTTCTTTTGACATCAGAAGCAATTGTCATGTTGCCCTAAAGTTTCTAGTTATCACATACATAGTTTTAAGTTATGTTTCGAAATTGTTTGTGGTACCTTTCTGTCATTTCACAGTATATTTTTGTCCATGTGTAATACAGTTATTCCTTAAACATTTTATAAGGCGTTTAACCCTATTTTGAAGGAACCTCATAATGTCAACTTGTAGACAAATTGGACTTGTACCGACGTCAGCCCCTGATGAATATCAAAGAATGTTATAGCACATGTAAGTTTTCGCTGACTTCACTTAAAATGTCAAACATAACAAGAAATACACTGATGCGTTCGGGGTTATAAACATTTTCTCATTAACTTGATAGAGAGGCATGTGTGTATGATGCCAGCTATAGCTCTTATCGGCAGCTCGCAGACGAATTGACAGTCCTAAAAAAGTTGCCAAGTACCATGTAAGGATTGTTGACTGCAGAAAATGTTATATCGCACCTTGATAAATTTTCTGAATGTTCTAAATTCGTAAGTCTGACAACACATCGCCGTTCTATTGCAATTCGTAAGCAGTTTCGGTTCTAAATATCTGAAGATACCCCACTAACCCAATAAAACGATGGAACGGTGAAAGGCAGATGGTAAAACAATGAAGACTACGACAGCTTTTGAAAAAAAAAAAACATTAACTAAAATTACTACTTGTCTATTGAATGGTTTATTTGTACTCGAAAGGGACACCAAATCTAAGCAAAAGGGAAAAGGGTTTGCTGATAAAAACACAGAGGGCCAAATCATATTCATTTCAGTTAGGCAATCCTGACCTTTTCAAGCAACCAAAACAGATTATATTGACATTGTCATTCAGTAATAAATGTAGATATGCCGCCAGACGCAGTAGATTTTCGCCACAGTATGTTATGATTGACATGAAGTGATATGCTACGACAATTCAAGCCCACAGACTGTCAACGATACGGACATCGTTAAGCGCCGCATGAGTAGCACAAAAACATCGTCCAAACGATCATTCCAATTAAATTCTCTACAATATATGTGTAATTACACAAAACAATTTTATTACCTCACTTTTTGTGAGACAAAAAGTGTCAACGCTTAACTTATACTGTCGATTCAAATATGATCGAGAATGGGAAATCTTAAATCTAAAAGTACATAGGGGTGGCAGGAAAAAAGCCATGTACGAAAACACATTACCAGGAAAACAGGAAAATGAATATTATCTGGCCTGATAGTGTAGTGGTTATGGTGATTGTTTTGCATGCGGAAGGTCGTAAGTTCAAATCCAACAAGGGGGTAATACTTTTATTAGGCCTTTTGTATTTTATTATTTATTCATTCAATTTCTATTTTATTTATTTTCTAATTTATTTATTTTCTATTTACATTTTTTGTACATGTATATAAACTGTCCATGTTTTTTATTCACGAGAATGCTATAGCATATATAATAAGTTAAAATTCAATTTAATTCATCAATCAAACAATGCCTTCAACCTCTGTGGCACTCAAGTCGCGCTGGCACTGGCGTGTTCGTCTCCAGTGCCAAGAGAGTACCTCAATAGGTGATTAAAAACAGCCCAGGATTGCGTGCTCGCAATAAATAAATGATTTTCGTTGCAAGCCCTTATTACACGTGTAGCACAAAAGCTCAATTGAGTACCTGTACATTGAATAAAAAATTATTTAAAAAAAAATGTTATGCTGGGATTTGAACCCGCACCTGATTAGTTGGTAGACCATCGCGCTATCACTACACTACAACATCTCGCTGTAAGACGTATGGCCAATAAGTATTACAATACTATCCATACACACATGACTTACCTTTTCTGAAGTGCACTGATCCATGCTATGTTTACAACGGTTAACTTCAACAGTACATGGACAATAGTTTTGTTTAGTTATTTATAGACAATCAATAATCTTGTTGATTTCAAATACACGAACCAAGTCAAAAACCGAGTAAAGGAGAGATGAAGTGTCCAATCAAAGCGCATAACAATAGTATTGCCATTTTGTGCTAAAAGGTTGATCATCAACTTTCTGAGATTTGCATGAAAGACCGTTCAATCAAATAAAGCATTTTTGTGACACAATTTTATTCTCAAACTTTAAATATTTTAAAGCAGGTTTAAAAAATTTCTCTAACATTTGGAATTATTTGCCAAATTTCTGTCTAAGTTGATATCATTCATGTGTTAACTAATGTTAAGTCTGATCGAGTTTACCGCTACAACTGTTTATACTCGAGGGATGTACATGTATGTATATACATAGTTTCGTAGATACGAGTCAATACACAATATTATCAACATGGCAATCCTTCGATTTAATAAACATTTTCAAATAAAAAAATCGATTTCATGAAAACATATATACTGTTATGTCAGAATCATTCAGATGGCATTTCAGGTAGTCTAAGAGATTCTTTTTATTTTATATCTATTTGCATTAATTAACTGGACTCCGCAAAAAATAAAAAAGCTAAACCATGCGTTTGTTATATTACTCAAGACCTTCAAATGTTTTCAAACAATATAAAAAGTGTTGTTTTACTAATATTGGGATATTTTTGCATCATTTTCATAACCGTTTTAGTTGTTCCGTTTAAATAACTTAAATTAAAGTGTTAGAAATGACTGTGCTTTCCTGCGATATGCACAGGGCAACAAATGAGCTATATATTTTGTTTTGAAATTTTCATTAAATTTACTATATGAAAGGTGTCATCGAAATTAAACATGTCTATTTTTTAAACACTAAGTTGTGAAATACATACCTTGGTTGTTATTAGCTGAAAGTATATTTAATGATGTACTTAGTATTCTGTGCAGGAAGAAAAGGGGGACCACTGCGTAGTAAAACGGTCGTTAAGATATGCTTTTTGACTGTTTCCCAGTCTTAATATGAACTTTTATTGTACAGCCGGTAAACAATTTGAAATCGGAAGAGGAAGTAAATTTCTGGCTACTTAGTTCGATCAATACTGATATATTCCATTTAATTGGGTAAGTGCATATTTATTTCTTCCCATGAGTAATTTCTAGCAAACACAATAGTAAACTACTGCGCCAACGTTGACATTATTATCATTGTTTGTAAACGTAACGAAAAGCTTCCTACTTTCGTTTTTAAAATTAAAGACACCCACTATAATTAGGTTACTACCAAATCGACGGTCATACTTAACTTTTACAGTACTTCCAATATAAAAACGTTTAGCTAAAGAGACTTCAGCGAACAGTTTTAATAGTACTGCTAGGCCTGTTTACTGTCACACAACGGCAAAATATAATGTGAGGGTAAACATACAATTCGAAAAAAAATAACAACAACAATAGCATGTTTCATTTTATCTATATGAGATAAGAAACATAAATATGTACAATAATTGAGAAAAAAGGTACATTTTTATGGTATTAATATGACACTATCAACTTTGAAACATTTTATTTATTTGTTATTCGTGTTTAGTAAAGATGCCGAGGAATTATTCAAAGTTACAAATTAGATTTTATGAATTATTCAATTGATTGATAGTTTAAAAACAATGATAAAGAAAAATACAAATGTACATGTACATGGTTTAAGAATAAACAATATTATATATTGAAAGATTAACCATAATTTACTGACTTTTTCCAGTTAAGTTTTGACTTATAATCGTCGGTCAATATGACAATTGAATTCCTAAAATTTATTTTACAATTTGAATAAAAAAAAGAGTAGTAAACATAAAAACTCAGTATTAAAATAGCACATAAAACACAAAAAAAAAAGAAAAGAAAAGAAAACAATATTCATAAAATCTGTATTTTTTTATTAAAATAGATATTACAATTATTGTATAATAAACAATTATGCTCAACATGATCAACATGGTTAATATAACCAGTGTCATATGTTTACTAAGTGTGAACAGATACCTTAAGAAGGGGTCTTCGCTAATAGCGATAAGATAATAAGGGACAATTACACAAGTGTGGTGTTGATCATGCGTTACACATATGGGTAATAAATGATTGTATACATGTATATCCGTTGCTATTAATAATCACGATCATAAAGAAATAACAAGTAATATTCTAATCTCTAGCATGCCAAAGTTCATAATGAACAATGTCTTTCGTCCGTTCATTCATAAGTGATATACAATTCTGGTAAAAACCAAGTAACCATTTAAAACTTTATAAGACATCTTGTCATCATATGTCTACAAGTTCATCTTTACCTGCTGCATTCCTACTTGGACGCCCTTTGATGCTTTGCATCAATGCTTTTCTTGTTTCTTTATGTATTACTTCAAACTTCAACTATATGTTTCTGATCATCAACCTGGTCTCCTTTCCAAATTCAATTTTATTCATTTTCGCCCATTGTTTCCTCTTCAAAGACACATGCATTATTATACTTGGGGACCATAGGTAGCTTTCATGAAATTGCACTAACGTATCTCATTGAAAGTTCCATGATAACCGCCGTATGAGCACATATGTTGATGTTGTTAAATTCAAAATTTAACCATAACTATGTTTAAATGTTGAATTCTTCTTAAGCCAATTATATGGTATGGAACAGTAGCTTGCACTTTAAAGTATCGATCATGAACAGGCAGAATAATAATGGAAATGTAACATTTTCAATTTTGCCATTGTGGACTTTTTTAGGGATTCTAGTTCCCTCTATTTTATCTTGGTCACTATTATCTTGAAAACTATTTATCATAAGGTCTTTATATTTTAAATTTGATTGGTTATAACAAGTAGATGACCCCTATCAATTTTGGGGTCTTTAGGCCAAAGGTCAAGTCCATAGGGACCTTAAATGACAGAATGTTTTCCACTCATTATCTTCAAAACTATTTGTTGTCATGTCAAGATAATAACCCAGCCTGAATAACAAAAGAATTTCTATGTCCTAGCTTGCTATTTAAAGAACATCAAAACTGCAAAAATGACGTACCAAGACTTAAGCACATTGAATGTATGGAAGTAAAGTTTGATCGAGTTTTTCCTGAGCCTCTTACCTTTTCCTTGATAAACAGGTCTCCATCAGTCTCAACAACTTGTCTTTATGAAGACGTAAAATTTATTCTACAGTCACTAGATGATCCTAAACAAATCACAATAATTCTTGGACATTTAAATGAAAAAGCTCTTTCCCCGTCATTAAAAATATTTCAACAGCTACTCCAGAGTTAAGGATTTGCCTTCGTGTTCACGGAAAAAAGCAACACAAGTTTTTTTTATTTTGTTCTCTTATTTACTTGTGCAATTTAAACGAAACTTTACATGATTGATAGATACCCGACGTTTTTGCATGTATTAAACAGTTTTCCAGTTGAATGATTTTTGGCCCTTGAATAAAAAAGCGTTTTGCACTGTTAATCATTTTTAGCTCATCCGAACCGAAGGTTCAGGATGAGCTATTAGTATCAAAGGGAGATGCTCCGGCGTCAGGCGTCCGTCGTCATGCGTCAGCAATCTTCTTCTTCTCTGCAACTGCTTGGCAGATTTACTTCAAATTATATCTGTAGCATCCTTGTGACAGTCATTTGAATTTGCTCATGCCATTTCAATCACCCCATTTTAGGGATGAACAGAGCTAAAAATAGAAAAACCTTTAAACAATGTCTTCTACAGAACTAATTGATGGATGATCACCAAACTTTGTCTGTAACATTCTTTGGTTGTCTTCTATCAATTTTGCTCATATGAATTTGATTTGCCCCTTTTAGGGGTCTCTAGGGCTAAAAAAAAAAAAAACAACAGTTAAAAATATTCTTCTACAGAACTAATGGATGGATGATCACCAAACTTTGTCTGTAGCATTCTTTGGTTGTCTTCTATCAAATTTGCTTATATTAATTTGATTGGCTCCTTTAAGGGGCCGCTAAAGCAAAAAATAGAAATACCTTTAAACGACTATTTCTACGGAACTAATTATAATGGATGAATGATCACCAATCTTTGTCTGTAGCATTCTTTGGTAGTCTTTTAGCAAGTTTGCTCATATTAATTTGATTGGCACCTTTTAGAGGCCGCTAAAGCTAAAAAATAGAAATACCTTTCAACGTCTATTTCTACTGAACTAATTGATGGATGATCACCAAACTTTGTATCATTCTTAGGTAGTATTTAATCAAATTTGCTCATATTAATTGGATTGGCTCCAGTTTTAGGGGTCTCTAAGCTAAACATCTTCTTCTACAGAACTAATTGATGGATGATCACCAAACTTTGTCTGTAACATTCTTGGGTAGTCTTCTATCAAATTGCTCATATTAATTTGATTTGTCTCTTTTAGGGGCCGCTAAAACTAAAAATAGAAATACCATTAAACGTTTTCTTCTACAGAACTAATTGATGGATGATAACCAAACTTTCTCTGTAGCATTCTTGTGCAGTCTGTTATCAAGTTTGCTCATAGTCATATTAATTTGATTGGCCCGTTTAAGGGGCCACTAAAGCTAAAAAAAAGAAATACCTTTAAACATCTATTTCTACAGAACTAATTGATGGATGATCACCAAACTTTGTCCGTAGCATTCTTAGGTACTCTTTTATCAAGTTTGCTCATATTTTATTTATACGCCCTTTTAGGGGCCATTAAAGCTAAAAATAGAAAACTTTCGAACATCATTTCCTACTTAAATAAATGATAGATGATGACCAAACTTTGTAGCATTCTCTTAAGTAGTTGTTTATCAAGTTTGCTCATACTAATTTGATTGGCCCCGTTTAACCTAAAGCTTAAATGCCCCAGGTCAAGGCGTTTCTTCAAATTATTGTTTAAACTAAAACATATTCTTTGCTCAAATTTAATATCAGAAAATATTGACAATGCATAATTTCCAACACTGAAAAGCAGTTGTTTCTGGTGAGCGAATCATTTTTCACAGGAATGATAGGTATAACGTCAAGTAAGGCATATTATCTGTGTTTTAAGGTTCAATGATTTTTGTAAGAGTAGCATTCTTGGGTTGTCTTCTATCAAGTTTGCTCATATTAATTTGATTGGCACATTTCATCTATTTCTACAGAACTAATGGATGGATGATCACAAAACTTTGTCTTTAGCATTCTTAGGTAGTCTTTAATCAAATTTCAAATGGATAATTTCCAACACTGAAAAGCAGTTGTTTCTGGTGAGCGACTCTGGGCCATCTTGGCCCTCTTGTTATATGTCTCCTGCTACACAGAAGCTGCAACATACAAATGGCTATCATGAGGCGACAAACGTGATATCAGATTACTCTTGTTATTATATATTTTCTTAAGCGATCGATCCTAGGAAATATGTTTTAAAGGGGCTTCTCTGTGGGTTTTTTACATGACGTGACTAAAAATAGTGTTCCCTTTACTCATTCTATTTTTCCACAATAATTATTCTCATTGTGAAAAAACGGCCAAAATTTAATAAGGTTACAAAGTTCATATAAACCGGGCTAAAGATAACAAAATAATATGAATTTTATTTATTTTAGTGTATTTTTAATATTCCTTTGTTTATCTTTCTCCTGTTTTAAGTGCCCTAGCAGAAAATTCAAATTTTATGTTCAGGCATTTGGACCTCAGTGGAAATCCTCTAAGTTAAAAAATTGTGAAAAATGTGTTTACACTTGTGTAATAAAATGTGATTTAAAATTCACCCGGAAACCACCATTTAACTTTTTCCCCTCAGACCCCTGTAGAAAGAAGTGACTGTGTTATTGTTTTAACTCAATCTTCCATAATATTTTTATGTGCGTCAAGCAAACAGCGTCTTACTTTAAGTACTTCAAATCAGAATGAACTTCTTGATCCTAACATATCTGAGATACTGTCATATTTCAGGTATTAATTTAAAGAAACCATTTTCAGATGAATCACTCTTACTTAGACTGTAAGTTGTAAACTATCAACATACCTTATTGGTTTTATTTGAAATATCAAACTCTGTCAGCCGTGCAAACACTGCATGCCTCGAGGCTATGTGCTGTAGAAATTGTGTTGGAGTATATACACGGGCCTATGTAGACGCATAAAATACATTTCTTTTGGTTAGTTTAGAGGCAGATGGGATAATGTAAGGCCTCAAGATAATAAGTTGTGGCAGCAAGATAAGAACTGTTCTGCAAATATTACCTCTATGCATTGAACAGTAGTCTCATTTTTTAACACTTGAAAGTGTTTGAATGAGCGGTACTCAGTTTTCAACAATTGATCCTCAGGTCAAAATTGGCCCTAAACCGGGAGTCACTTGTTTTATAAAGACCGAGTAATTCGGGAAAACACATCTTGCCTTCTTGTCGAACGAAAATATAATTACAATTAATTTTGCTTAAAGAATTGCCTAGCAGACCTCCATATAAGTTATATGAATCATGCCCTTAACACCATTGAGTTCATATAATCATAAGGAAAATTCAAATAATACATTTTTCAAACTTTAAGTCTCTTGATTGAATGTCTACCCTAATTTATAAATTTTATTTGAGTACTTTGCAAAATTACTATTCAAGCGTATATTATCTCGCCTTAACGGTGCTCTTGTTAAATTGTCTCTTGATTTGTTATCTGTTATATACAGGCTTCCTAGCCTCTGACACCCTTTCAAAATTTCATTTTATTCAGCTCAACTCATTGGTTTTTCGTTTAAGGCACACGCGTTCTTTTAACCGTCGTATGAACATATTAGAGGATGTTTCTAAATTCAAAATCTCACCACTTTCATATTTTATGTTGAATTCTGCTTAAGCTGGTGATAGGCGGCGTGGAAGGTAGCTTAAACTCCCCTTTACCGTCTATGAACACGCTCAAAATAACCGAGTAATCTATGCAACAATTATATTTTCCCCTTTTTTTGGCGTTCTTTAGGGATTCAGTTTTTTATTATTCTATTGTAACTATTGATTATCATGAGAAAAAATAGACACTTTTTACATGTGACTTTTTTCAAATGAAAATATTAACATTGTGAAATTGGTTAAAGATTAAGGCTTGATATCTTCTTTTCATTTATTGTTTACAATATTGATGGTTCCTTGTCTTTAAGAGCCTTTATATCTAGGTGAGCAAAATAAGGTTTATCATTGCCCTCTTGTTAGCTCACCTGAGCTAGCTCAGGGTAAGCTTTTAGGATCGTTGACTGTCGTCTGTCCACATTTGTTCGTTAACACTCTAGTGGTCACATTGTTGCCTCAATTGTCATCAAACTTGGTCAGGATGCTTGTCTAGGTAATTGCTCGGATGAGTTTGAACATGGGTCATCTCAGATGAAAAACTAGATCACAGGAGCTAAAAATAAAAACATCTTGTTAACACTCTAGTGACTACTGTTTTGATCCAAATATTCTGGACATTGGTCTAAAAGTTTGTTTTGAAAATTTCTAGGTCATTCTCGAATATGGGTCACCTGCGGTCAAAAACTAGGTCACACCGCCCAAATATGGAAAAACTTTGTTAACACTCTAGTGGTTACATTTTTGACTCAATTGTCATCAAACTTGGCCAGGATGCTTGTCTATGTAATTGCTTAGAGGAGTTCGAACATGGGTCATCTAGGTCTTAGGAGCTAAAAATAGAAAAAAAAATCTTGTTAACACTCTTGTGGCTACTGTTTTGATCCAAATATCCTGAAAATTGGTTTGAATGTTTGTGTTGATGATTTCTAGGTCGTGTTTGAATATGGGTCACCTGTGGTCAAAAACTAGGTCACACCGCCCAAATATGGAAAAACCATGTTAACACTCTTATTTGTCACATTTTTGACTCAGTTGTCATCAAACTTGGTCAGGATGCTTGTCTATGTAATTGCTTAGATAAGTTCGAAAGTGGGTCATTTCGGATGAAAAACTAGGTCACAGGAGCTAAAAATAGAGAAGTCTTGTTAACACTCTAGTGGGTACTGTTTTGATATTAATATCCTAAAAATTGGTTTGAATGTTTGTGTTGATGATTTCTATGACATGTTCGAATATGGGTCACCTGGGGTAAGAAACTAGGTCACACCGCCCAAATATGGAAAAACCTTGTTAACACTCTTATTGGTCACATTTTTCATTCATTTGTCATCAAATTTGGTCATGATGCTTGTCTGGGTAATTGCTCAGATGAGTTCGAACATGGGTCATCTCGGTTGAAAAACTAGGTCCCAGGAGCTAAAAATAGAAAAATCTTCTTAACACTGGATACTGTTTTGATCCAAATATCCTGGAAATTGGTCTGAGAATTTGTTTTGAAGTTTAAATGTGGGTCACTTAGGGTCAAGTACGGTTGACTTTAAACCACTTGCCCCTCATCGCTGTGGGTTCGAATCCCGACAGGGACTTTGGATCCTATCATGTGAGGAAGCTATCCAGCTAGCTGACTGAACGTCGGTGGTTCTACTCAGGTGCCCGTTCGTGCCTGAAATAATGCACGGAAGGGCACCTGAGGTCTTCCTCCACCAGTAAAGATCGCGATATCACGATATCATGTGTCGATGTGACGTAAAACCCAAAAACAAACAAAAAACAAACTTGGTCACGCTGCTCAAATTTGGAAAAACCTTATTAACACTCTAGTGGTCACTTTTGTGACTCACCTGTCATGAAACTTGGTCAGGATGCCTTGTCTAGGCAGTTGAATGGGTCATGTGAACGATCTAGGGCCATCTTGGCCCTGTTGTTTTTGTAATTGTACTCGTTGTAAGTTTACAAAGATTAAGTATTTTTATGCTCCCGATGGGAGGCATATTGACATCGCACCGTCTGTCCGTCTGTCGTCTGTTCGTCCCCACTTGATTCGTGTCCGGACTGTAACTTTGTCATACATTGATGGATTTTAAAATGACTTTGCACAAATGTCTACCACGAGAGATGTGTTGCGTCTAAGAACAATGTCCCTACCTGAAACGTCAAGGTCACACTATCATTTTGAAGTTTCACATTATCGCAATAAGAGTAAAAATTTGGTACACACACTCGTGTCCGGTCTGTAACTTTGTCATGCATCGAATGAATTAAAAAAAAACTAGGCATAAATGTCTACCACATCAAGACGATGTGTCTTGTCTAAGAATGAAGTCCCTACCTCAAAGGTCAAGGTCACACTAACATTTTTAAGTTTCACATAATCACAATTAGAATTATTAGGTACACACAATCGTGTCCGGACTGTAATTTTCTCATGCATCGAAGGATTTTAGAATAACTTTGCATAAATGTCTACCACATAGAGACGATGTGTTACGTCTAATAAGCTTGTCCCTACCTTAAAGGTCAAGATCACTTTAACATTTTGAAGTTTCACGTTGTAACAATAACCGTTTATAGGAACACGCATTTATGTCCGGATTGTAACTTTGTCATGCACGGAAGGATTTTAGAAGAACTTGGCATAAATGTCTACCACATCAAGACGATGTGATGCGTTTAATAATCACGTACCTTAGTAACCTCAAAGGTCAAGGTCACACTGCCATTTTGAAGTTCACTTTATCACAATTAGAGTTTATAGGTACACACGTTCGTGTCCGGACTGTAACTTTGTCATGCATCAAAGGATTTTAAAATAACTAGGCATACATGTTTTCCACATCAAGACGACATGTCGCTACAAAAACTCATGTCCCTACCTTCAAGGTCAAAGTCACACTTATAGTTTGCAGGTACTCATGCTCTCGAGAAGAATTTAAGAAAGAAACACATTCATGTCCGGACTGTAACTTTGTCAATGCATGGAAGGGTTTTAAAATAACTTTGCAAAAATGTCTACCACATCAAGACAATGTGTCGCGGCTAAGGCTTATGTCCGTTTGTCCGTCCGTGTGTCCCAACTTACACAACAATCATGTCCAGACTGTAACTTTGTCATGAATTGAGAGATTTTGAAATAACTTGGCACAAATGTCTATCTCATAACAATATTCTGTCGCGTCACTTCTTCAAAGGTCAAAGTCACACTAATATTTTGAAGGTTCACGCTATCACAATTAGACATTACAGGTACAATAATACAAAGAACAATTTTAAGCAATAAGTTACTTTCATTCTCTTTTCTTTTCATAATACAATGTACCTGCATGCTTAAGAAACCTTTTCGGGGGCATTCGTCACTTGGGTGACAGCTCTTGTTTTATAATTTACAAGTCATTGTTTCATCGATTTAAATGCATGCTTATGCATGATTAAGCTCTTTTTCTCAATTCTTGTTTTATTATAAAATATGCTGTAGCTTCGCGAAACAGATAGAACGCGTCTATGGTCCGGACGGTTCAAATGTTTTCTCATGATATCTTGGACATTTTTGCTCATGTATTTACATGTATATCATGACTATATATCTAGTCATTATATTTTTCAGCTTTTAAAATGTAATAAAACACGGTCATAGAATGAGCGGCAATGAAGAAGGTGATGGAGAGTACAAAGATGGCCCGAAAGATACAATTGAAGTTCGGGGACCAGAGAATCTAATAAACCGATATAAGTTAGACCTTTTGCAGCTTTACTTTGAGAGTCAAAAGGATTTGAATGGCAGTATTACAGACATTTCATTTGATGCTGCTAATGCAGTTGTTGTAATAAAGTTTGACTCCGAACAAGGTATTTAAAGATATTTTTGCAACAGTATTCACGTGATTCATATGAATGTTTTGATTTTTGCTTATTTAAACCATTTTGCTTTACTTGTACATCATTTTAGCTGACCTGAGCTTAACGTAGTTAGGATTATCTACTTTATGACCTTTTGTGACTGGCCTGTGTCCGCATTCTCTCAATTCAATTTTGTTTAAAACAATTCCTAAAACGTTGGTCTATGTGTTGTAAAAAATGAAGAGGATTGTTCTGGCAAAAGTTTTTCGAAATTGTACAACAAATGATTCAATTCCATGTAGAACTGTGATTGCCAATGCAACCAAATGAATAATATTTCTATGAAATTATAAAGACTAGAGCTGATATGTCCGGTAAATAAACATTGTCTAGTACAAACCTACCAAAGGCTTATGGGTTTCCCTTATATGTACATAATAGAAACATTCAAACCTACCAAGGGCTTATGGGTTTTCCTTATATGTACATAATAGAAACTTAAAAGTGTTTCGTCTACAAGTAATGCATTTTAGGCTATAGCTTTGATACTTGGCAGTAATAATCGTCTGATAGAGTCTGACCTCTTCCAAATTTATTGAAAGCATAGCCCATCGGCCACAATAAGCCCCCAACGACGACCAGAGATTCCAACGACCACCAACGGCCCGAGATTGTGGCTCTGTAATGTAGTTTTTTTGTATTTCGCTGGTGGGAAGCAGTTGAACAAGATTTTGATCCAGCCACTACAACATGTTTTATTTATAGCTGTAGCTATAATTGTTTTACTATATGCACAGTTTCTAATGAAGGGTAATGAATTTACCATAAATACATAAAGTAAAATTTTAAAAATCGTTTTATGAATGAATACAAGGGATATATCTCAGATATCTAGAATGCATCATTGTGAAAGATTTTTGAAATTAAAGCTTTTGGGCCAAAATTTGCCCTGCCCCAAGAAGGATTTTCTTCAATTTATAATGGAGGGGAAACAAATCATATTGGAATGTATTTTATACATGTATACATTTATTGCCATTTTTTTTAAAAAAAATCAATCGCTGGGAGTAAGATATAATTGCTTTGCAGGGATATTTATGAAATGATTTGAGCACATTATAAGGACATTATGATTCATACCATGCACGTAAATATGATTTTAAAGCGTGAATGTTTTCTATGTTTTCAGAAATAGATAAGATAGTACTTGAAAAAAAAACTGTATCTATATTTCAAGGTTGAATACAACTATGTAATACAGTATATATTTTATATCTTATCAGATAAGAATACTTTGCAATCTTGTTGTATTTACAGCTAAAACTATGATTTGGACTAATATATGCACTGTTGTAGATGTGATTTTTTTATTAACTGACCTACTTTTCAACCCAGTGATGAACTTCTTAGCTATGTCTTGTAAAAGAAAGTGTTACTCGGATTAGCATTATAGGGCCCTTTTGGTCCTCTTGTGTATTTTATATTTGATATTAAAATAACAGTTTAAAAAATATGCTTGAGAAAAGTATATTTTATTGTAAAGAATGTACATCTTATTTACATCATGTATAATAACATTTCTAAATACAAATGTATATAATAAAACATAAAAAAAATCCAGTGAAAATTGGTTAACATATTTTCAGCGGCCCAAAGGATAACTGAATGCCCGAGCCATGTTTTAAAAGGAGAGAGTCTTAAAATAAAACTACGTCAAAACCCAAACTTTCGTGCAAGATCGGCACAAACCACACATGCAGGGTCAATAGTTCGTGTAAGCGGACTGAAAAGAATTGAAGCAAAGGAAATAGTAGAGTATTACTTCGAAAACAAAAGACGGTCGGGTGGAGGACCAATTACATCTTTTGTTCCTGTAGAATCAGATGATGATACATACGAAATAACGTTTGAAAACACAAAAGGTATACCATTTACATCAAACTAACTTTTATAACAGCTGTTAACCTTGACCTTAAATAAACATTCACACAAAAGGTCAAATAAATAAATTTATTTTGATACAGTTTGCCATGTCTTTGCTTTTGATTTATGGATTTGATATTGATATACATATATACTTGGGCAAAAGAACACTTGTAACAAAATTGATATGTTTTGTAATTCAAATATTACCTTAACCTACAAATGACCTAAAACGTCAAGGGCAAATATTGAATTTCGCCTCGATTGTCGTAACTTTATAATTACAATGTAAGCCAAACTATTGAAATTTTCTTAATTTCCAATTTTATTTATACTTCAATAACTTGCACAAAAAGACAGCACATGACAATACTTACATGTTGATTTATTTTATTTGATTTGATTTATTGACTTTGACGACAAATTGCTCTTAGCTGCCAAGGTCAAAAGTACACAAATCGAATTGTTTAATTATTTTTAAATGACTTCGACCTTAAAAAAACAATTATTGTCAATGTCAATTATTCAAATTTTCTTCTAAATTTGGTTCAATCTTTGACAATATGATACATACATATGTCAAAACGGACAGGATAATTAATTCAAATGTGATCTTGAACTTTCAATGACTTTGACAGGCAAGTCGTAACATGAACTTTGACTTTTATTTTTCACATAAAAATAATGTTTTGTTTGAGTATTCTTTACTATAATATTCTTACTCTGAATTGTTTGACATTTGAAATAAGAAAGAATCGAGTTTGGCCCCTTTGGTGCTCTTGTTAAGTTTATTATATAATTTTGTAGATGCAACGTCAGTTGTACAAAGGCCTCATATTATAAACGGATTATCAGTTGATGTAGCACTACTTCATAACGATAGAGAAACTGAATACTACAAAGACAGGTTTCTTATCAAAGGATTACCGAAAAACACGTCTGACGAATACCTTTTGTGCTTCATTAAAGCAGTAACAGGAATGAAACCAAAGTTTCTCGCATTTCATAAAAAGGAAAAAGATGTTGTTCTCGTCATTATGAGATGCGATCTTGGTATTTATCTGAAAAAATAATTAATTTATAAAAAGATATTTTATTATCTAATTGGCAAACAACAACAACTATAATGCATGGTCATATATTTTGTCACGAGATTGTATACCAGTAATAGTCTGTGGCCGAGCGGTTAAGGTCATTGATTTCAAATAACTTGCCCTTCACCGCTGTGATCTCAAATTCCGTCAAGAACGTAACAAGGAAGATAGGAAGCTATCCGTCAAACTTTGCTTGTGACGCTGGTTCTACCCAAGTGTCGAAACCGATATAACTGGACAAAAGAAAGATCACATTTTTTAAAGTCTGATAGTATGCTTTTATTCAGCTTTTAGCTCACGTGAGTTGGCTCAGGGTCAGCTTTTAGGATCATTGAATGCCCGCCGTCTACCTTCCGTCCACATTTTGTACGTTTACTCTCTAATAATAACATTTTTACCTCAATCGTTACTAAACTTTGTAAAGATGTTTGCCCCACTTATTGTATGAACACGTTCGAACATGGATTGTCTCTGATGAAAAACAAGGTATCAGGAGAAGAATAGAAAAATCATCACTCTAATGTGTACAAATGTCCTGGGAATTGGACAGAACGGTTGTTTTTTAATGATGTCTAGCTAACTTTCGAATATAGGTTATCTTGGTTCAAAATATAGGTGACAGCCCATAAAATGGCATATATGGCAACATTTTGTTTGCATTTGCACAATTTTAGGTGCAGATATGAAAGTTTTGATATACAGTTTAAGTATGACAATTTATTTGCTTTTCATTCATTTATCAATTAAGATATTTAATAATCAGTTGTTCTATATAAGTGTCATTATGACCCTCTTCTTTACTTTATTTTCTAGATGTTGCACAGTTTATTGAACACTGCAAAGAAGAAACACTTGAGGGTGTAAAAATCCAAATATATGAGGTAGAAGTGTCAAATGTCATTCATGTCAGTAACCTACCTGAAAATATTCACAGTGATACAATACTTCTCTACTTTGAAAACAAAAGAAAAAGCAAGGGGGGCACTGTTAAAAATGTCATTCGGTTGGATACAGCATCGTGTCTTGTGTACTTTGAGAATTATAAAGGTATAGATGTTTTTATTCCAATTGCTATGTATGGTTGTGTGGAAAGAGATTAGTTATATTTATGAATAAATGGTTTGAAATAAAATGTTACTGAAATAAAAATATAAAGAAATATCATTTTATTGAACATGGTCTGAATTTTGTAATGTTACAATTTTTTTAAAATCTCTTTATCTAAACACAAGCATGTCTTTAGAAACATTTTATTACAAATAATTCAAATGCACTTGCAGAATATGCCACAATAAAAAAAGAACTGTGATCCATCTACTGTTTGACAATCACAAATAAGCATTTTTTGGGAAAAAATATTATGGTGTTTATTAACATGATTGACTAAAATCAAACTGAAGTGCTTTTAAGGCATTAATATTGTTTTGAAAATAAGACATGAATATCCTTTGAGTGATTTATGCGTCGCCTGTTTCAGATAAGCGGCGACACATAAAGAGATCGCATCTCCATCCGTCTGTCCGTACTGACTCAAGTAACGTTATGGAATGAATATTTGTGTTCATTCTGTACATACTTGTGTTGTGGGGAAAAACATTGCTTATTAGGTAAAAATACGTCGCTTAAGAGTTTTTGTTTTTTTTAGTACACAGAAGATTAAAGAAAAAACCAATACCGTCAACTCGTTGAAAAAAGTCCGTTCTTCTGTCCGTCAGTCACAAAGCCTGTCCTAACTAAAAAACTACTATAATGGATTCGCTTTGTTGCGTCGGTTGGTCGGACGGTCCGTCTCCATTATCGTGTCCGCTCTATAAATCCTATACGAATTGAAGGGTTTTCTTCAAACTTGGCTCAAATGTTCACTTCAACAAGGGGATGTGCAGAACCCATGTTGCCCATGTGTCAGTTCAAGGTCAAGGTCACAGTTGAAGGTCAAATATCAATCAATCAAATATTAGACAGTATGTCGTGTCCGCTCTGTAAGTCCTACACTAATTGAAAGATTTTCTTCAGTGTTGGCTCAAATGTTCTCCTCAACAAGGTAATGTTAAAATATATATGAAGTGTCACAATTAAGATATGCAGGTCAAGTTTCTTTACTCTGTATTGCATTTTGACAAAGTTATGCCCCTTTTTAAGTCTTCAAATTTACAAACAATCAAATATTAGACAATATGTCGTGTCCGCTCTACTCTATAAATCCTATATTAACGGAAGAACTTTCTTCAAACTTTGCTCAAATGTTCACCTCAATAAGGTTATGTGCAGAATCCATGTTGCCTTTGTGCCGGCTTAATGTCAAGTTCACACTTGAAGGTCAAAAATTGACTTAGAAATTGTTCTTAAATTTTAATATGTACTTGAATATTTATGAAACTAGCACAGGTATTTGCTTGAAACTTAAGAGATATACGTGGTGACACAAGTAAGATATGCAGGTCAAGTTTCATGACACTGTATTGCATTTTGACAAAGTTATGCTCCTTTTTAAGTCTTTAAATTTACAAACAATCAATACTAGACAGTATGTCGTGTCCGCTCTATAAATTATATACTAATGGAAGGATTTTCTTCAATTTTGACTCAAATGTTAACCCCAACTGGGCAAAGTGCAGAACCCATCTTACCCTTGTATCCACACTTGAAGGTCAATAATTGACTTAGAAAATGTTCTGAAATTTTAACATGTACTTGAATATTTCTAAAACTAGAACAGATAATCATTTGAACTTTCAAATGTCGCAAGTAAGATATGCAGGTCAATTTTCATAACTAAAAAAAGTGTGGGGGATAACTTTGTATTGTATTTTGACAAAGTTAAGTCCATTTTGATGTCATTAAATTTATTTACTATAATATTTCTTAAACCAGAACAGATATGTACTTGAAACTTAAAATTTATATGAATGGTTACAAGCAAGCTCCGATGACGAAAATTCTACAATTCCAATGAATTATGACACAGGTTATGCCCCTTTTAGGCTTTTTAGATAATGTTCTGGTATAACCATTAATACTTAAATATTTCTGAAACTAGAACAGATATTCATTTGAAACTATATAATATATGAAGGGTAACATGTAAGCTCAGTATGCACATTTTGTCCACTCTTAATTTCATTTTGACATAATTATGTTATTTTCTTAACTTCACTGCTTTTGTTTGTTTTAGTACATTGGGAAAATGAAAGGTATTTATAACTGTTTCGAACATGATTTGACAATATTTATTTATACTATACAATTTGTCTTTTTTCACCATAGCTAATTTCTTATTATGTATATGTATTTGTGCCACTAAAGTTATTCCCTTAACCACCCTTCCAAATCGTCTTCAGTCTGACATTGATGGGGGTATGAATCGCATTCAGCGATAGTTCTTGTTATTAAAGTTAAGTTATGCATATCATCCGCATTTTTTTTTTTTTATTTTTGTGATTTTTGACAGAGTAATGGCCCTTTGATTAAATACATTTTTGTTTTGTCTGGACTACTTCTCCTATAAAACTCGTATTTAAGCAATTTAAGAGAAACTTTACGTGTTCAAACGGTACATCAAGTTTAGTTGAATGGTCTGTGGCTGAGTTATGGCTCTTGAATGATAAAGCGTTTTCGCCTGGTAATAACATTTGTGTCCTCTGCTACACAGTAACAAGTAACAGCAACATACTAAAAAGTAGCCGCAACATATAGAGAACAGACTGCCCAATCACCCTTTTTTGCAAATGCTTAACTGGCTATCACCAGGCGATATATGTTATCGTGTTCTATGTTTACTAATACTTATGAAGTACAATTTGTATTTACAGTGATTGAGAGTGTGTTAAGTCATGCCCATGTTTTACAACGAAGGGATATAATTGTAAGAAAATATTTCAAATGTGTTGCACAAACAGAAGAAGAAACATTCAGCACAAGTATCCCACCAGCAGTTGCTATTCCTGATTTAGACATCCGAATACTTAAATTTATTCAACAAAATGAAGAATTTAAGCACATTGTTGAACAAGAATTACTCAGTCACCACGCTCAAATTGATTGGCCAAAGGAAGGATCCGACAGTTGCGAAGTCAGTATTAACTGCATTGTTGATGAATCAAAAGTTTTGTCCAATAGAGTTATTTTGAGGTGGGAAATGGAAATTAGAGAAGTCTTCAAATCATTGATGGACAAGATTTATGTCCATAGTATAACCTTAATCGGTGAATTTAATTTTGATGATTCGTGTGTTGAGTGCACCGCAGGCAATGAAGAAAACACTCTTGTTCTTTTGGACAGAGGTGAATGTAGGATAACTTTCTTGGGAACATCTCCAAAACTAGCTGCCACCTTATGTTCTCAGGATAACTTCTCAGGGGATGCCGAGGAGGAGTTAAAAGTGGAGAGAGTATCTCTGACACATGCAGTTGAATTTAAAATGTTGAGGTCATTGGACTACAGAGACAGGATAATTAAGGAAGTCCCAAACATTTCTATGAACGAAAACGAAGAGAATCTAGGTGTTGATTTTGAAGGGTATCCTTTAGATGTTAGGAATGCCAAACTTTTAATGCTTGAGATGAAAAACGAGTACAATATTGTTTTCTTATATTCCTTATCAGCATTATCGTCAAAGTTGTATTCAAATTCGCTTACAGTCGATTATGTCAACAAAAGCCTCACGTCTGCTGGATTGGATTGCATATGGAAAGTATCTCAACAGACTTTAATCATATGCTGTTTAAAGAAATATGATCTTGAAACATGCATACGTGTTATTAAAGCGTCAGTCATCGATGATGTCATTCATCAGCACACTAATGAAGTAGATATTTGTGACATGAGTCTTTTAGAGACAGAGTTACATAAATTAGAGGCACAATACCTAGGAAAGGTAGCAATATCGTTAGAAGGGGACAATGAGATATATCTCTGTTCAACGAAAGACATACGGGATGTGATTCTAAAAGAGATTCAAGAGGGCATGATGAAACAATCTCGATGTCAAGGTAAGCATGACACACATATTGTATTTTACATATTTACAGATTCATAGGGTTATAAAAAGTAATCCGCACTTATACTTCTATTAGGCTTACTTGGTGAAATTATCTCAAATGATTATTTAAGAGTATTTTTTCTTAGTCGGAAATTAGTGAATATTTAGGGGAAAAGATATAATTTTGGCCGGGTTGCACTGATTCAAACCCGGGTTATAGTATAATGAATGTCGGGCGGCGGTCGGGCGGGGAAAATATTTTCGTAACAGTTTTCTCAGCAACTACTTATCACAGCCTCTTAATATTTTGCATACAGCATTGACATATGGTCCCATACCGTGCGATTCGATTTCGGATCTGTAGCTTATCCACTTCCTATTAACCTATTTCGTTAAATTTTCGACATTAATAACCAGTGGTAGGAAATTTTCGTAATAGTTTTCGCAGCAACTACAGTTGTGTAGCTTATTCAGTTGTGTAGCTTATTCACTTCCTGTTTACCCACTTAGTTAAATATTTGACGTTAATGGTAGGAAATTTATGTAACAGTTATTTCAGCAACAACTTATCACAGCCTCTTGATATTTCGAATACAGCATTGACACATGGTCCTATACTGGGGATTCGACTACAGGTGTGTAGCTTATCCACTTCCTGTTTACCCACTCAGTTAAATTTTCGACATTAAATTGGTCACTGGTAAATGTTTTATGTAACATCACAGCCTCATGATATTTGCTGAACAAATGCAACCGGCCTTTTCTGTCTTTGATCCATTTTTAATTTCATGAACTGAATATGCTTGGGGCTTACATATTGATTTGACAAAAATACGGAGTCAGAAATAAAGAACTTAGTTGGCATTTTAATTTTCTACTGCATTTGCTGGTCCTCTTTCACCTGTTATGATCCGGATTTTGTTCTTGGACCTTTTTTGTCTTTTTATTGCCTTATATTTGTATTTTGTTTGCTATAAATAATTCGTTAAATTAACCATTTAACAGTAAGGAATTAAGAGAACAATAAGAATCAATCGACAAAATGATTGCTGACCAACCATGCATACTGAGACTATGTTTGATCCTTGGCTTTATATATAAAAAGAATTTAAATCATGTAATCCGGCCATTTTCCTTTTGACAAAGGACTTTTGATATTTAAAACAAAAATATTTCAGGGTAGAGATATCGAATCAGATGTGCACCATTGAAGGAAATATTTTGATTGGTTGAAACGTTATCTAACTATTCGCCGTTTTCAGTTTTAACTTTTTAAAACACGTTTGTGTGTAACTGTTACATTTTAGATTGAGTGATCTTAATAGTGTTTTCATAATTCGTTTCATCTGGTCTGTAATTGTACTATACATGCATTTCTCACAATATTTTTTGCCAAACATATCACAATTATTTTGTTTGAGGATTACTTTTCAAATTATGTTGGATTCATTTAATTGAAGATTGTATAAATTGCATGTTATTTATCAATTATTTTCAGTGATTGAAAAATACCAGCTTATAAGAAAACAAATCACATCCTTGAAACGCATTGAAACAAGAATGCTTCTAGCAGATAAGTTTCCTACAGAAATGGAAAATCTTTTCCCAGATCTCAAAGTTAAGATAAATCAGAACAAGAATGAAATTTGCTTTGAGGGGCCACTAGGTCAGGTACGAGATGCTGAAATTAGGATGTATGAATTGAAGGCTAGTTTTGCTGTAGATCGCTCTTGGAAAATATCGGAACTTGCCGAAGGATTGTTAGTACTTAAGCAGACCAAAGAACATGTGGTAAAAAAGCTTAAAGCTTCCCGTGTCACAGCTGTTTGGGACACTGTTGATGGATGTTTAGAAGTTTACTGCACATCCCAAGATCAGATCCAGCTTTGTGTCAATGTCATTCGAGCATCTGTTATTGAACATACTGTAGCTTTGAGAAAAGCTGCCAAAACAGTTGTTAACTCTGACAAATGGCAAACTAAAGTTGATGAATTACATTTATACCATGCAGGAAAATGTATGATCAAAGTTTCTGCCGATTCATGTAAAGTTCAAATTTGTGCAACAGACGACATAGTGAATGAGATTTTGGATATTGTTGAAATTTGTCTACGACAAAACACAGTCGTTGAAGCTAAAGTCCCGTGTACAAGAAATGTTCATCGTCTGATTGAGAGGCATCACAAAAATGAAATTTCCAACATAGCTAAAGGTTTGACAAATTATAATGTACAGATATCTTCAGTTCCAGAATATGGGGGTTTCGAAGTTCGTGGGACAGAAGATGGCTTGCAGCAAGCTTTGCAACAACTGCATCAACTACTACTGAAGGTAAAACAGAAAGAACATGTTATGACTAAACCTGGTTTAAGTAAGCACATGCAAACACTAAAAGGAAAAGACAACCTTAATACCATCGAGAGTATGCACCAATGTGTAGTGGCAGTGAAAGGTGATTATGACGAGGACGAAATAACTGACAATCCGTATGATACAGTTCCTAAAGGTAGTGATGTCCATGTTGTCTGGTATTTACTGGAATATGGTATTTAGTATTGTGTTCAAACACTTTTTTTAGTTTCGCTCAATTTATTTTTGTATACAGTATGCTTAAAAAACCTTAATTTCATGAATTTGTTTAATGAATGTGCTCTGTTTGAATTTTGAAGTAGCATTAATTTCTTGAATTTGTGTAATATATTAACTTTTGAATTTTGAGCTTTCCATTTGACAATTTGGGGATATGAAAATTAAGGAATGAAATTTTGAGCTATCAATAGTAAAGTAAATATAGAGCATGGTCAGTGTAGTATAGAGCCATGTCACGGTAGTATATAGCTAGGTCAGGGTAGAATAGAGCCTCGTCAGTGTAGTATAGAGCATTGTCAGTGTATTATAGAGACTGGTCAGTGTAGTATAAAGTCTGGTCAGAGTATTATAGAGCCTGGTGAGTGTAGTATAAAGTCTGGTCAGTGTAGTATAAAGTCTTGTCAGTGTAGTATAAAGTCTGGCCAGTGTAGTATAGAGCCTTGTCAGTGTAGTATAGAGACTGGTCAGTGTAGTATAGAGCCTGGTCAGTGTAGAATAGAGACTGGTCAGTGTAGTATAGAGCCTGGTCAGTGTAGTATAGAGCCTGGTAAGTGTAGTAGTGAGCTTGGTTAGTGTAGTATAGAGCCTTGTCAGTGTAGTATAGAGCCTGGTCAGTGTACTATAGAGACTTGTCAGTGTAGTATAGAGCCAGGTCAGTGTAGTATTGAGCCAGGTTAGTGTAGTTTAGAGCCTGGTCAGTGTAGTATAGAGCCTGGTCAGTGTAGTATAGAGCCTGGTAAGTGTAGTAGTGAGCTTGGTTAGTGTAGTATAGAGCCTTGTCAGTGTAGTATAGAGCCTGGTCAGTGTAGTATAGAGCCTGGTCAGTGTAGTATAGAGCCAGGTCAGTGTAGTATAGAGCCAGGTTAGTGTAGTTTAGAGCCTGGTCAGTGTAGTATAGAGCCTGGTCAGTGTAGTATAGAGCCTTGTCAGTGTAGTATAGAGCCAGGTTAGTGTAGTTTAGAGCCTGGTTAGTGTAGTATAGAGCCTGGTCAGTGTAGTATAGAGCCTGGTCAGTGTAGTATAGAGACTGGTCAGTGTAGAATATAGCCTTGTCAGTGTAGTATAGAGACTGGTCAGTGTAGTATAGAGCCTGGTCAGTGTAGAATAGAGACTGGTCAGTGTAGAATATAGCCTTGTCAGTGTAGCATAGAGCCAGGTTAGTGTAGTTTAGAGCCTGGTCAGTGTAGTATATGGCCTTGTCAGTGTAGTATAGAACCTGGTCAGTGTAGTATATAGCCTTGTCAGTGTAGTATAGAGGCTGGTCAGTATAGTATAGAGTCAGGTCAGAGTAGTTACGAGCCTAGTCGGGGTAGTATAGAGCTTGGTTAGTGAAGTATAGGGCCTGGTCAGTGAATTTTAGAGCCTGGTCAGTGTAGTATAGAGCCTGGTTAGTGTAGTATAGAACCTGATCAGTGTAGAATAAAGCCTGGACAGTGTAGTATAGAGTCTGGTTAGTGTAGTATAGAACCTGGTCAGTGTAGTATAAAGCCTGGTCAGTGTAGAGAAGAGCCTGTTCAATGTAGTATAGAGAATGGTTAGTGTAGTATAAAGCCTGGACGGTGTAGTATAGAATCTAGTCATTGTAGTATAGGGCCTGGTCAGTAAAGTATAGAGCTTGGTCAGGGTAGTATATAGCCTGGTCAGTGAAGTATAGAGCCTGGTCAGTGTAGTATAGAGCCTGGTCAGTGTAGTATAGAGCCTGGTCAGTGCAGTATAGAGCCTGGTCAGAGTAGTATAGAGCCTGGTCAGTGTAGTAAAGAGCCTGGTCAGTGTAGTATAGCGCCTGGTCAGTGAAGTATAGAGCCTGGTCAGTGTAGTATAGAGCCTGGTCAGTGAAGTATAGAGCCTGGTCAGTGTAGTATAGAGCCTGGTCAGTGTAGTATAGAGCCTGGTCAGTAAAGTATAGAGCTTGGTCAGGGTAGTATATAGCCTGGTCAATGAAGTATAGAGCCTGGTCAGTGTAGTATAGAGCCTGGTCAGTGTAGTATAGAGCCTGGTCAGAGTAGTATAGAGCCTGGTCAGTGTAGTATATAGCTTGGTCATGGTAGTATAGAGCCTGTTCAGTGTAGTATAGAGCTTGGTCAGTATAGTATAGAGCTTGGTCAGGGTAGTATAGAATCTGGTCATTGTAGTATAGAGCCTGGTAAGTTAAGTATAGAGCCTGGTCAGTGTAGCATAGAGCCTGGTCAGTGTAGTACAGAGCCTGGTCATAGTAAAGTATAGAGCTGGTCAATGTAGTATAGAGCCTGGTCAGTTTAGTATAGAGCCTGGTCAGTGTAGTATAGAGCCTGGTCAGTGTAGTATAGAGCCTGGTCAGTGTAGTATAGAATCTGGTCAGTGTAGTATAGATCCTGGTCAGTGTAGCATAGAGCCTGGTCAACGAAGTATAGTATAGAGCCTGGTCAGTGAGTATAGATCCTGGTCAGTGTAGTATAGAGCCTGGTCAGTGTAGTATAGAGCCTGGTCAGCGTAGTATAGAGCCTGGTCAGTGTAGTATCGAGTCTGGTCAGTGTGATATAGAGCCTGGTCAGTGTAGTATAGACGCTTATGAGTTTAGTATAGAACCTGGTCAGTGTAGTATAGAACCTGGTCAGTGTAGCATATAGAGCCTGGTCAGTGTAATTATAGAGAATTGGTCAGTGTAAGTATAGAGCCTGGTCAGTGTAGTATAGAGAAATGATGCCTGGTCAGTGAGTGAGAACTGTAGTATTGGTCAGAGTATAGAGCCTGGTCAGTGTAGTATAGAGACTGGTCAGTGTAGTATAGAGAACCTGGTCAGGTAGTGTAGTAGAGACCTGGTCAGTGTAGATATAGGATCAGTGGTCAGTGTATTATAGAGCCTGGTCAGTGTAGTATAGAGCCTGGTCAGTGTAGTATAGAGCCTGGTCAGTGTAGTATAGAGCCTGGTCAGTGTAGTATAGAGCCTGGTCAGTGTAGTATAGATCCTGGTCAGTGTAGTATAGAGCCTGGTCAGTGTAGTATAGAGCCTGGTCAGTGTAGTATAGAGCCAGGTTAGAGTAGTTTAGAGCCTGGTCAGTGTAGAATAGAGACTGGTCAGTGTAGTATAGAGCCTGGTCAGTGTAGTAGTGAGCTTGGTTAGTGTAGTTAGTGTAGTATAGAACCTGGTCAGTGAAGTATAGAGCTGGTCAGTGTAGTATAGAACCTGGTCAGTGTAGTATAGAGACTGGTCAGTGTAGTAATAGGGCCTTGTCAGTGTAGTATAGAGACTGGTCAGTGTAGTATATAGGTTGGTCAATGTACTATAGAGGCTGGTCAGTATAGTATAGAGCCTGGTCAGTGTAGTGTAGAGACTGGTCAGTGTAGTATAGAGCCTGGTCAGTGTAGTAGTGAGCTTGGTTAGTGTAGTATAGAACCTGGTCAGTGAAGTATAGAGACTGGTCAGTGTAGTATAGAGACTGGTCAGTGTATTATAGAGCCTGGTCAGTGTAGTATAGAGACTGGTCAGTGTAGTATAGAGCCAGGTCAGTGTAGTATAGAAACTGGTTAGTGTAGTATATAGCTTGGTCAGTGTAGTATAGAGGCTGGTCAGTATAGTATAGAGCCTGGTCAGTGTAGTATAGAGCCTGGTCAGTGTAGTATAGAGCCTGGTCAGTGTAGTATAGAGCCAGGTTTGTAAAGTATTGAGCCTTGTCAGTGAAGTATATAGCCAGGTCAGTGAAGTATATAGCCAGGTCAGTGTAGTATAGAGCCCGGTCAGTGTAGTATAGAGCCAGGTCAGTGTTAGTATAGAGCCTGGTCAGTGTAGTATAGAGCCAGGTTTGTAAAGTATGAGCCTGGTCAGTGAAGTATATAGCCAGGTCAGTGAAGTATATAGCCAGGTGAGTGAAGTATATAGCCAGGTCAGTGTAGTATAAAGCCAGGTCAGTGTAGTACAGAGCCTAGTCAGTGTAGTATATAGCCAGGTCAGTGAAGTATATAGCCTGGTCAGTGAAGTATAGAGCCTGGTCAGTGAAGTACAGAGCCTGGTTAACGTAGTATAGAGCCAGGTCAGTGTAGTATAAAGCCAGGTCAGTGTAGTACAGAGCCTAGTCAGTGAAGTATAGAGCCTGGTCAGTGAAGTATAGAGCCTGGTCAGCGAAGTACAGAGCCTGGTTAACGTAGTATAGAGCCTCGTTAGTGTAGTATAGAGCCTGGTCAGTGTAGTATAAAGCCTGGTCAGTGTAGTATAGAATCTGGTCAGGGTAGTATAGAGCCAGGTTAGTGTAGTATAGAGCCTGGTCAGTGTAGTATAAAGCCTGGTCAGTGTAGTATAGAATCTGGTCAGGGTAGTATAGAGCCAGGTTAGTGTAGTATAGAGCCTGGTCAGTGTAGTATAAAGCCTGGTCAGTGTAGTATACAGCCTGGCCATTTGAGTCGGGGTATTTCATATAGAATGGTCTTGAAACACGCTATGTAAATCCTTCTCGCAAAAATTAAACATTTTCGGTATAACTCGGTATAATTTGCTATACGCAAATTATGTGAAAGTTCAAGAAGAGGGCGAAAATGCAAATTCTATCAACATTTTTTTGTAAAAACTTTTAAACTTGTGAAAAAAAATCACATATTTCAGAAAATAAAGTTTGTAAAGTCATGATGTGTTGAAAAACCATAGATCAGAATATTTTTGCCGACAAACGGCGCCATTTTGAAAATGCACCAAATTAAACATCAAATATTTGTAAATAACATCATGGAATATTATAACATTTTTTCATGATACCATTATTTAACATTATATACCATTTAATAATATTTTTTCTTTGTAAAATCAATTTCTATTTTGTCATTGAACAATGCATAAGTTTTAAAAAAAGTTATGAAACACGGACCTATTTTCAAATATGAGCAGTATATTTTTACCTTGACACCGGGAACGTAAAATTCCTAATGTCATTGCAAATGTATAAAATTGATACTTTTTAAAGTAAAAACTGGAAATTTAATGTAACCAACATTAGTTTTCAGTATCTTTTTCAATTTAACAAAACATTATCTTATAATTTGATTTTTGAACCATGATGTACTATGCCAGTAGATAACTTAATCATGTGACTCAGCTGATACATCTTTTTTCGTAAAATTGGTCTGACTCCATACCATTTTATTTGAAAGATCTTGGTTGAATTTAAAGTCTGGGAAATTCGTATAGAGCAAGGTCTGTGAAGTATAGAATCTGAACAATAAAGTATAGAGCCTTATCAGTGAAATATAAAGCCTGATCAGTTGGAGTTAGTATATATATAGCCTGGTCAGTGCAGTCAGGATCTTGGTCAGTGCAATATAGAGCTTGTTCAATGAAGTATAGAGCCTTGTCGGTGAAGTAAAGAGGGTGGATTGTCAGTATAATACAGAGCTTGGTCTGTGAATTATAGACCCTGGTTAGTGCAGTATACATCCAGGTCAGTGAAGGCTAACCTGGCTCCGTACTGGTAGCAAAGGCTTGAATCTTTTCTCATTGTTCAGGTAGTCATTAATGAATATTTTTGAAACCAATATCATAACGGGATATATATTTCTAATTATTTGCATTTAATGATAAATATAAAGATGGAAAATAATACTTAAAATGTTTACAAGGAGTTCCTGATTTAAGGAATATTTTGAATGTCCCAATGAAATCGTTGTAAGGGGAGTTTACTGTATATTTTATTAACTATGTGTTTTTACGATTACTTTGGTTTCATTCAGGAAAACCACAAACTTTTTTAAAGAGTCGACCACCACAAAAGTCAACTGTATCTATGACAAAAGGAGAAATTGCAAGACAAAAAGTAATTAAACTTTTGTTTATTTTATTGAATACAGGTACATGTATCATAATCATAGTTTTGGCTTCCCTGAATGATTTATAGTTATGACGTTATGTGACTACTTGATGGATATAAAACTCTGTGTACCTGATTCAACATTTTCTTGTCTGCACAATTTCATTTTGATTTGATGTAGACCAAACTGGCACAGAACATTTACATGTCGAGGGTTTCCCCAGCAGAGTTATGCCCCCCACACCCCACAAACCAGAGTGGCCCAAAAGAGAATGTTTTGCCTTCTATAGATGGTTGTAAATGTTATTTTTAAGCCCCCAAAAGGCGGCATATAGTAATTCCGTCCGTCCGGAAATCTTGTCCGCGCTTCATCTTCATAACGCACTTTTGGATATTTCAGTAAAACTTCACAGCATGGATCAGTAAAATCCCTAGTTGTGAATATCACCGGCATGTTCCGCCTAGCTGCACAAAATAGCCGACATCACAGGTCAAACCGCTGGCCGATTTCAATGAAACTTCACAGGAGTGATCGGTACCATCCCTAGTTATGCATATCGTCCACACGTTCCGCTTCGCTGCACAAAATGGCCGTCAGAGCTATAATAGCAAAAAAAATCTTATCTGGCTTTCGCAGGTCAAACTGCATGTGGGGTTTTAGTGAAAGTTCACAGAAGTGATCAGTACCATTCCTAGCTATGCATATGACTGGCATATAATGCACAGCTGCACAAACTGGTCGCCAGAGCTATAAATAGAAAATTATTGTCCGGCTTTCACAGGTGTAACTGCTGGTGTGATCTCTATGAGACTTCACAGGAGTGATCATCACCTACCATAGATGCGCATATCGCCCACACTTTTCGCTTGGCTGCACAAAAAGGTTGCCAGAGCTATAAATGGAAAAATCTTGTCCGGCTTTCACATGTCAAGCTGGTGTCGGGATTTCAATGAAACTTCACAGAGTGATCAGTACGATCCAAAGCTGTGCATATCGCCAACAATTTTCGCTTTGCTGCACAAAATGGCCGCCAGAACTAAGATTTTAAATCTTTCCCGGCTTTCACATGTCAAACTGTTGGCGGGATTTCAATAAAACTTCACAGGAGTGATCAGTACTATGCCATGTTGTGTATATCATCGGCACGTTCTCTTTGTTGCACAAAATCGCCACCAAAGCTATAAATAAAAAAAATTGTCCAGCTTTCACAGGTCAAACTGCTGGTGGGGTCATAATGAGACTTGACTGGAGTGATCAGTACCATCCCATGCTGTGCATATCGCCGGCACGTTCGGCTTGGCCGCACAAAATGAATTGTCCGGCTTTCACAGGTCAAACTGCTGGCGGACTATTGAGTAATCAGTACCATTCCAAGTTGTGCATATCGCCGGTACATTCGGCTTCGCTGCACAAATGGTCATCAAAGCTATGAATAGACAAATCACTCCGGCTTTCACATGTCAAACTGCTTGCCGAATTTCATTAAAACATTACAAGAGTGATCAGTATCATACCTAGTTGCATTTTGGGACACATATGTTTTTGTGACACAAACCTTTCTTGTTAATAAATGGATTATGTTCATACTTGAACAAAGCAACATTTTGGACGAGACCTTGTAAAAGATTGAACTGACCTTGACCTTGAGCTTTAAATGATTTTGACCCTTAAGGTCAAATTATTTAATTTTGGTATAATTTTCATAATTTTGTTATTTATGAACATATTTGATTTATGGTTGGACGAAACAAGACATGTCACCAAACAAACATTACGAATAATTGAGATATGACCTTGACGCTTAATTGACCTTGACCGTCAAGGTCAAATTAATGAAATTATCTTCTTCTCTTTTATGTAACTGGCTATAACTTTGTTATTTATAAATGGATTTACATAATATTTAGACCCAACACCTTTGAGCTATGTGTATATTAAACTCAACTTGACCTTTAGTCATTATGACCATGACCTTCAAATAAACTTATTGATATTTCACTCTTAATTGCTTTAATTCGCTTGGTAATTAATGAATGGATTATCTACATAATTGGACAATGTCAAGACCTTCTAAATGATTGAACTAATTTGGGCCATAAATGATTGAACTAATTTTGGCCATCACAACTTTAAATGCCTTTGACTGTTAAGGTCAAATTATTTAATTTTAGTAAAATTTTCATAATTTTGTTATTTATATATGGATATGATTTATACTTGGACAAAAAAGCAAGAATTGTGGCCACACAAACATATTAGGTAATTTAGATGTGACCTTGACCATTCATTGGCCTTAACCACCATATTCAAATTAATGAAATTCTCATTTTTCGCATTTTCGCATTATAGCTATCACATTTGAATCATGTGTAAGTTTTAGATGTTACATTATAATCTGATATAAGCTTAAGATAATTTAACAAAGTGACCTACTTTCCTGTCCTTTGATGTACAGCTATGAAATTTGAACCATTTGCACAGTTTTGGATAATAAATTGGCATTGAACATTATGGTAATGATTCATACTTGGACAAAACAACAAGTGTGGCTAGACCTACTTTTCGAATTGAAAAAGGAAAAGCTATTTGTTTTTTCTTAAACTTTCCTTTTAAAAAAATTATTTTTATTAAAGCTTTTGTTTGTTTGCTTTTAGATAAAGGAAAAGAGTTGATCGTTGCCCCTGACTGGTGGTGCCTCATTTTAAAGTTAATATACAAACTTTTTCAGAAAGTTTAAAAATTTCCCTAAAGAAATAATTGTCAACGCTATATCAGTCACAATGTGAATGATTTACTATTAGTGATATTGATTTTTTAGAAGGTATTTAACAAGTTAGCATCGAATCAATTGTGTTTTCTTGGTTTTTAGGCTTTTGAAAATGAGACGAAAAGATGGTCGAGCGGTAGAGGAGGCAGACAATATGATCTGTACCAAGATTTACAGGGTAGATTCGGTAGGTTATTTTAGAAAATTTCTATTGTTTCATATTTGTATGTCTTAACTCTCTTTTAATGTAAAAAACCTCCAGTGTACATGGTATGATTTGTTGATCTACAATTGTGATTTCTTTATCAGAATATGGTCCCGACAAGAGCTGTTATGCATATTATATCTTTCAGTCTGTTCCATTTAGCCTTGTTATTATCATAAATTTGTTATTATCTAAGAATGATATAAAATGACTTGTTCATTTAAAAATATAACCATATGAGAACCATATATTGTGTAGTTCAAAAAGTCAGGGTCACAGCTACAAGGTTTTATGTCAAAATTTGGTCTAAAACAATTTATCTGATATCAATACAATAACACTGGAATCCGTGTAAAGTGATATTATGCTCATTTTTCAATCAAATTAATTATTATTAGTTTTCATTTTAAAATGATATAAAATTGAATACAATTATGGCACAATATCGAGTCATTTTAATTTTTACCTTTTTACTGACATATTGGCATAATGTCACGTTAAACATATTGAAATAAAATAGTTTAGCACAGACTGTTCAATTTTAAACATATATTGTTCTGAACTGTATCTTATAGTATAATCAAACAACACCTTTATGATTTGGTAATACTTGAAAAAAAATTTAATGGGGTTGTTTTTTGGCATTTAGTTCTAAAATAAGTGTATTGAAATATGAATGTCCAGAACATTATGTGGTATCATTGAAACCGAGTTATTAAGGTCATTGACATTGAACAACTTGTACAAAGACAGGGACTTTGGATTCTTTCATGCTTAAGCAACTGTTACGTGTAATGTTTGTACATAGCCTAGTCAGTTACAATTTTAATGAAAGAGTGAGTTTTTAAGCGGGAAACAAAATGCATACTTAATTGTTTTGGGAAATTATTTTCTAATGAGACTGATACTGTGTTTCCTGTAAGATATCACATACAGTATAACATGTTCTTACCAACACATGATCATGAAAATATTCGCAGCAAATCAACATATCAGGTCCCGATTGTTTCATACTAATGTGACATTATGCCCATCCAAGTGTAAATGTTGAGTTCAAAGGTAAGGTAAAGTAAATAACTTTACATTTTGCCATAATTGTGTTTATTAATTATATTTTAATCATTAATACAGTTGCATTTTTTTATATGCAGAACGTATCCTATTGTATAAAGTTATTCTAAAAATTCTGAATGACTAAGTACCTTTACCACACGTCACCAATTCTGTTCCAACTTAATATATTGTTAAAATTACGGCATATTTGTGACCCAAAATACCGGCCTGGAAGGCAGGAATAACGATTTATTTAAATTAATGATGGTAATTAAAATTATTAAAACCACTAATTCAGATATTAGTGGGTTGGAGCAAGTTTGTGTTATTTATATGGGACAGACAAAGAAGTGTTCTGGAGAGTATCTACAGATCGTACATTCTCATGGGCATCATTGGATAACTGCAACTACAATCGAATGTATCACTAATGTAATTAAAGTTTATGACACTGTATTGTGACTTTGACAGACATTATTTGAAACAATTCATTTAAAAGTCACCATCGGGTGAAAAGGAAGAAATAAATCTTGAATTAGTGTACTTTCAGAGCTGATAGTGGCCTTTTCACTATAGCAGCTGTATTAAGTCTCGCTGGTCGGCAAGATCCATCTAATGATACAAAATTTTTTTTTAAAAAGATTTTTCAAAATTTTTTGAAAAATTTAAAAATTTCAATTTGCATATTATTTTCAGTTTTCCCCCAAATTTAAGTCTAAAAGAAAAATTTTCTTTTTTAAAGAAACTTAAAAAGCGGATTGTCCCCAATTAGAAAATGGAAACAATGGGGGAAAAATAAACAAAATTTTAAAATTTTGGGGGACTTTTAGAACCTTGTTCCAGTTTAACGAAAAAACACGTTAAAAAGCAGGAACAATTAATTAATTTAAAAATTTTTATTTTAAAAAATTTAATTTTGTTTAAAGGTCTTCACACGCATTTTTTGTTTTGGGTATTTTTATTTAAAGATTTATTATTTTTTTCCAAATTTACTTGATATTTTTTGAATTATTAATTTCCCTTTTTTTTCTTGTCTTTTGTTTTCCAATTGTTATGAGGTTAAAAACCTGACCCCCTTTTAAAATTTTCATTTTTTATTCCCGCCCATTGTTTAGTTTTCTATTATTAAAAATTTACGCTTTTGCTTTTTAAAAGGAAGGGGACGGAAGTGCAATTAAAATTCCAAAACCCGCCAGACCAACCCGGATTTTTTAAAAAAATTTTTAAAAATTTTCCGGGTTTAAATTTTTAAATATCCAATGAGAATTTACCCTTAATCATTTGAATCCCGTTATAACAGGTCAATAAACCCAAACCTCAAATTTTTCATTTAACCATTTTGGGCTCTTTTAAAAAAATCTTTTTTTCTTTTTTAATTCAATTTTTGTTTTTTAAAAAAAAATTTACTCCATTATAATAGTCTAAATTAATGAAACCGAAAAAAACAAAGAATAAAATTTTTTTCCCCCAATTTTTATAAAAAAGGCAAATTGTAATGTCAAAAAAGAAAAATTGGTAAATGTCCTCTTTAAATATGTCAAATTAAAAAATTACTCTATAATAAATAAAAATAAACGGACATAAAACCATTTTCGGAATTTGTTTTCAATATATCTTTGGGACAAATTTAAATATTTTGAATTAAATTTAAAATTTTGTTTTGGTTTTAAAGGGTAAACTTAATTTGCTTTTTTACCCGAAATCGGAAAAAATTATTACGTTTGGAAAAAAAAATTTTACAGTTTAAAGGTTAATAATTAAACAAAATGGGGGGTTATTCCTAATTATAAAATTTTCTGATTACAGTTGTAAGAATTTTTTTTTTCTTAAGGGTACTTCTGTACCTTTTTTTTGGTTCCCCAATGTTAATAAACCAAATTTTCAAAATTTCTTTTGAAAAAGATAATAATAAACCTAAAATTTTAAAAACTTTTTAAAAAAAAAAATTTTTAATTTTTAAGTAAATTGTAATTTTTAATTTGGGGGTGTCGGGGCCAAAAATTTTTCAAAAAGGGGAAAAATATCTTTTTTGCAAAAAAAAATTTTTTTTTTTTAAAAAATTATCAAGAATTAAAAACAAACTTTTTACTAATTTTATTCCCAAAAATCAGTTCAAAAATTTTTCAAATTTTTTATACTAAATAGAATATTTTAAAAAAATTATTAAAAATATTCTGCTTAAAAATTTTAATTTTCACTTATAGTTAAATAAACAAACTTAAAAGAGGGTTTTAAAATCCCTTTTGAAAGTATTTGTACCTTTAAATTTGTCGGGCAGAAATTGTGCGTTTGTTATGTAATTTTTGAATTTTTTTGGGAAAAAATAAAATTTTTAATCCAAAAAATTTTTTTAAGTTTCTTAAATTTTACAAAAAAAAAAGGGGGGAAGTTTTTAAAACATTTAAATTCTTTTTTAAAGTGTTTTTTCTTAAAGACTACGCTTTCTTAAAGCATTTAAAAGGTATTATTTTTTGAAAGTCACAATCGCATTTTTAAAAAATTAATCCTTTCTTTAAAAAATACGGGCTTACTGCTGGAATTACACTTAAACAACCCTCTTTAAAATATACAAAAAAGGCAACAATTTTTATGTTTTGTTTAAAAAGACTATTTAAAATCTTAAATCCCCAAAATTTTTTTAAAAAGAACCCCTTCAGAACCCTATCGAAAAAAAATTTTTGGACAAAATTTGAACAATTTCTCCCCAAGTTTCCCCCCATATAGAATTAACCGCGTATTGTCCCCCTTTTTCTGTTCACAAATTAACCTAAAAGGGAAATTTTTTTCTTAATACTAATTTCAATGGTTTAAAAAAATTTCTTTCAACCCCAAATGAATTGATTGATCTGGGCAAGTTACATAACTATGGATTCCATTTTACCAAGTTATTGCCCTTTTCCAGACTTAGAAAATGAATAATTGGTTAAACTAAAACGGCAAGTTGGATATATCTTAAGTTCTATGTATAATAATAGCTTCATTGTTACCACACTTACTTATCAATACAAAGTACATGATATTGCCAAGTTATATAAGTGGGCCATCCATTTTCCCCAGTTATTTCCCTTTTTATAACTTTGAAAATAGGGCCTTGCATAGTTAAATAGTTAAACCTATTCCGGCAAGTTGGATTTATCTTAAATTTCTTCTAATTACTTCATTTATTTTATGATTTTTTTCATATTTGGAAGGTGGGTACCTCAAATGGTCCTCTAATTTTTATGGAGTAAGGGGTCCCTAGCGTCAAGGCCAAGTTCACTGGTTTAAAAAACAAATTTAAACATTTTTGCTCATACAACTTTTACTTTTTAAGTTGATGTCATTCATGTTTAATACAAACTGCTAAGGAAGGTCATCTTCCAGTGGGTTTAATTAGGGTTCATTTGGTCAAGGTCAAGGTCACCAATGTCAAAAATGTATTTTTATACTTTAACAGGTGTACTAATCTTATTCTATTGAGAGATGTCTCTTATATTTGGTAAAAATATGAACATTTGTTGTTTTTTGTTTCTTCGTTTGGAGTTATGGTTCAGTTGGATAAAGGTCACTAGTGCTAAAAATAGATTTTTACACTTAGCTCATACATTCTTTATTTATTGACAGATGTATTTCATATTTGGAAGGAAAATAACTTGCATGGCATTCTTCCTGCTGATTGAGGTAGGGGTCCGTGGGTCAAGGTCGCCAGTGCTTAAAATAGATTTTTACACTTTTGCCTATAGAGCCTTTATTAGTGATAAATCTGTTTCATGTTTGAAAGGGTGATAACTTGCTTGGTATTCTTCCCTTTTGATGGAGTTATGGGTCAGTTGGGTCAAGGTCGCCAGTGCTAAAAATAGATTTTTACACTTTTGCCCATACAGCCTTTATTTATTGACAGATGAATTCTATATTTGCTAGGGTGACAACTGATATTTTTCCTTTGGATTGAGTAAGGGATCAGTAGGATCAAGGTCACAAGTGCTTAAATTAGATTGTTTCACTTTTGGCCATAGAGCCTTTATTTGTGGACATATTTATTTCATATTTAGTTGGAAGATAACTTGCGTGTTTTTATTCTTAAGATTGAGTTAGGGGTCACATTTGCTAAAACATCCTTGATAAATTATTTATTAACTTACATTTTTCACAAGAACAAAACGCCATGACTCTTTCAAGTAACATAACTGTGTTTACAATTTTTTACTATTTTCCGTCCTTTACTGAGTGAATGGGTAAATATTTTTTAAATATTGTTACTGACAAGAATCTGAGCCTGGGGCATTTGTGTTTAACAAACGCGTTCTTGTTTCTTCTATTATAAACACTGAAATGTGATTTAAACACTTATACTAAACAAGAAGGCAATTATGACCCTATATCCCTGTATAAAGTCCATGTATGTAAAAGAGCTTTATACAAACTGGAGCTGCCAACAGAATTACAAATACCTTAATTACACATGAAATCATTATTTTTGAAAGAAAATAGATTATAGAAAAAATCATTTGATAAGTATAAGTGCTTGAAAAATGTTCTAATTGCTTTATTTAACTTCTGACAATTTTGAAAGGTTTAAAATTTAGGGAGGTAACACAAATACACTTAATTCCAGAGGTAACACATCACGCATTTTTTATATAATTAGAGACATCTTGGACAAATTGCGTTTAAATTTGAAATAAGAATAAATCAACAAATCATGCGTAAGGGATAAAAACATTCTTAACAGTCACTCAAAATGTTAAGACACAATAGCAATGCCTCCTAACTTAATGTAGATAATATGAAATATTAATCACAACAGGAATACAGCTTTTAACCATTTTTTTTTTTCTAAAAATTCAGGCATATAACTATTTCAAACACCTCACCTCTCACCTCATTGCACACACCCACTTAAATTATTTTGCAAGTTTTGACGTATATAGTCTAAGATATGTTATGGCAGTTTTAGGCATTGCAAGTAGTAAAGGAGACGCTTGGTCATTTTCCGAGAAAAAGGTCTGTAGGAAGCTAAGTTTATGCGTGAGTTTTACGGGCATGAGAGTTGCTGTCCTTTTTTATTTTATACACAAAACAGTTCAAAAACACATGTAGCAATTGTGAATATTCACTTATGACAACAAAAGTATACGTAATATGTCGGATACGAAAACTATTAACTACAACCAGCCTTAGATATTTTAAAACCTAACATTGTGACAAAGATGGACATGAATAAAAATCTATTTTTATTATGCTTTATTTTTTTGAAAATTACCAAGATAATACACATCTTTGTTGATAGATAAACAATAAATTAATTCAAATACAAAACATACTTAATATTGTTCGTAAATTTAGAATTACAAAATATTTGCCAATGTCGGTTTTTTGGTAGTGTTGGCAATATAAATGAAGATGATTTTAACAAACAAAAAATGTATTTTATAAAAACATTTTTAAAAAATCAAATAACATTTTTATCAAACAAATGTACCGAAATAATTTGTCTAAAAAAACTCTCGTAGATAAATTATAAGGAGTTGTTGAGGTCCAATATATATATTAAAACTATAATGTTAAATCTTGCCTATTTTCACTAGCTATAATCTTATTTTAAAAGACATGCTAGGTGATGGGGAGCAAGATCAGTCAAGCAGAAGACAGATCATAGAGAAGCATGCCAAGAACCAAGATCTGAATAAAGTTACATTCATCATTCTTGCGATGTCTGAGCATATCATTGATCAAGCTATATCAAAGTTGGAAAGTTGTCTCGATAAGGAAATAACATCTAACAGTTTTGATGATAGTATCATAATGAATTTGAATGATCAACAGGTAAGGAAACTTGTAATTTACCTGCATATTCTAATACTATTATTATGCATGGAAAGGTTTTGAAGGGGCGTCAATAGCGAAGTGGTTAAGGCCGTTCAAATTTCAAACCACTAATTGCCACTCACTTATGTTCCTACAAATCTTGACAGGGACTTTGGATACTTTCAAGTATGGAAGCTACCCAGTAAGTAAAGGGAACTTCCAAGGTTCTTCTGTATACCTAAAATAATGCACAGATGGGCACCTTAGGTCTCCTTCACCCGTAAAGCTGGAAAGTTGCCATATAACCTTTACTGCGTTGGTGTTATGTAACACCCAACAAAAAACTATTTTGGCCTAGTATGTTATGCACATAGTCATTTGTCCGTCTGCTCTGGAAAAAAATTAAAACTCCTTGGAAGAAGTGTTAATCATAATGAGAAAATATGCAGAGTACAAGTTCAGTGTTAGTTTAGGTAATAGTCAGTATGTATAAATTTTAGAATAATTTACGAACAGCTTAAAGGAAATGAAAATTATTCAAGAGAATATCAAATATAATGAAAAAATATGCAGACCACATGTTTGGGTTTCCTAATATCAAAATTAGCCTCTTGTAAATATGTTAAAATAAAGTCTGAAAAGTATGCATCATTCAGTTAATGCCATCTCATGTTTAAAGTCCTGTTAAGTAATTTATTGAATTGTAGACTTAAATAACTTCACCTTTGATTATTATGTTATTTTTACCTTCAGATTATGGAAATAAAAAATGTTGCAATGAAACATCATCTGGACGTAAAGGTGGATTCTTCTAAAGGTATCATACAAATATCAGGAATTTCTGCAAATGTTAGTAAAGCTGCGGATAATATACATAGGTATATGAATTTTATAATAAGACATTAATATACTTTATTGCATGACATCATCAGATATATTTATTTGTGTTATCATCACAAGACATGTTGTTGTCAACATAAATGTTAAGTTTGTAAACTTCAACCTCATTCTGGAGGCAGGAGCCAAGAAACTAGATTATTCTTAATTGCTCTTATTATACTAATTATACTCCCAAAAACAAAGTTTAGGGGAGTATATAGCAGTCATCTTGTTGATCAGTCTGTCGGTCTGTTGGTCCATTTTATGGTTTCTAGACAATATCTAGAGTTTGAAATGATTATTGTATTCAAACTTTGTATATAGCAACCATATGTTAAAAACCAGATTAGGATGGTTTATGAACCCTCTGGGGTAAATGTCACTGTTACTAAAATAATGGTATTTTTATAAGTCACTGAAAAGAATTTAAAAAAAAAGTAATCGTAATTCTTCAGCAGACATCCTTCATAATCATAATTATTTGACAGGATTTTGCGACACGCTGTAACTGTCGAACAAGAAAAGAAAACAGCGAAGTTGATGATTAACCTAGTCCAGTGGAGTTACATGGAAAATGAAGACATTGGACAGACTTTAAAACGATATGATAAAGAGCTGAATTACAAGATAGAGTCTGCTTACCTTTCAAAAGCTGATTGCGTTAAATTCAGGTAGATATTTTCTAGATCGTTTAAGCTGTGTCATTTGCCCTGTGTGATTAAGCTTTAAAACTTTAGGGGGGTACTTTTGTGTCTTTCATTTGAGGAAAATATCAAGCTATATGGGAAAGGTTGAAGATGTGACTGTGTCTAAAATAATATACTATGCAACAACAGTCTTGGATATTTTTCAGAAACATTAAGTACTTACAGGTCGCCAAAAAGACGTTATTAGAAATTATATGGTACACTTTTTGAATATTTTATCATAAGATACTTAAAACCGTTTGAAAATGTAACCACTGAATCATAATTTGAAACAGATAAAGAATTTAAGAAAGAAAATAATATTCTCCTTTTAAACTTACTTAAAACTAAAGCTCAGAATAAATTATGTAGCATTATGTAGCATCACATTTGGCCCTCGTCTGTCAGATCACTTCTTTCAAGGACATTTAAAATAAAATATCAACTGACCGTAAAAAGTTTTTAGGTAAGATGTTGTTGTTTGGCTTGAGAAGTTGCCTTGTGGCACTTAACAAATGTTAAATTGTGCCTTTTGATAACAAATGGCCCGCCTTACATATACTCTGTTGAAACTTCGGGCCAAGAATTTATTCAATATTAGGCATATGGGTTGATTTTAGAGTATTCGAAAAGTTACTGCATTGACCTTAGACTTCTATATAAGAAGGAACTGTTTATTAAGAATCTTCTCAAATTAGTGATATGAAGTGATGTCGAATAAGCAGTGTATGCCGTCATAATTATGCTAAGGATAAAGATAAGAATTGCCTAAGATCTAAATATAAAAAAGCTTAAAAAGACTTCTCCAAATGAAACAAAGGATTGCTCATTATCAAAATAATGTGCAACTTCTGAAATTCAAATACTTGTGAGAAGAGTTGACAATGAGGAACTGGATAATCGGCAATGAGTAACGGGATAATCAAGTGCTCAAGGGAATGACCAATTGTCGATCTTCAAGTACTCAGTATAAAAATGTAACACTTGTTGCAACCACTATTGAAATAAAACCACTATTGAAATAAATTATTTCAATAGTGGTTGCAAATTATTTCTCATAATAAGCTTCATAACCCACCACTATTGAAGTAATTTATTTCAATAGTGGTCGTAATAAACTTCATCATCAACCACTATTGAAATAATTTATTTCAATAGTGGTCGTAATAAAATTCATCACTAACCACTATTGAAATAATTTATCTTAATAGTGATGTTTATAATTACATGTATCCTTAATTGATTTATTTTAATATACAGGGGGTTTGAGTTGAAGTTCCGGTAATTTCCAATGTGTTAATTCTTGTACAAATAATTTACGATTTTCACATTATATATCAATAGAAAGAAAAAGGTAAAGAAAAGAATATGAAAACAATTCTATACATCATTCTACGAGATTTTTTTTATTTCTGCACAACAGTAAAAAATCCGAAAAGAGGTACGTTAAATTCATAGTCTCGGTTATAATTACTGTAAAATATAAGTCTTTAATACCTTTAATTGCATTTTAATTTGCGTGAATTGGTTATATATTTTTGCACACCCGTGAAAATTGTAACATTATACCATATTTCCTTTTAGTCTTGATTATTAATACCGTAAAATATGCAAGTATAATACCCACTTTTTATATCTGATATTGTTCGTTAGATAAAGTGTTTCTTGCGTTACAATAGTAATAACAAAGTAATATTTCTAAAAAGTTCATTCTCGTCTACAATAAAAAAATAATGAAACATTAGTCTTTAAAAGTGTCTGTAAAGTGACTCTTAAAATGAAATGCATCCCCGACTACTATTGATATAATTACTTCGATAGTAGTTGTATTTCAATAGTGGTTGCAAAGTGATTCTTCAAATGAAATAATCCCCACCCACTATTGAAATAATTTATTTCAATAGTGGTTTTATTTCAATAGTGGTTGCAAAGTAATTTTTCTAATGAAATGCATTCCCAACCACTATTGAAATAATTTATTTCAATAGTGGTTTTATTTCAATAGTGGTTGCAACAAACACTTAATTTTTCTGTTGTAAATTGGATTAAAGTGAAATATAAGAATTTAGAATTTCTAAAATATTATGTCCACTACTGACACATTTAGATTATAGATCTAAATTTAATAAATTGTGCAAATGTGTGGATAATGTTATCTCCACTTCATAATGGTTAATGTTTTAATGAGGCAAACAGTTTAATAGGTACAATGTATATGCAATTAACAACTTTTTTGACGTGTATCATTTTTGAATTTTTATTACATAAACTCAATATAATAAAAACAAATTCGTTCTGAGATACTTGAAAACTGCTTTTAAGTACTAATATTTTTCAGTAGCATCAGCTTTCATTAATAATTTAGCACCTTGAATCATAAAAAGTTTGTTTTAATTTCCAAGGTACATTCCTTGCATTTCAAGTACTTGTCAATTATGTGTATCAAAAAAGAAAACGAAAGTATGATCGCTGACAGTTTCATTCCTTTAAAAAAACAACCATCTTTCTCCTCATAAGGAATTTATCAGAAATAGGTGATAGATTGATTATAGTTACACATAAAATTTTCGAACATCCAAAGATATCTGTGTAAGGTGGTACTCGATCAGAAGAATGATTGAAGTGCTGAAATTGGTACTTGTTGCCATCCCTGTCAAAAGGTTTTGATTTTGGAAGTTTTCAGAATAGTTTTACCATTTTTAATTGTAGGGCAGATAAAGTTAACTACGTTCTCGACTTTGCAAAAATGGAGGAATATCCTGAAGATGACCAAACTGATACTATAATTGTGATACGGAGGGATCTCGTGAAACGTGAGTAATTAATGCTTTATACTTAATGCATTATTATTTGAAATTTCTTTATCATACAGACATATAATCAAACATTTAAATGTATATTAATAAATTATATGTAATAAATAAAATATTTAGAAATAATGCATTTTTTCATTTACCGTATTTTCATTGATTTTTTTCTCTTCAGTGAAACATATTTTCCGTATTTTCACTGGTATCTTGCAGGGCTACTTATTTCTTACTTCAGCAAATATACAGAATTAAAGAGAAGATTAAGAATTGTTACATCAAAAAAGAGAAAAGTATATAACAAATAGAAAATTCAGGTTTTTTCTTTAAGGTCAGGAATCAGTTTCATCTAGTGATATAAAGGTTATCATATTTTACTTGTGTGTTAAATACTTATTTTCATACCACTTGAATATCCTCAATGTAATTATGTCATATTGGAACAATATTTGATATTGTTATTACATGTAACTGCATTAAAGAACACTACTAACGAAAATTGAAATGCTGCTGCAGTTGAAACAGCTGTCCTTTGAAAACAAACAAATTTGCTGTTGGAATACTTAATGACAAAATATGAATTTTCATCATAAACATGTTTTATGAACTTTCAACTTTCGGGTGTTTTAGCTTGACATTTTTTTGAAAAAAAAATAGAGCTATTGTTACAGTCATGTTGGTGTTACCATTGACTTCCGCAAACTTGTACCTTAATCATAACTTTTTAAGTTCTGGGTGCATTGTCTTTATACTTGGCCACAATAACCCTTGTGACAAGATATTCCAATAGATCAGACTAACCTAGATCTTCAATCATAAATGGCCTGACCTTAAAAGTAAAATGTTTAAATTTTGAATATTTTTATGCCCCCGAAGAGTGGCATTTTAAATTCGAACCGTCCGTCTGTCAGTCTGTCATTCCGTCCGGCTTTATACATTTAGACAGTGGTGGTCGTGTCCCCTCTGAAACTTGAGTATGCATGAAAGGATTTTCATTTTTTTTCTTTCATGTATGAAATAATCATATATGTATGGTGTGTGGCGAACAAGACTCGAGTTTCTACTACTAAGGTCAAGGTCACTCTGGGCATTCAAACTTTGCCATTTTTTATGTTATATAAATATAGATGATCGTGGTGGTAGTGTCCGCTCATAAACTTCAGTATGCATGAAAGGATTCTAATTTTTCTCTCACATATGAATTCACCATAGATGTATGGTGTGTCGTGAACAAGACTCGGAGTTTCTACGACTAAGGTCAAGGTCACTGTGGGCTTCTAACTTTGTCAATTTTGATGTTAATAAACATATGGGCAGAGATGGTCGTATCTTCTCTGAAACTAATATGCATGAAATGATTATATTTTTATTTCAGATATGAAATTATTATAAATGTATGAAATGTTGCCCTTACGACCCGTGCCAACGCCTTTGTTCAAGGTCACTGCTGGGGTTTAAACTTTTTCAATATTTATGTTATCTTATATACATATAAATGGTGGTTCTTGTGTCCCCTCTGTAACTTCCATATACATGAAAATAATATAAAATCACCATAGATAGATAATGTGTTGTGTACAAGACCCATGTTTCTTTGTCTAACTTAAAGGTCACTACTGGGGTTAGAACTGTGTCAATTTTTACCACCACACTTAACATGTAATAGGTGGTTTATAACTAGAATCCTTCGGGGGTATTTGTCACGTTCTGTGACAGGTCTTGTTTTTTGTGTGCTGATTTTGCTATTTGTGGCCTTTACTTTTGTTTTTATGGATTATAATAATCGTTTAGATAGACCTTCAAGATAGTCAGACAGACCTTGGCCTTCACTCATAAAATACCTTGTCTTGAAGGTCAAATTATTGAAATTTTCAGATTTTGCGACTATAACTTCGTTATTATTGAATTAATTGGCTTAATATTTATATCAAAACATTCTTAAGATAAAACATTCATGTATATAAAACTAAAATTGTCCCTGGCTATTTGATGACCTTGACCTTGAAGGTTAAATTATTGAATTTACACTGATTTTAGTTGTAAATGATTGTAACTTGGTAATTAATAAAGTGATTATCCTCTTATTTTGACAAAAACAACATTTTCGACAAGACCTTCAAAAAGGTTGAACTGGCTTGGACCTTGAGCTTTGAATGACTTTGATCATCAAGGTCAAATTCTTGATTTTTGGTTTAAGTGTTATAATTTTGTTATTTATGTATGGATTTAATAAAAACTTGAACAAAACAAGACTAGCTACGAAACAAACATATGAATGATTAATTTGTCACCTTGACCTTAAATTGACCTTGCCTGTCATGGTCTAATTTTTGAAATTCTCTTACTTATATTGTCTTTGCTTATATGTTGTTAACTTTGTCATTTATATATGGAAAGGACAAAACAACAAGTGTGACTTTAACCCATTACCCGATATACACGCCTTTTAACGTCTTTTTACCCCCCCCCCCTTTATTGTTGTCTCCAATGGTGAACAAATGCCTAATTTACGCCCCTAACACTTGTTTTTGTTTGAGAAATGTTGTTTTAAAAAAGTGACCACTTTTTCGGCGCGGCCCCCAACCAAAAGATACATCAGGGGGTTGCCAGAAGGGGGATGTGCCAAGAAAAGTTTGGACTTGTGAGAAGTTAAAAAGGACCCCAGATCGATCATAAGGTAACGTGTAACCAACGCTGAAAAACATTTGACTCTATCTCAATCCATTGAGAAGTTGCAGCACTTTGAAATCAATTTTGATTTTAAAAAAATCAACACAAAATAAAGATTTTTGGCAATTTTGAGATGTACCCTCGTTGCCATGGTAACAGGAAATTTAAGCCTAGGCATGTTGTTACAAAGGCAATGGTCCAGTCAACATTGTGCCAAGTTTGATTAGTATTGAAGCAGTGTGACTAAATAGACCTACAATAATAAATAAACGGAAATTTTTTTCTTTAATTTTCATTTTGAAAATATGTTTAAACAGTTTATTTGTATGCTTTAAGAAAAAGTAAAAAAAGTCGAGTGTTGCCCCGACCGGCGGTGGCTCTTTTTCTGATCAAATGAGACTATTTTGATGCTGTTAATTTGTTACAGAGGGCGCATTTGAAGCACCAGCATTTTGGACAGCTATGTTTGGGAGAAATCTAAGAGTTGTAACTTTACAAAATACAAGTCCAGAGTATGCTGATATTGCACAAAAGTTCACTACTTTTGCCGGTGGCACTTTTACAGTTGTTAAGGTTTGAATCTGTAGTAACATAAATACGTTTTCAATAACTTCACCTTTTTTTATGCATTTAACATCTTCAGAGGCCTACAAGCCCTTGAAGCTCTATAAACATTACTATACCACAGTGCATGGATTTCTGTAGGTATGTATGCACAGAATGTGCTGAAGGAATATTAACTCAAAATATTCCTTCATGACTATCTGAACAACTCCCCAAATTCAACCATTTTCTGTCTTTTTTGATCTTATTTCAGTTTGCCCAACATATTTCCCTTTACAAATGGACATAACTAAACACCAAGGCAGCAGTGACCAACTCAACTACCACACAACTGACCGGAGTGGCTCAATATTAAAATTCTGTTAGTTAGGCATCTCTAACTTGTTTAAAAGAAATTTGAGAAGCTAACCTAGATATCCGACCTCATGTTCTGCTGTGTCTGTTTTTATTTTAATTGTCTGTTTATCAGAAGAAAAAAAATCGGGAAAAAAACAATACAAATCTTGGTGCAAAATAATTGAGTCCAATTGTTGTCTAGAACTACACCTGTTGCCTCAATAACAATGTTTACGTATAAACAGGTATACATTTGATATATAGAATTTTCTACCTATTACCAAAGTATAAGTAAGTTGCAATGTCTGTAAACTTGCTGATTAAAAGTGGCAGGTGACAGGCAAAATGTACTGGTAAACTTGCTATCGAAAGGAGTCTAAATACTTTAGAGATGATTTTCTTTTTTTTAATCTTCTTTCTATGATATGCATCGAATACTAAATATACATGTATATGTTAGATATATAAAAAAACTATCAGGCCTTTATTGCATGCATAACATATATTGAGTTGAAGTGATAAATATTTCTGGGATTTGTGATGTTTGTGGTGAGTAGATTTTATGCAAAGAAGGATTAGGTATTTTCTTAAATCTAAACGCACAAAATGTTAATGTCTAAAAACTTCTGAAATTTTAATTTGCAAATTTTATTTCAGCTCATTTGAGGACAATGTCCTCAAGGTAAGCTTTTGTGATGGCCCATTGTCCGTCGTCCATCGTCCGTGCGTGCGTCCGTTAACAATTTCATGGCCTATTTTGTTAAAACTTTGCAGGGATGTATCTTGCATGAAGCTCTACCAAAGTTGTTTTATTAAATTCCATAAAGAACCATAGTTGCCATGGCAACCGAAAGATTATTTTACAAAAATCTCAAAAATCTCTTGTAAAAAAACCTAAAGTGGTACAGCTTAGGTATTTGGTATGCAACATTTTCTAGTAGATGTCTACCAAGTTTGTTCAAACAAAAGCCCCATGGTCAAATTGGCCCCGCCCCAGGGGTCATTGATTTTCCTTATTTGTATATAGTAAAAACTTAAAAATCTTCTTGTGAAAATCAAAACGAGGTAGAGCTTAGATATTTGTCATGAAACATCTTCTAGTGAATGTCTACCAAGACTGTTCAAATAAATGCCCTAGGGTCAAGATTGGCCCGGCCCAATGGGTCAGAGATATTCCTTATATGTATATAGTAAAACCTAAAAAAATCTTCTTATGAAAATTAAAAAGAGGTTAAGCTTAGATATTTGCCATGAAACATGTTCTAGTGGATGTCTACCAAAATTGTTCGAATCAGTGCCCTAGGGTCAAAATTTGTCGGGCCCCAGGGGTCAATAATTCCCCTTATATGTATTAAGTAAAAACTAAAAAAATCTTCTTGTGAAAATCCAAGAAAGATAGAGCTTAGATATTTGGCATGAAACATCTCCTAGTGCATGTTTACAAAGATTGTTCAAATAAAAGCCCTAGGGTCAAAATTGGCCCCGCCCCAGGGGATCATTTTCCTTATATATACATGCATATATTAAAAACATTTTTTGTGGATATCCAAAAGAGCTAGAGCTTAGATATTTGGCATAATACATGTTCTTGATATGTCTACCAAGTTTCTCCAAATAAAAGCCCTAGGATCAAAATTGGCCTTGCCCCAGGGGTCATTGATTATCCTCATATGTATATAGTAAAATTAAAAAAAAATCTTCTTGTGAAAATCCAAAAGAGGTAGAGCTTAGATATTTGGCATGGAACATGTTCTAGTGAATGTCTACCAATATTGTGGAAATAAAATCCTTAGGGTCAAAATTGGCTCCCCCAAGGGGATAGAGTTCGACAGTACCTTCTCTTTTTCTGTCATATTTTTATTAGCTCACCTCTCACTTAGTGACAGGCTGAACCGTTTAATAAAATGGCTGCTAGAGCTAAAATTAGAAAACAACAATATTTAAACATCTAAACCACTTGTTCAATTTGGAAATAGTTTAACACAAAATTTTCCTTGGTGACCACAAAATTGTTCAGATTTAGCTGTCTCTTGTTTCCAAATTGTGCTTCTGGGATGAAAATAGGTTACATTTTGACCTTCTGACATATTTCTCGGGTGAGCGAGCCATGGCCATTTTGGCCCCTCTTGTTTCATAAAAATGTCAAATAATATACAGTAGGTTATCATTTTTGCTCACCTGACTATGAAGTGTTATGGGTGATCTATTATATATTCTGCATTTCGGTTGCCAGTTGTTTGTTTTTCTAACTTCTGTAAAATAAAAAAAAATGGTTTTGCCTTTTATGCAACTCCTCTACTGCTTTATGCCAATTTTACAATTACGATGTTTGTACGTTTACATGCGCAATAATTTGCGGTTATTTTCATTTATGTGAAAGTGAGAAACTGTATTTAGGTCTGTTGGCTGACCTGCAATGAAAAAACATATTAATTATTTCCTATCATAAACCCATGAGTATATATTAAGAATAAACAGTTGTTGAAGAAGCATCATTTTTTTGTTTGCTAAAACCATTTTCAAAGTTTCCTAAGAACAAATAATTTGAGGAATATTTGTAGGACTTAGTAATCAGATCTATTTATAACAGACAAAACTGATGGTTGAATTGTCATAAAATTTAGCTTATTCCTTCTTAGAAAGAACATCAATCTACTTGTATGAAAGAAGTCTGTACGAAATTGCCAATATTACCTCACAGATCTGAAAATAGTTAAGTCCAAAAAAACTGAGTTTGTGTCCTCAAAATGAATGCTCTCTATGGGTTATGATGCCAGGTTGGTAGGAATGTTTCAATTAATTGTCTTATTCTCAAATTAGTTTGTAGGAAATCAAATGTTGACATTACTTCAAAGTTATTCTGAAGCAATTTTGTTAGTCAAGGAAATTTTGCATGCATTGCCTTATAATTTACCCCGGTCACATATTCACGGAATACGACCACGGAAGAGCAACGGATTAATTCCGGCATCGTCCATAGCTACATGTACTGGTCAGTAGCTCTCCGTAGTGTAGTCATAATCAATCGTAGTAGTTCTTGTATATCCGTAGCGATCCTTGAAAATTTTTGAACATGCACAAAAATTTGCTACGGAAAAATCAATCGTAGCGTATCCCTTCTAGTCCGTTTTAACCCGTACTGATACGTACTGGTCTGTACTGATTCGTAGGTCCCAGCTTGTGAAGGATTTTCCCGGTTTAATACGGAGAACTACGTATGTGTACGGTAACCCTACGTATAAGCTAAGGTTTTAATACGGATAAATACGGCATTGTCACGGAATGCCACGATTGTAATACGTTATACTACGGGGATGCAGGGATTAGCACGGTCTTATACGGTTTATTGCGTTGCAGCATGAAACGGTACGGAATGGTACGGTCCACCACTGTTTAGTACGGATAAATTAAGAATCATGTACTTTTTCAAGGGTATAAATACTACCTTCTTGTTGAAAACAGAATATTTGCGTTTTCATGTTGAGAACATAATCATGAACATTCAATAAAAGATATTTGCCATTAACTGGCTGCAACTGTATATTGATATGGCGCAGAATGCGGAGGCAGTAATCAAGCTGCTTGATGACATGCATAGAGGTGTGAAATATATTAATATTGTACTACAATGCATTAGTAATAGAATAACATTTAAGGTTTCATATTTTACAAAACATTGGATTGTGAAATTGGAGTAAATATGTACATGAAACGTAGTGTCTCCTGACACTTCATGGCCAATATAAGACTCTCATGGCCGAACTTGTTGTCGAGGATCAGGCGTCCTACAAGAAATTCACTTGAATCGGACCTGATATGTCTCGGGGGTCGGACGCGATGAAGCCGAATCCTCTCCGCCAGAATAATTGAACTCTACAATTCGTTTTCTATATGTTATTTTCTTGTTAGGCATTTTGAAAATGAGCATGCAAGAGGTTGTGGACGGATATAATAGGTCCGTATAGATCCGTGGCGATTTGTTATTATCCGTATCAGACCGTGCTTATTCGTACTAACCCGTGCTTATACCGTAGCAGAACGTAGCGTATCCGTAGTGCATTCGTCCTGGTTCGTCCAACCGTGTCGGTCCATAACAATGCGTGTCTCTCCCGGGGCTTTTAACTACATTTTGGCGGTAAATCCTTCGAACTTTGTACTCATACCGTTGTGTTTCCGTACTGGAACCGTAGCGGACAACGGAATTTCACATTTCCGTAGTAATCCGTGAACGATTAGACCGTAGCTCTTCCGTGGCGTAATCCGTGAATATTTGACTGGGACATTACTGATGTATGACATTTTCATTCATTCATTTGTTTGACATGAAAAAAGAACATCTGCACAGCTTACAAGATTTAATTAAAAATAATTTTAGGCATTGTATAATGTTTCTATAATTTGTGATGATATTTTGAACTTACAGATTGAGCGTATTCAGAACAAGACTTTATGGTCACAGTACGAGGCAAAGAAAAAACAACTAGCGGATCAGAATCCAGCTTATATAACAAATGAGAGCTTGTTATGGCATGGTACAGCAGCAGAAACAGTTGAAAATATCAATGCTCATGGATTTAACAGGAGTTATTGTGGCAAAAATGGTATGTTTAAGTAAACACGCTTGTATTGTTAAATTTTTATGCTGCACTGACCCTCAGTAAAGGTTGGTCAGAATCTTACCAGCTTTATTGTTTGAGGGAGACCTCAGGTGCCACTTTGTGCATTTTAAGCTTAATTGTGGCACCTGAGTAGAACCACTGGCATTCCTTGAGCTAGAGGGATAGCTGCATCACATGAAAGAATCCAAAGTCCTTGACATGATTGAAACCCGTAGTAGTGTGAGACAAGTGATTTGAAGTAAGAAACTATAACCACTCATAAGTATACATTCATATATAATCATATGATCTGAAACTATTTAGAGTACATAAGATATCTAATAAAAATAAAAAGAACTTTTATACTACAAGTTAAACTTTTTTGCTAAATAAACTACTATTGAATTCTATACAAAGTATAATTTGCTGCCATTTTCTAGATGACAGAGACTGTTACCTTAGAGATTGTTTTGTTTAAATCTTTTGTTTAAAACTTTCAATAGAGCTTAGTGATTGTTCTGTTTAAAATGTCAATAGAGAAACCCTGTTTCATTTTAATTGTAATTTCAGCGACAACATATGGAGATGGTGTATATTTTGCAGTGAATGCAAATTATTCTTGCCAGGCCCGTTGTGCTCCTCCAGACCTAACAGGCATAAAAAGATTGTATTACTGTCGAGTTCTAACAGGGGAATTTACTCAAGGCAGGTCGGGAATGCGTCTACCACCAAGCAAAGGTGGACCAGGAAACACTGCTTTGTATGATTCAGTTTCTAATAATATAAATTCACCAGCAATGTTTATTGTCTTCCACGATACACAGGCTTATCCAGAGTATCTTATTTCATTTAAATAATACTTTAAAATCTCCAACAAACAATTTAAGTGTGAAATTGAAATAGGTTTCGATCGAACAATGTAAAAAATGTCATATCTAAACATCGAAGAGATGAATTTGATGTAATATTATGAATTACATGTATGTTTTCACTAGAATGTGCTAGAAATATAAAAAGGAAGAACACTCTACTGTTTAATGGTGAGCTTTATTTAGTGTTTGTAGTATTTTACAGGGCAATTTAAAAAAAGAATTTAATTTGTATTAATTACACTACGAGTTTTGTTTTATACAAATTGAATATTTTTGAATGTGTGTCTACAATCAGAAAGAAAACAGATTTAGTTATTATTTAACGTATCCTTCGGAAATAAAACGAATGTACTTTCAACGTTTAAACCATGTTATGTTCCAATAGATTATAGAAATCATAAAAAGAATCAATCTTATCAACTTAGCCTCGGTTTCAGTAATCAAATGCATATTGTACTGCATCTATCCTCAATTTCATTTTCGTGGTTAACAGATCATATCAATTTATATTGTCCTTGAAGTAACAAAGTTCTGTTTAACTGTTAAAAGAATAAAATAAAGTCTTTTTACGTACATTGTTAAGAACAATTTTGATTCTACTGTTGCAAAACCTTAATAAGACACGGCTAGCACCACTTTTGATTCTATCGAACAAGTGGTTGAGGTTTTTGTTGTTTACCGTCCAAATCATGGCAGTAAGCCATTTTGAATTCACCAGAGCACATTTCAGCCACTGCAACGTTTCTGGACGGGCTGTCAAGCAGTTGACAAGTAAGTTAGATGCCTATCTTTTCGCAAGAAACTGCTATTACCTTTTTACATATCAGAGAGGAGGTCAAGACTGTGCACCGTCCTGGAATCAAACCCAGGTCGCCAGATACATAGTATAACGTTCTACCAGTTTGTACGTTTTGAACAAGTACCAAGCTGCAAAACCTAGAGTAAACTCGACTAGCGCCTCGTCCAATTAAAAAGGTTTCAATCCTGTGTTCTTATCCAATATAATTTAGTATCATACTCAAGAATAATTAAAAAAGTCATTAAATGTAGCTGGCGCTAAATTATAAATGCAAATTGTTAAGATTCAAATTGTCATAGATGTAATTTTAACTCCTCATAATTATCAATACATTATAAAATTTCTAAAAACCGGAATCCTCTGAAAACTGGATCCCAGGTGAAGTCCGGACAGGGTCCGGTTTTCAGAGTTTTTAAATTGTACAATCTAAATATGTAAACTGTGTAACTTTGATGGTAAGCGTTTGGTTTGTATTGTGTTAAGCATGTTATAATTTGCTTATTTAATAAATTGTTACATCAGGATAGGTATAAATTGTTACATCAGGATAGGTAAACCTGTCATTCCAAAAATGGAACATAGACCTATTTACACTAGAGTCTTCTCATCAAACAACACATCAAGATGTCCTCAATTTAATATCTCAATGTTTATAATTGGCCCTGCACCAAGCGTTTGTGGGCTGTTTATTTCCTACATTGTTATGTATATGTAATAAAGCCTCCAAACATTTTTTTTATTATTTTAACTAAAGTGCTAGATCTTTGATATTTAACAGGAAACGTCATCTGGTAAATGTCTTCCAAGATTGGTCAAAACATGGCCCTTACGTCAAAATTTGCCTTTTCGGGAATTTTCTATTGTATGTAAAAGTAAACCCATAAAACATCTTCAAAAGGAACTTAAATCAAAATCAAAGGGCTAGAGCTCTTATCTCTACTCTTTGTTTTTCAAATTGTTGCCCTGGGGTCAAAATTGAAAGGTTTTCTATTATGCAATTATGTTGAGAAATTTATTTTACAAGAAACATATATGTAATCATGCAAACCTCTACAAAAGTTGTTGAATCAATTGTTCATGAGTCAAAATAGACCTACCTAGGGGAACCTTGATTATTCCTTATATCTCCTATATAAGATTATTGTATTAAACATTAATTTTGGAATATTCAGTACTGATATTTTGCGTGGTCGTCTGGGTTGTTTTCATGGGCACAAGCTATACATATATATTTGTATACTGCGAATATGTGGACAACATTTTAATTAGAGAATAAAGATGATGAATTAATTAAATAACGACTGGTTGATTTTGTAATGAAATACCAGTACTTTTTTGTCAGGCACAAAAAATTATTTTATGTAACTTTAAGATTATAAATAGCATTATTTTGCTGTTTTAAACTGGTTTATGAATCATTTCCTTACTTAGTAATAATAGAATAATTTTTGACATGTTTACAAATATGTAAAACAATAACAAATTATCATGAGATATTATCTTGTATTAGGTATATCAATAGTATGATCAGATTATGTGCACATTCTGGATTATTATTGTTTGCATATTTTGTTCATTCACATATTACATTTTGTTTATGTAATGTAAGAGATCTTTATCCTCTTGTGTTGGAAAGAATCAGATTATGTTGTACTTTGACCCGAAACATTGATAGCCCTATATGACCTTTATTAGGTTCAATAGTATGGTCAGATAATGTGTATAATCTAGATTATTTTTTTCTGGTCTTATTTTTTCATTCACATATTATATCTTGTTTATGTAATGTAAGAGATTTATATCCTCTAGTGTTAGAAAGAACCACATTATGTTGTACTTTGACCCGAAACTTTGATATATACCATATATTAGTATAATATTACATTTTTATAGTTTTATGTGTGTGTTTTATTCTTTTCTTCGTGATATAATATTGTTTATTATCATTTATCAATAGCAACAGGATTGTTTTAGTTTGTTTTGTTCCTTTTTAAGTTGTCAATTTGTATTAACTTGACATACGTGTTTAGCATATTATTATTTTAACAAATATGTTTTATGATTATTCTTATCATCATCATCATCATTATAATTACTATTTTATTTTTTTATTATGCCCTCTTTAAAGGGAAATTGTGTATACAATTTGTTTTCGACCGCTCAATAGATAGATAACCAAAGCAATTTGCCATAGCAAAATACAGAAAATGCATGGAAAGGTCTTATTTACCATGGCAAATTCTTACATTTCATTTATTTTTCCCAAAAAAGAAAGACATTCAATAATATAACAATTTAAAAAAGCACTTAACGAATATGGGTTAAATTTGCCAAAACCTTGCATGGCAAAGAGAAACGGGTAGCTATTTAAGTCAAAGGTAAAAGTTACTGTTTCACCGTCCTGTTAAATCCCTGTGTACCATTTGACACAGACTCTAGTACTATACATTATAGAAGAATTTCTTGTGTTCTCTAATTGATTTTAGTCAAAGATCGATGTCAGTGACCTTGCTTTTGACAAGTTTTTCATAGTAAATGGAAAGTCGTTAGACACAAAACCTTAAAAATTGACGAGGATAGTATTTTGGACTCTTTTTAGGAACTTTGTACTTGAATTTTGAACTCATTTCTGGCAAATAACATATAACTTGAAAATATATCTTTTTAACATGTAGTCTTGAAACTAATTTTTATGAACTCTAATTGCATTTTCTTTACACTCGATAGCGTTCTTTAATTATTTCTGTTTATGACGGTAACTTGTCACTGCACAAGAGGTAATGCATATATGTTATTCTGACATCATATTCTGATCACTTGTATGTTGTTTTTGTTATTGTGCTTAGTACATAAATTATATTTTATTATCTTATATTAAATATCTCTCATCAACCAATATTTTTGTTGCTCTTTTTATTTACTTAGATGTACTATATATATTGTTCTTTAAAAGTTGCTTAAGTGTTTCATGAGGAAACGATATCAAATGTTCAAGATTTAAGCACGGTTTGAGTTCAAATGCATAGAAATGTGATCACAAAGACCTGTAAAGGCTTTTTAAAGTGTTTAATGAAAAAAGCACTTAAATGATAAACGGTGCATTATAAAATAATGAAATAAATATCAATTTTTCTAGCATTATAGTATGTTAATATTTGAGATAATTTTTAGTGTAATAGGATTGCAGTATGAGACATTAACTTTGGGAAATCGGCTAACTGTTTATCAGTCCAGTAAATCGACTGTTTATTAAAATAATTTTTAAAAAACTAAGCTGTTTAAAATTTATTAGTATGTATTTACAAAAAAAATGGTAAATTTGGTAAATATGTACTAATAAACTTTAACCTGTACATAATGATAGAAACATTAATATTTATTTCCATTCAAACATGCTTATAAAAGAGAATTGATATAAAATATGAGTCATTTTTCTGACGTCACATGTTATGTCACGTATTTATTACGTGTAAGCATTCCTGTTTAATGCTGTACATATATCTTGTAATGATACACATGATTGCCCAGCCTGTTTGATTGGAATAATAATGAAGCATGTTACAATTGATGATGCTTTTATGATTTCAGACTTGTGTTAATATACCTGTACATGTACAAACATGTACATGTATACATGTTGAGAGGGGACATAGATGACAATTGTTTGTTCCACTTGTTACTTTGTTAGTTGTCAATTTATGCAGGATTACCTTTAATTACTGTGTATGAACATTATTAACACTTTTATTATACATAAACATGCATTGTGATATATTGGGCGGAGAAGATGCCAAATTCATGTTTTGATTGCATGTATATACAAACATTGATTTTGTCACGAAACCATCATTTCTCAATGTCATATTAAGGCTGTTAAAAAACAGTTTAGTGATTATTGTAAAAATAGTTTGAATAATGTTTAGAATAATTTAAGAGTAGGAAATTCAGTTGAAAATGTTAAAAACGTATAATACAAAACAAATACAAATATATTAAATAACCCAATGGCATCTTTTTCGCCCTATGTATCAAAATTTGGTGTTGAAATTCTTTTTTCCCAATCTGCGTACATTCTGATGTAATAAAAACATTATACAAAACCTACTGTTATTTTTTTATAATGCCAAATAAATTTAACACCATTATAATGTATAACAGGACATTTCAAACTATAGAACTTTCTTTGCCAATTTCATTTTTATACATTTAGATGTTTGAGATATTTTTAATTGAGATAATTAGCAACACAACATCAGAGAAATATACAAAATAAACAATAATTATGCAAAAAGAACATAAAATATGAGTTTATATAGTATCACTAAGGTCGTATCATCATAAACTCCTGACCTGTCTTAATCAAATGAATATCAAACTTAAAAAATATTCTTAGAAAAGCATAGATATTTAAAATACAACTAACACTTTGCATTGCATTTGCTATTCAACAAACAACATATTTCAACCACCATGAGGGATTTCTGTAAATACTAAGTGGCGTACACTAGTTTAGCTTACTTCATTTGAACGCTTAACATATTAATAAACTATAGTCTGTCCCATTGAAAATGGAAATGAACTTTTGCCTGGTATGAATTAACAAAACGAGATTGAATAAAAATTAAACTATTTTTGTAAACTAATAAAAAGTCACCCTCGAGATATTTCAGGATTTTACTCTAAAATGTCTACTTTTCTTGTGAAAGCAAATTTTGATTTCCCTATGGAAAATCTCTGTTGTTTATTTTCCGTAGCCATTGCCGAAGTACTCTTCATTTGAAGATGAACGGGAGATAGCACGTGTCATGTTTCCAAAATATACATGAGGTTCTCGGGGTCGTTTCATAATTATTTTACAAAGCTGGATCTACAAGATGTAACAGTTTAGTTGCAATGCATGATGTTAAACTTTTAAAAAAATGAAAAATAAGCAACAAGAACACCGAGTCACATGAACTGCACTTACTTTTAAGTTGAATAAAATCCCTATGAAAATTCGAAATAGATCTTTATAAACGTCACAACAAATTCGCATTCTGAAGATTCCTTCTTTGACAGTTTCTATCCAGTTCCGTAGATCTTCAAAACTCCTAAATGTCATGACCCCTACACTAATGATGATCCAGATTTTTTTTAACTGTTAATTCGTCTCATTATTAACATATTGTTCAATTTGTGGAGTTATATCTGGGTTAGCAAATGAAATATGTACATGAAACATATCATAAATCAGTATGTTCCAAATCCATAATTCAAGAACGGCCCATCAATTTTAGTTGTCAACATCACAATCTTTATAACTCTTGAAAATGGATTCCTGACGAAAAAACTTTATTACGTCAACAACAATTTACGAAATGTATGACGTAACAAAAATGCCTCGCGCTTTTTATGGATGATTCCGGGTGCGGCATTGACAGAGGGCGGTAAGGCATATGTAACCTCATACATATAATTTTAAGCCTTGAGATAAATTTGTCTTGATGGTATTTAGGATAATTTTTGTATACCCAGATTTTGCAACTTAACTGTTAAAATTACTCCTTCAATTCATATATTAACAATAAAACTTTTGATAACATTTGAATAATTCTAAACAGACTTACTGACAGTACAATACTTCTTCCATTAATTCACATATAACCTTCGTTTTTATTAAATATGCTTTTAAACTATTTTATATATTTCTCAGAAATGATTTCCCTACATATTAGGACGTCAGTAAATCCTACTCATTTAGCTATAAAATATACAATACGCGGTATTTTTCTCCCGCGAAAAATATGCTATTGTTTTTGTTTTTTTCACTGAATATTTTCAAATTTTAGGAAGGCTAAAATTATTGAGGACGTCGCTCGGTGTTTCTCTTTTACTCGATCTCCCCTTCATATTAACATAATGATGATATGTAACACTTTGAATCTACAAAAAAGAAAGAAAGATAAACACTTATTGTCGCTTATTGAATGCTCCAATTCAAACATATTCTTAATAATATCAAATCACTGCCGATATTTCTGGACATTTTGTTGAAATTGTGGGACGGAAAGTTAAATCTGTATTTACGAGCTTAAAGTGCATAGGTCAACGTTTGATTTCTCAAACTAGAAAGCATGACATTATATTCTTATTATTTACATTTTCCTCGAACGCGAGTTTTTTTTTATAGTGAATCAGTTCTCCTTTTTATATATTTCTTGTCAGATTTGCATGATAATGTAGTTTTTGTTGGCGATTTCTTGTGAAAGTTGAAACCTACGGAAAGTTTAAGCGCACGAACATCGCACCCGAAATAACATATTTTTGTATCCCATCGAACCTGGTCAATTTAATTATTTTTGAATAGACGAGATACATGCTAATGGACAGAACTCATGGACAACTACAGAATTATGTAAATTAAACATTAATTAGGTAAGAACCATTTTTATAGTCTTCTAGCTAGTGTTCCCGTTCCCCTACGACGCGTTGCTGTATTCAAGATACGCGCTTGATTGAAAAAGCTATCTAATCAAATCACTTCATTGGTCTTTTTCTCTTTAAAAGAAGATAAAATACGGCAGTGTATTATAGTAATTTTAAAAGTCTTTGTGTGTTAGAATTTATATTTAGCGGTTACTGATGTTTTCACTTCAACGATTTTGATTATTTTAAATAATGGTTTGCTAGTAAAAGTGCCTTTTTGACACCAACTTTGTTATCATTTTTCATTTTAATGATAACATTTAGCTATTGATTAGTAAGTAAAAAAGAATAATCAAATTTTTATAATTACCGAGTATATTTCATGCTAATTGTGAGACGAACCCTAAATGACGTCTATATGGGCGCCGCCATTTTGAAATGGACGTCACGTCAGGTTACAACGTAAGTCAACGGGAAAAAACTATTATTTTAACATTTTGACTATATTATTGAATTTATGAAAAAAATGAAAAACATGCCTAGAGATATTGACGTCAGGGTTAACATGATATTAATTTAAATGATTTTACTATTATATTAAATAAAAAATGGAATATTCAAATTTGATGGGACAGACTATAGTCAAAGAGCTACACGTACTCTGATTTTTTAACCATATATACCTTATATTTTTAGATATTAAAGAATCATTACTGGTACAATGTATTTTCAAATAGTTTAATTTTTTTTTCACAAGTGACCGACCACTAAGTTCCACGTGATTTAAGAAATAAATGGCCATTAGACTCATGCAATTTTCAGAAATTATGGTATAGAACTGATAATGATGACTGGAATGGTGATAATATATATGATTATAGAACGTATGATCGTAAACGTAATATAAATTGAGCTAGGACGCAGAAATGATAGGAAAATATAGTGACTTGAAAAACTGAATACAAAAAATAATTGTACATGTAAACAGTCTTAAAAATTATATAATATAGAATAATGATAATAAATTTGTATGATGTTAATCTAAATAATGACGATCATACAAATGTTTATAACAATAATGATAATTATGTAACGGATTAAATTACTGGTAAGTTATCTAGGAAGGCTAAAAAGGTGGAAAAATATGATCAAGATCTATTTCCAACATTTTGTTTATATCATTGGTATGTTCATATCGGTACTTTTTGTTTTATGTTGCGCCAACAATTTAAAGTTCAAATGTGGACGTCTCAGCTTTACTGGTGAAGAAATACCTTAGATGGCCCAGTGTGCATTGTTTCAGACACGGAACGGGGCCACAGAAGAGTTTGAAGTCACCGACCTTAACCACTCAGCCATATATTTTTTTTGCAATTGGTCAATGGTTAACTTAATGTACATAAGATATTCATATGAATAAAACAGGTGAAATATACAACTTAATATATATTCTAAAAGCTCATTAAAATATTGTCAAGCTAATCAAAGCTT